GGGGCCCTGGGCCCCGGGACGCGCGGCTTGTCCCGGCGGTTGTGTGGCGGCCCCGGGCGGTGTGAGCGGGCCGAGGCGGGCCGGGCCAGCGCCGGCCGGGCCCAGCTTCAGCGTGTGCGCTGAAGAGCGACCCGGGCACCCTCCTCCACATCATTCCAGCCGCTCCGGTGCGCGGGTGGAACCTGTTTGCGCCGCGGCTGCTCTCGGCCCGTGGCTGGGAAGAATCAGTCAGCAGATTTGGTTTGTCTCCSTCTTCTCTTTGCGTATGTGAAAGCGGCGAGGCCCCACTCTCCAGGGAACTTGTAGAGCCGCTTCTTAAATCATCGTGTTCCCTATTGCGAGGCTGTGAAAAGCAAATCCCCTGCCCCTCGCCACTGGCCTTGCGCAGCCCGAGCGAGGCCTCAGCAGGGCCCTTCCTCTGCAGACAGCTCCAAAAGCACCAGAATGGTTTGGGCTGCACCGCTGTTGGCTTGTGTGTGTGGAGATTCCCTGGCACGTGGCTTGGAGGGCTTTGGCTGTGCCTGGAAGCATGTGTGTGTATGTATATGTGTGTATATCTATATACGTGTGTGTGTGTGTGTTCTCCCAGTGCTGACACGGGGTGACACCTGCAGCAATTTGAGCAGGTTGGGGACCCGCAGAGGCTGCAGCTCCTGCGGGGCAGGCCTGGCTGCCCTCTACTCACACTCCTTAAAATCATGCTGCTAATCAGGACTTAAAGTGAGTGCTGCAGCAATTAAAAGAGACTATGCAAAGTTGATGTGTTGATGACTGTGTTATTTTCTTTCCCTTCTATAGGTGTTTCCCAGCCAAGACCCTCTGGACAGAGCAGACTTCAATGCAGTGGAGTACATTAATACCCTCTTTCCCACTGAGCAGGTAAGTGGTGCTCGCAGATCTGCCTGCTCCTCAGCACCACGGGGGTGCTGATGGTGGTAAACGGGGGCACGTTGAAACCTGTGGCCAAGCCTTTTCTTCTGAACAGCAGCACAGGTAGTAAATCTGCAGCAATAATTGCTTCTCAAATTCATATTTAGTGAGATTYGCTGTCATGCAGACTCTTTACAGCCAAGGCGTTTGCTGGAGTGAAAGTTCTGCTTTGATCCACAGAAGCAAAATACTTCCTTATAAAGGTTTCCCTTGCAATTAATTTCATAACTTGCTGTGACTCTTGAGCGAATCATTGTGGTGAATCCACTGGTAACTCCTCAGGGATTTCATCCAAGAAAGTCTGTGTGTGCGGTGCCACTAGTCAGCTTTGCTTTAACTGCCTTGTTTCTTTTGAGCTACAACAAATGGGGCTGCCATGAGCCACTGGTTTGAGAGTCCCTGCCCAGCCCCATGGGCAGTTTTGGGCTGAGCAATTAGCAAAGGGAGACGTTTTGGCAGCTGAGGGCTGTTGTGGGGTGGCTGCCTTGCCTGTGTTGCTGTATTTAAGCCCCGCTGCATCACTGGGTTCTGGTAAAGTGCAAGGCACTGCTGCCCTCCCTGGCAAGTGCCACGTGTGGGGACGTGTTGGCTGTCACAGTGATGTGTGCTGGAATGCAGCTTTCCATCTTCTAATTTTTCTTTTTTTATATGTATTGTAGTCTTTGGCAAACATCGATGAGGTCGTGAACAAAATCAAATTGAAAATAAGGTAAATTCTTTTCCATTCTGTTGCGTTTCACATGGTGACAACCACCCTAATCACTAAGGCTTCATAAATAYAGTTTTTGTGCTGTTACTAACCTGAAATAAACCTGTCCACATCTTCCAACCAAATCCAGTAGGCAAGGAATGGGGAGGAGATGAAAATATCTCATTATAGACCTTTGTTTTGCCTCTATTGTGCAATAGGTTTTGTTCAGAGATCTTAAGTGGTAGGTTGTGAAGTCGAGTTTTGAAAGGCAAATTAAGAACAAACAAGTATCAAATTGTAGCACAGTTTGAAGGCTAAGAAAACAACAAGCCAGAATAAATTAGCAGTAGCCAAATAACTGCTTGTAAAGTCAAATTAGCAACCATAGAAACTTGTGTTAAATATTTTTGTCATTCTACCGTCAGTATGTAGTACAAGTGTGAATATGGAGGAAATACTGTATAAAGTCTGGCATTAGCAACCTGAGAAGACTGAGAGAATGCTGCAACATATGAAAGAAAGGTTGAAATTGATGAAGAAGAGCTGAAGGTAGTGGCTAACAAAAGAAATGCAAGAAGCCTTGATTAAATTAGGAAATAGTTTCATTTTTGCAGCAGGATTTTTAAATTACATGAGATATTGATGTCCTGCAGAGAGAGAAATAAATGTGGGTTTAGCATTCACGGCACCAACTTTATTATTACTATTTGGTCTTTTAAGTTCTGGAGATCCGTAGGAATTGCTGGAGTCATGCGTGTGGGAATGAGCCTGACATTGTGGCTTCTCTCCTGCAGGAGGCTGGATGACAGCATCCGAACCGTGGTGAGAGGACAGACCAACGTGGGGCAGGATGGCAGGCAGGTACGTGCGTCTCCTCGCACGGGGTGAGCGCCGACGTTCCCATCTCRTGCTCCTAAACTGAGGAAAGGCAGAAACCTGCTCTTGTCATTACCAGGGTGTTTGTGCCACCTCTTGTACTGATGACTCTGCTCGCTGAGCAGCTGTTCTCACTTGCTTTCTGATCCCTCTGCAAAGAGAAGTGAATAMGATTGATTTTAAAAAATCAAAAGCAGAAAGGGGAGGCTCGCGGTTGCGCCACCGTGCAGCTAATTACAAATGAACAGCAGTAAATAGATGCAAGCACATTTGCTACTGAGTAAGGATCAATAAAAGGATATTTAGCCTTTAACTAGGTCATTTGTTGAAATATCCTGCATCATTAGTGACTAAGCCTGATGACTGCCTGCCGGTTCATCTTGCGTGAATCATCCCGCAATCAGGTTTTCGTTTGTCTTTTGCTTGACAAATGTGTGTGCTCAGAGCACAGTATTGAACATCATGGCCATGGCTACGGTGTTTGTGAACACTGAGCTGATGTTATCTCGTGTTGCAGCATCACCTGATGCTGCTGTTTCCTGCATCTGCTCCATTTTAGACCAGAACATCAATGTCCTGAGCTGACAGTCTTGCTGCTTTCCTCAGCGCCAAGTGATCTGTGTTTCTCTTACTAGATTTAAGGATGGATTGGTGGGAAGGGACAATTGTTCCCTTAGTGGCAAGAGGGCCTGTGTTTTCCTGTTCTTGCTGCAGTAGCAGAGTATATTTGCTCATTCTTTGCCTCTGAATGCATCAATCTAACCTCTTTTTTTTTCCATGCAAAATCTGTTGTGTTCAAGCTGGGCATCAAGTCTATGCAGGAAGTGGTGAAAAGCACTGCTTCTCACAGAGAACAGAAAAAGGACAGAGATTAAAACATTTGTATTGCGCCAGCTTCCAACACATTTGTTTCTGCAGTCTTGTGCTCCCAAAGATATGGGGAATTTACTTCCCTAGAGGAGAACACATGGAGTCTGGGACCTGATCGGGGGGGGAAAACCTTTGTATTTCTAACCTCAGSTCTGCCAAGGCAGAGGCCTTGGGTGAACTATTTCACCTGCCTATTCCTCAGTATTGCTGTCAGCAATGTGGGCTGCTGACCTCTCCCAGCAGAACTAGTTCAGTGTTTGTGTGATTCACCGAGTGGTGCTGCTAAAGGGGATGTGTTTGGGATGTGGCGTGAGGGAGGAGGGCAGCTTGGCTGTTCCCGCTGCCTAATTGCTGTGCAGGGATGAGGTAAGGCAGGTGGGGAGGCAAYTACTGAGATTGAGGTGGGAGTGGAAAGTGAACAAGCATTCTTGTCCTTAGTTGCAGATACTCTCAGCTTTTGTTCCCTCTGCTGCGCAAGGTGGAWTTGCCCCTTAGAAAAGCCTGTGAAGCCTGCAGGTGCTCGGGCTCTGCGCTGAGGCCTGGCAGTCCCAGAAGCAGCCCAACTTTTCCCCACTTTCCAGCCTTCCTCAAAAACTGGAATTCAGTTGCTAGCAGCGTGGTGGGGCTGGCAGTGGGACAGGCTGTCTTGCAGCCCTGGAGATTGCTTAAATAGCATTTTGTTTTGAGGTGACATTCTATATTTGGTGCTCAAGAATCCAGCAGGGAAATGTGGAGGAAACAGTTGCTGTTCCTGTCATCTCCATGCTCCTTTTTTCTGCTTCATCATACATGTCGACTGGGGAGGGAGAGAGCCTGTAACCACACAGCAGCCCCGCTAACATCAGCCTGGAGGGGGTGGAACCTTGATCCTTAGCACCAGGCACCTGCCTTGGTGCAGAAGGCGCCTTTGTTTGAGCAGCTTGTGTTTGCTGGGGTCAAGGACACTTGGAAATGTTGTGTTTTCATAGTGTGAGAGGCCGCTGAAAGGGAAGCTGCCCTTAGGAAAAGCAGCTTCTCTGCCAGGAACGGAGTCTGTACTTTTGTGCGGGTGTTTATTGTAGTGGCAGCAGAAGTGAACAGCAAAAGCAAGGCCAATATCCCTGCACACGGATGGGCAGTGGGATCCGACAAGCTTTCCCAGAGACTTTTCCTTTGATCACATCCTTTACCAACAACATATGCTACAAACAAACTGCTGTTTGCCAGAATTGCTTGGCTGTGTGAATGCACAGCTAAAAAACATTCTTGTCTGGAGAATAAATATGTTTTTTTATAAACATCCTCTTAGGCTTTGACTTCCCTCCTGAAGAAACAGAAGCCCTGGGTGTGGTGGTAAATAAAGCAAGAGGTTGAAGTCGGAGCAAGCGGCACGTTCGCTTGTGTCCCTGCTGGGTACGGCAGGAGAGGCAGCGCTGGGGACATCAGCAGAGCTTGTCCCTTCCTCGGCTTTGTCACCTCCTGTCAGCTTTAATGGCAGAGCGGGAGGGTTGGGGTCTGCTGCAGGCGGGTGACCCGAGCACGAGGGGCTGGGAGTTGTCATCTCCTGATCCATTTGGGGATGTGTGTTTGACAAGTGAGGATGCCAGGCTTCTGGAAGATGGAGCTGCGGTTCCTTGGCCCATAACAGGTTTCTTTGCTCCCAAGGAAGGGGATTCAGAGCAGGAGAGCCCGGTGAGGCGGGTTYCTAGTGCAGAGGAGCAGCGGCCTTGGCGAGAGCTGCACCTCCTTTGCCGGCCAGGAGAGGGGAGCCCAGCCTTGCTTTCGAGCCCAGCCTGGCACGCTGCTTCGCTCCTAACTGTCTGTGCTTTATTCTCCCACCCAGAGTGCCCAAATCCTGCCCGGAGCCGATGCTGAAGGGTGGTTTATGGCCATATGTGCTCTGTGCTCCCCTGGAAAGCAGAGCCAGGGGTAGGAAGTCCAGAGTCCTCCTTGCAGCTTCATGCTCATCCTCCCAGTGACCCAGTCCCCTGTCCAGGCAGGCTGATGGTGTTTGCAGTGGTGAGGATGACACTTCTGTGGGCTGTGGTTATTGAACAAGTCTTGCAGATGACCTGTATGTGTGTGGCTTGCAGGAGGAGCTCTCTGCAGTCCTTATGCATTTTCCCAAGTAGTGCTGATCACATATGCAGGTATGCACGAAATAGCATTTAGTGGCTGAAAAAGCAGATTCTGAATCTAAATAGCTCTTCTGGGGCTGTATTTATTTGATTGACTTTTGTTTCAGCAGCTCTGGARGCTGGAACGCGCTTGCCTCCGCGGAGCGCAGCGTTGCTGGGTTCAAAGCATCTGCCTCTCTGAAATTTTGCCTTAGAATTTCCTCTGAATGCAAAAATCTTAAAATAGCCCCGCTCGTTTGGCGCCTGCTTCCCGGTGCGATGTTCCTGCGGAGCCTGCAGCCGATTCCGTTACCTTGGGGAGATGCCGTTACCTTGGGCAGGGTGTAGCAGAGCCGCCCGGGCGCTCCCACAGCGGTTTTCCCTTCGGAAGGGCCGCGCGTGGATCCGCTGCCGAGTGCCGACCTTGCTGCGAGCTGCAGCTGCTCGAGCCCTGCTTCCCTCCCCGCCCCAGGCTGCGGGATAAAACGTTCCCAGAGATTTTTCCATYGGGTGTTTAACGCGCTCCATGCGTTTTTATTTGTCGCTCTTTTGTTGTGTTTATTGCTAAGGCTTCTGCATGGGCTGGCTGTAATTTTTTTGACAGTTGCTGACGTGCCCTTGCTGTTTGTTTGGCTGGAGTGGCTTCACCTGTCAAGCCTATAGAGCAGCCTCTGTATTTTCAGACTATTTTAACCCTTGGAATGTCTCTCTGCAGCTCAGTTTGTCCTTTAGCATCTCTTAGTATGTTAGGGCCCTGGCTCAGTTGGTGCTAGAACAAAACAAGGGTCAACTAAAGCGAGGACCTGGATGCGTTTGGGGCTGGGAAAGCCTTACACGTATCTCATGGCCAAAGACACCAGTCTGATGACTTGCTTTACTTGGCTCCTGCTTCTCTGCTTTGCTCCATGAGAAAAGTAACGTGTTTTTCCTTAACTACAGCAGTGCAGGCGGAGAGGTGGCAGCCGCGGTGGTTAAGGAATACAGATAGATTCCTGCTGCCCAGCCTGAGCGCAGCGGGTGTGAGTTCAATTAGCCATCCCGTACCTCGTTAACCACCGCTGTCCTTCGCTGCGACGTCTGGCAGCGCCTCTGGAAGGAGGAGGATGCATCTGCCATGGAGAAATGCCCAGGAGTTATTGGGCTCAACAAGGTCAGAGACAGAAGGATGGGAGATATTCTCTCCCTTGGCTTTTTTTTCCCCTTTGTTTTAGTAGAGATCAGGAAACMCTTTGCAGGATCGATACGGGGAGGAAGGAGGAAATGAAGATGGACGGTGAGCAGAGGAGAGACAGCTTTGGCGGCCACAGGTTGTTCCGAGTTGGCTAATGCAGTCGGTGCTCCCAGAGCACCTGCTGTATGTATAGATCACCTGCTGTACGTATGGATTTTAGTTGGGCCTCTATTTAAATAAACGCCCTGCTCCAGGCTCAGGCTGCACCCTGCTTCCTTGGTGCACGGGCTCAGGGAGCATCCGCAGGGCCACAAGTGCCGCGGCCGCAGCTCTGCCGTGAGCTGGCAGGAGGGCAAGGGAAATGAGAAGACCTCATCTCTTAATAGCTAATTAATCCTCATGTCTGGAAAATATTTGGGGGCTTCTCTGTGCCACAGAAATCACTGATGATTCAGGCACCGTCTCTTAACAATCTCTCCTACGTGGTTTATTTTATCTCCCATTTTCTGACCAACAGATCCTCATTCTGAAATAGGAACGGACAACTGTTATTTTTTGTTGTATTTTGAGGTGGTGGAGATTAAATAGTCTGTTTTTGACCATGTAATTATATATATTTTTTTAAAAAAAAGACCATGTTACAGATTTGGTAAGATTTCAGAGCAGTGACTGGTGCCCCATCATATTCTTAAGCTTTTGTAGCCAGTGACAAATAAACAGAAGTTGAGCTGCCAAAACAAATCAAAAGTGAGATTCATTTAGAGTCATTTCCCAAGTGAGTTATGACAGTTGGATCGTGTCCTGCCCATCTCAGACACACAGGAAGCTTTTTCAAGCCTAAAACATGTTTATTGCAAAGGGTTTCAGGTGAATGGCATGCCAAGAAGAAATAGTGCTGTTTATAATACCCTTTGGCGACTGCCCACCAAAAATGGCATCTGCCACCATAGAAAGAGGTCAGGCAGAACTTGTGCCATCTGCTGCAAGCCCTGCTCAAGGCACAAGCAACCCTGAGCTTGACCTTCTCTCGTGTTCCTGTATTTAAGGCACTGCCCGTCAGGTTGCCTCGGGCTGGGGAAGGGGCTGTGTTTTGGGCTGGCAAAAGGCTTTTTGGTGGTGTTGAAGGCACTGCAAGGTGCAGAGGAAGCCTGGGCTCCTCCACAGCCGGCACCATTCGGTTTTGTTGCCAGCACATCAAGAGCCCAGCTTGAAAATGGAAACCTTGACACCAGACAGGAGTTTTTGTCATACGACAGGGCTTTTTGCTCTCTCTCTGTCCTTTCTTTCTCTTTTTTTTTTCCTTTTTGGTGTGTCCCATGTCACAATATTTCATCCAACGGTGTTGCTTCCATGCCTATGGCTGATGAACTGTCCTCATTTCCAGTTATAAATCCCTATTTGTAGGGGTCGTGATCTGGTTGCACATTTTTCCTCCCCAATCTTGGCCTCTAGGGCGAGCAAACAGATCGATCTTGCAGAAAGTGAGAAGCAGCAACTCGGCCCGTTGCTAAACCTGCAGAGCCACGCGCTTCAGCTGCAGGGATCCATCCTCAGCTCTGAAACCTGGAGAGCTTCCTACGAAATGAAACCGGATTGAGGTTCAGCAGCTGTTTCCACCCTTTCCCAAACTGGAGGGACTCGTTTGTAGGAGACTTCAGTGACAGAAATTGTTTGGTGGTCACAGTGTCCAAGGGTCTCTCTGTGCAGCTGAGGCTCCTTGGAGGGTTGGGGATGGGCATGTATTTCTAGGCACGGTCTCAATTTTTCATTGATCTGGGTTATAAGTGTGGTCTCAATTTTTTGGTCTCAATGGTCTCAATTTTTCATCGATCTGGGTTATAAATGAAAGGAGCATTAACACCCTGTATCCAAGAACGGGGATAGATCCAGGAGCATTAAATTCTCAGCATCCTGACCACATCCCAACTTGTAACATTAAAAATACATTTGCATGCTGTGAAGTTGGCAGATGTCAAGTGCCTATAAAATACTTAGTAGAGGACAGCTTTCTGATGTGGGTAATAACATACAATAGAAATATATATTGGCTAGAAACAAATAAACTGAGCACAACACCAGTAAGCATATGGAAACTATCGTGGTGTTTTAACCATTGCTGGGGACAGAACAAGGTTAATTCAGGAGTTTCCGAGCTTGGAGTTCCCCAAGTAATCGAAGTACCCCTGAAGCTTTGTTCTCTCCCTGGGCACAGGACACTTTGTAGTAATGTGCGGGTCTCTCTGTGCCTTTGTTTGAATATTTCCTGACATTTCAGGGTCTGTTTTCGTGCACCGGGAGGAATTGTGAGATATTTGGGAATCTCACACATGCTGAGGGGGGGATCACGGCACGCTCGGAAGGAGGGCAGGGTCTGCCCTCTTCCCTAAATTTCCCATTCCCAGAGCATCTAGGGTATCCCAAGGACAACACCATGGGAGAAGCACCCGCGTGGGACACGGCAGGACAGCCCGGCCCYGCTCCGGCCCCGTTGCTGCCTGCACTTGAGGGAGCACAGAGGTTGCGTGGAGCTGTAATAAATAATGCTGATGGGTTAATTGTAGCTCGCAGGCTCGCTTGTTGATTAGAGTCATATGGTGTTTTTCCAGTACATCGCAACCTTAATTTCAACAGCCTTGTTTCACATAACCACGGCGGATTATGTATCCGGCCTCTTTATTTATTAGTGGTCCTCTGCCCCTGGAGTGACCTGCTATTTTAGGAAAGGTCCTAAATAAGTCCTCAAGGTCCAATGCAATATCCTGACATTGGTCAGCCCTTTGGGGGTACCGCTTAGACCCACATTTCCCAGTTGTGCTGCTGAAGAAACCAGTAAGTTAATAGCACAAGGTGAACCCAGTGTCAGGCCGCAGAAGATCAGCAGATATCGTTAACCACATCAATTAGTTACGTCAGATTAAGAGCACTTCTGAATCTCTTGGTAGTGGTTTGTTTTTAGAATTTCTGTCCAAAAGAAATCCTCTCTTAGTAAAATAATAACGATAAGAAAGTGCTTGTAAAACTCATGATTCACTGCCTTAAATGGAGCAGTTATTGCTTGTAGAAGGGAGGATTTACTGGAAAGAAACTGCACTCCTACCAAGTGCAGAGGCTGGTGTCTCCGTGTCTGCARTTCCCCATTTCCTGCCTTACGGGGGAGAGTAAGTGGCAGATAATGCAATAAGCTCCTGTGTTAGGCCTTGAATAATTAGGCCTATCTTCACATCTTAGATGTTGATTACTTATCCCTCAGTAATGAGCATCATTTATCAAATACGAGATGTTTTTATTTAAAAGAAAGAGGTTTGCGTTTCTGGCCRCGCTCTCTTTGTTGTGCTCGCTGCAGCGCCCAGCACGGTGAGCTTATTTTTCTCCATTATTGCTTAGTTTAATTTCCTCCCTTTGTTTGCAGTTCTTTACTTTCRAACGCTGCTGGTTTTATTGTATTTGGTTTTTTCAGAAAGAGCCCTAAGAATGCTTAATGGTGGGCATTGTTCTAAATTTTCCATGTGTAATAAATTTTCATCCAGCATTAATTTCAGATCATATGTATGTTTGGAAAAAAAAGGTTTTCATCTCTAAATATAAATTATATATATTAATAAAAAAAACAAAATATGTCAATAGAGGACATTAATGAATTAGCTTCTTATTAGCTTCTTGCAGCTCAAATGAGGAATATCTTTTTTTTTTTTTTTTTTTTTTTTAAGGACAGTAGCTATTGAATTAGTTGAAGATTTATGCCTTAATGGCTAAGCAAATATTTGGAAGCAAGTTTTAAGAAGTGAAACTAGTGTTTGTGAGAACTCCTATGCTCAACTCCATTAAGTTTGAGTTCTCTGTGTAGGTTTTTTGAGTTCTGTGTAGGTTTTTTAACAGCGCTGGAAATGCAACTTCCCTGCAAGAGCCGCGGAGCAGACGGGGAGCTGCCGGTCCTGCCTCTCCTCTCCTCTCCCCCGCGTTACAACCGGGTTGTTTTTCAAGGCAGCAGGAGACCGGACGACCTCAATTCATCACTGGGTGCAGAGCACCCGTCTGGCTCCTGTTTTCCCTGCTTTCGGTCTGCGAGGAGGCAAAAAGCAAGGTCAGGAGCAGGGAGCCRGCGTTCCCTGGGCTCGTGCAGAGGAGTGAGCAGCGGTGCTGAAGCGAAGGCAAAGAGCAGCTGCCTTCCAGGGAGACCTGCACGTTGATTTCTCTGCAGACCCATCCAGGAGAATCCGCCAGCGTTYGGGGCTTGCTCAGCAGCCCCCTTGACTGATGGGCTGCTGCCRTGGTCTGGGATGCAGGACAGAGACAACAGTTAAATTTTATGTTGAAAAGAGCATTTGGTGGCTCCCTGGCTTCTGCTTAAGCCACACTCCTTTGCATCCAATGCAGCTCTTSAAGCAGAGCCCAGGCTGCAGCCAAATTAGGAGGAAGATAATGGTGGACACTCCTAATATAGCTGTAGCCTGTATCCCTGTATCCCTGTAGCCCTTTAAGTGCTCAATTCTCTTACTGAGTATGCAATATGATAGCTGTGTCACACTAATAGATAAAGTGTTAACTTCCACATGATTCAAAAGATATTTCAGAGGAGTCTTTGTTTTTCCCCCACTCTGGAAAATGAATTATAAAATGTTTCCAACTTTTATACTTTTATTGTAATGCAGCTTTGTTCCAGCAAAAGCTCCTGGCAGGCAGTTTGCTATCACATTTCCAAATGAAGATGTGTTGAATTTATTTGCTGGAGGATCTTGTAGCTAGTATTGTAACCTTGGTCATGAGACTGGATATAAAAACAGAGGCATAGAAGCTTGCTTGACTGAGGAAAGAAAGCGGAGGTGGAGATGCAGATACTACCAGACTGGGAAGGCAGAATGCGTTGAGTTGCTGCAGAAAKCAGATTTTGGACGTGGGATTTTAAACAAGCAGCTTTGCTTGTTGCCTCCGTGTGAAGTTCATGCTGGTTATATGAGGTTAGGATATACTGTGGTCGCATGAGGGAGACCAGATACACCAAGAAGTTTGCAGCAAAATGGTACAAAAATTCAGGCCAAGTATCTCACCTCAGGACCAATGATACAACACAGCTATTAAAAGTGGGGATATTACCAAAATATATGGGGATATAACCAAAACCATATCGTCGTCAGGATGAGTGCTTTCAGTGTTTGTCGTAATGTAGAGGATTTATTTGTGTCTGAAGACATACTAATCACCAGAAGTTTATATTTTTCTGCACTTGGAAATTTAAAACGGTTACCTTAAACATTTTGTTGTTCCGATTCATATTGTATAGAGGTGCTTTCATAGAAAATCTCAATCAGATTTTTGTCAGCACATTATTGTAAAATGAATGCTGAAGTATTGGTCTTTGCAGATGAATATCCCGGTGTGAAGGTATTAATATATAGGCTTTGGATGTGCTAACCACATTTTCTTTGTAACACAGCAGCTCCCCTCCACTGTCCCAGCCCAGGTTGTTGAAGGGTTTTATTTTTATCTTAAAAGATAAAAACTGAACAAATATTCTCTTTATTTCTTTTCCAGGCTCTGGAAGAAGCCCAGAAAGCAATTCAACAACTCTTTGGTAAAATTAAGGATATTAAGGACAAGGCTGAAAAGTCAGAACAAATGGTGAGTAGCATTTTCTTCCTAGCCTTGGAAAGGGAGCGGAACAGYGACCTTTGCTTCCAGCCCTTGTTAGAAACGGATCGTTTTTGTCTGTGGTACTGTTGTCTGGTGGCTGATCACTATTGAACATGACTGGATAAGAAATCTGATAGTGTTTGTGGAACCTGTATCCTTGTCCTTGTGTTAGCCTGGCTGTAGAGCTAATGTGTTTCTAGCCCCTGAGGGAGGAGAGAGCCCGTCTCATTTCCTCAAAACATCGTGGCTTGATATTTAACCCAGACTCTCGGTTTTGTGTTCATTAGGTTAAAGAAATCACGCGGGATATCAAGCAACTAGATCACGCCAAGCGTCATCTGACCACCTCCATCACCACCCTCAACCACCTGCACATGCTGGCGGGCGGTGTGGATTCGCTGGAGTAAGCATGTGTGTTTTTAATAGTGCCCTGACACCACCGCCGAGCTGGGGAGGCCRGGGCAGCGCCCCCGAAAGCTGCTTGTTCTTCAGGAGAGACGTTTGCCTGGAAATTATGACTTGTTGACCGCTCCTTTCTCTGTTACCCAAAGTGACTTATGGCCTATACTGTTATATATAGGGGTTGCAGCATCAGTTGCTTGAATTGCAGTGTAGATGATTAGTGATAAGGTCTTGCTTYCTTAAAGAGCAATACAATGCAATATCCTCACTAAGAATGTGTCCTTCAGGGGTTTGGGAAGATGCTGATCAGTCTTGGGTTTTAAGCGGAGATGGAATCTCCTTCCAGGAGAGATCCTCTCTAATTCTGAGATGAATGAATCCAAATAGACCTTACAGCTTGTAGTATGTATGGAGTTGAGGCTACATATATAGTCCTGCCCAATATAGTCCTGCCCAATAGTCCTTTGTGGGTTTTTATATGCTTGGGGAACACACTGGCTAAGGGAGTCCAGTTTTTACATGTTGCATCTGGGAAGCTGCAAGACCCAGGCACAGCCTGTTCTTGGGTTGTAGCAAATGCTGCACGAACACTGGGTTGTTAAGTGGTTAGAATTAAATTTTACTTAAGCTGCTGCCTCCGCTGGAATGATCTAATGGATGAAGAAAAAATAAACTTGCTTTTTTTTTCTGTCAGTTCCCTGCAAAAGTTATTAACAGAAAAGTTGAGGCTAAGAGCTTTTCAGCATAATGATTCTGCTCCCCATGAAGCTCTAACTTGCACTTTGTGTGTGATGACAAATGGCTTAACTCAGGTCGTTACAGTAAAGCAGCATTTACTGCCTCTGGACCCATACTGGGAAGTAAATGCATTCAGTAGTTTACATGTTCTTTGCCAAGCGTTGCTTTTGACGTTTATGTTTTTTGAAGCATCGTTAGATGTATGCTGGATTGGTTTATTTTAGCATCAGTTGAATGAAATTGTAATGTAGTATTGGAATGTTAATGAAGAGTTGTGTACTTTAGAAAAATAAATGTCCGTGAGGATTGGCGTGATCCAGCAAGGATGAGGTAACCTGTGGAAGTACCACCCAAGATATTCAGCAAACCTGCCTCTGTAAATCTCTCATTTCCTTTACAGGGCCATGACCAGAAGGAGACAGTATGGGGAAGTTGCCAACCTTCTCCAAGGCGTCGTGAATGTGTTAGAGCACTTCAACAAATACATGGGGATTCCTCAAATTCGACAGCTTTCTGAAAGGTAAAATAATCAAGCGCTGAGCACGTGCATGCCTGTTGGTAAGGCAGGTTAGAAAATGCATTAGACAGATTCAGTTCCACAAGAATGTGAAGGCTGGACACGGTCCTTTGAGCTTATTCCCAGCCAAACCTGGTTAAAATTGGATGCACTTTGCTCAGATCTTGACCGTTCTGTTAAATAACTACAATTATTATGGATGTAATTCATAAATGTTCTTCTCATTGATGGGCTTTTAATTTATCTGGAATAATTTTTAGAAGTGAATTTTTGTTTTATCTGACTTTGGTGTGCAGGTGTTTGTGGTAGACCTTGAAGTGATTCTTTTTGCTCCTTTCTTAACCTCAGTGAGATATTCCAACAATCTCAGCAGAAATATATCCATTTAACATACTGGTGCTTGGGCTACTTTGTGCTCAGGCTGTGCCTTACTGCTATCAAATTGCTTGGTAGACTAAGGACTGGAGCTTTTTCTAATCTGCACCAAGAACTGCTCCTTCTTTCTATGGGTTAAGCAGGCAGGCAGGTTTTCTTTTTATGGACTTGCCAGACTCATTTAGTCTAAGCATCTTGTGTGTCTTTTGCCAAAACTTGTGCCCGTTGCCAAATTCTGCTGAATTTTGAGGCTTGTAATAGCAAAGTCTTCCAAAATAACGTGCAGCTTGCCTGGCTGGTTTAAAGATTTGCCCTGGTAAAAAGGTTTTGAGCTTGTGTAGACCTGATTTCTAGCATGAAGATACACGTCTGGATTTGGCGAGTTGTGGTGCAGCTCCAAGAGAAAGAGCCTGCTGTTCTCCACAGTAGCAGATCAAGGCTCAGGGATGACTAAGCCCCCGAATCTTTGGGAATTTGGGGCTTCATTTGGGACTTAACAACCAGATATCAAAGGAAGGGATCTAGGCCTTTCGTGTTCAAGGGGACATTGGTGTCCCTGGGATAGTCTGGGAGCCCAAACCTTTCCCTGCTTTACCGCAGGCTTCATTTCCCCACACCACACGTGTGGTATTTGCTCAAGAGCYTGCTGAGCACGGCTCTGAGATGAAAACAGCCTATTAACATTAGAGCTGAACCTTCTTAATGACACCGTCATGTTTGATAGTGTTGCTTTTCAGCTTGCTGTTTGAACTGCAAATCTGCACTGCCATCCTCTTGATGGCTGAGATGACTTTGCTCATTACAGAGSTACTCGAAGGAGCCTTCCAGGCACAGTAATTAATTTTTTGGTGATTCCTTTCGCTACAACAGCAGCTGGCTGCTGTTTTGCAGTGGAAATAATGTTCAAGTGTGTGTTTGTAGTGTTTATATTTACATCTGCTGGACTTTATTGGGTAGGTACCTATTCCCCAAAACCCAATGAAATCCATGAGGCAGAGCTAAAGAAGGATCTACCCTAAACCAAGAGAGATGAACATGATTTTTGGTTTAACAACGCATTTAACCATAAGCCTTTGCYGATCATGAACATTAAGGAGATATAAAGATATATCAATGTTTTTCTGCATGTAGATTGTGCTCTATGCCAGGGCTTTCTCTCAAAGATAACTTGTTTCATTTTCTTCCAGACAGGTAGTGTCCTAGGCAGAAGTCTGCTGGCCTTGGCCATTTACAGCCATGTAGAATTCAAACTGTGGGCAGGAATTCTGATTTTTTTTTTTTCTCGTTCTAGTGGAAGATTATTTCTTTTGTAGTTGCTCATAATTAGAAAAAAAACTTCCTGATGCCGCTAAAAGCCCCAGTGATACCAAGTCACACTAGAGAGACCTACAGGGATGTGGAAGAAAACTCCCTTTCCTTTAGCCTGGCTCCAAGATAAGGATCTGAGAAGCTCCACGCCTTTTGCTCCTATTTTTAGATTTGCCTCTGTTGGATTTTCCTTCAGTGTTTACAGGGTGAGAGTTGCACCATCTGGTAGCGATCGAAGTGGCTGTTTGGTGGAGTGAAAGGAGAGCTACACGCAACAAGTTGCTAGGATCTCTGCACTGCTTTGACATCCAGGCAGCAAATTATTCCAGGGAGCTTTACTGGGCTCTAATACCTGCTTTGGACTTTGTCTGGACGTGTACCTATAGGGCACAGTCTGGAGCTGACTTCGTTTCCCCCCTCTCTTTGCTTGAAAGCACTTCCATGATTCATGAAACATCAAAGGAAGTTTGCCTGACTCCTTTAGTACTATTTTTATACTGTTAAATTGCTAGGGTTTGATGCCTTCATGAATTTCATTTAATAGCACAGCTGAAGCCTCTTGGACATTTGTGAAAGCAAGAAATGCCTCTTATAAGTAGATTTTGGTAAGGATGAGGGGCAGCAAGTGACATCTATTAAATGTGTGGCTGGATGAGCGGATTCTCTTGCTTTTTTTTTTTTTATTAAAGAGCCTCTCTTACTTGATATGAATGGATTCAAGTCAAATATGAATGGCAAGCCACGGGAAAGGAAAGTGCTGCTGGTGGATGTGATCTTTGTCACATGCTGTTTAATTTTGCTTCCCGCTTTCTGTTGCTGTGAAAACTCCTGATGTGTTTTAAATGCTGCTTTCCACCTGTCTTGTCCCTTGGAAAATGATCAAACAAAACCACTTACAGCATCATAGGAGGGTTGACAGCACCCTCGACTCCTTGGGCTCTTGGACTGATGCTCTTGACATAGAAATGTCACAATTCGCATCCAAATGCAGATAATTTTCTAGTATTGATCCCAAAACAACCTCTGATACGGTGCAGTGGAAGGTGTTTGTTGTAGTTAATAGTGATATTTTATTATCTCTTACTTCTGCTCAGTTTTCTGTCTCTGGGGAAGAGTATTCAATTAGTGGTCACAAACCCACCCATGAAAGCGGTCTGGAAAGCGTAGCAGATAATGGAAAAAAGCCTGGAAAGTATTTAGAAGAAAGATAATTATAAGTTTACCTCAGCAAAACCGGCTAGCTCAGCCTGTTTTTATCTCAGCAGACTGCCAGGCCTAGTTTAAGATTTCTGGTAGCTTTGGCTAGAGGAATTGTGGTTTCTAGCAATTTACTGTCATTTGAAACACAGCGGTGGGTGTTGTTGTTGTTATAGTTGTTTTCTATTCGGCTGATTTTGCTTGCTTGAGGTTTGTTTTGCTTGTTTGCTTGTTTTTTAAGGTGAGGGTAAGTCAGGGAGAAGTCCCTAGGTCTGCGGTGCCCAAAGGTTTTGGGGGGTGATTGATTTCCCACATATGGGCTCAGGTCGGATCCCACGCAGGCATCTGGCCCAGGAGAGACATCTGGATGACACTGACCCAAGAAGAGCTCCTGAATCTGTAAAAACTAGGAGGTGCCRCCACTTGGGGCCTAATTCACTTTTTGTGCCACAACTTAGGGCCTAATTCACTTTTTGCACCCGCTTTACCACTCCCGCAGCTGGGCCTTGCTGTGGTGAATGGAGGTGGCCTCGGGATCCAGGCTCCAGCCCCTGCGCTTCCCATTCCCCTTCCCCGAGGTTTATTTTCAATTGAAAGCCTCGTGGCTTCCCCTGGGGAGCAATAATCCCCGGCGGCTAAAGCAAGTGCCTTGCTGTGTTCCCTGCCGAAAGCTAAGATGTGGCGTAAAGACTTTTATGTTTCTGAGTGCATTTCAGTGGAAAAAATAAATAATTGTGCGTGTCTCTGTGGGGGGCTTGTGTTAAGAGTGGTGATTATGGGGAGGGCGGTGAGGCACATGCTGGTTGCTCACGCGTGCCTAAACCTTGGGCTACTTTGATTTCTCTGCCCTATCCGTATCTTACAATAACTGCAAAAAAAAAAAAAAAAAAAAGCTAAACCTCATTTCCTTTGTTTTTGAGAGATGTTTATGCATGAGAGATATTTTAAAACACATGTATTAACACCTCAGTTCAGCAAGGTGTTTGCGCAGGCTTGTTAATTGAAGGATGTGAGAATGCCCTTTAAGAATATTTGTAAGTACTTTTCTGAATCAGAGCCTAAAATAACAAAGCCTGTGGACAGGGCTTTTAGCTGCTCAGCGAGGCCGCTTTTCCCTTGAATGCTTAGGAATCTGGCTGCTGCTCTTTCCGAGCTTTCACTACTTGGYACTGCAGCTGGTTTCAAATGGGAAGCTTAGTCTAGCTTGTCTTATATAAGAAAATAAGTACCAGGGCTAATAGTTTAATTTGCTTATATAATCTCATTCATTTTTATGACTCCTGATACTAAAGACTTGATTGTTTCTTGACTGTTTAAAAATGCTAATTTCTTCGGTCTGGTCTSAGTGTCTTTCTTTCTTTCCTTTAATTTTTTCATGACCAGAGGATTTGATTCTGTGAATGCTTCCTGGCATGAGTTACGTAAAGAGGGATTATACCTGTTGTTGGGGCTGCTGGGATGGGTTCCTCCTCTTTCCTGCTTAAATTTTCTGTTCCTTCTATTTTAGCATATTAGCAAATGCCTTTTGTTTTACAATTGCTAGCTCCGGTCTATACCTGAAACACTATTTCAGCTTTCAGACATTCCTGTGAAGCAGTGAGCTCAAGTGAGAGTTATGTTTGACATTGCAAGAAGGAAGGTTTTTCAAGCAAAATCCCCATAAATAAATCCTGCATAGCGCAGGTCATACACACAGTTAAATCATAAATATCATATTATATTTTAACCCCAGCTTTTAAAGGAATGGATTTTTCTGCATTTGACAGCATTGAAAATCCAGCCAATTCTTCAGCATTGCTGGCTTGTCTGGTAGTGCTTCTGCTGCTAATGAATCTGAAATGGGAAGGTTAAAGATAAGACTGAGGAGTCTTAAATAAAAAAAATCCAAATTCTTCTCTCACCACCCGTGCTTTGTACAAACATTTCCACAGAAGTGAATGTATCCACTCGTTCTAACATATCACTCTGTGGAAAAATGCACTGCTTTGAATAATACGTTTAGTCCTTAAAGTGTTTCCAGTATAATAAAAAGTGATGGAAGAATTCAAGGTCTGCAGAGGAATATAAGTGCCTCGCTATTTATTTTGGCTCCTTCCAGTATGTGTAGGCATTTCCATTTCCCTAGAAGTATCAATTAGGGCATATTGACTTTTATTTCTGGAAATTGGAAGCTTTATTCTCTCAGCTAAATAAAGAGCAAGGCTTTTGGTCTGTTCAGATTTTTTCATCCATCTCATACCTTTGCTCTTTTATGCTTCTTAAGACATAAAGAATTTATAGCATACCAGCACCGCCAAACAGTATTCGCATGGATGCACCTAAAAGTAGGTCAGCACACCTGGAACTGTGAAAGATTCACCATGAAGATTGAGACATTGTGAAGCATTTTCATGCTGCAAAGAGACCTCGCATAAAACGTGTTTGAATCACACAGAGATAAAGATTTGCTATGGATTGATCACACTGGCATCGAAGAAACAGGGTTGAAACTTCAGCTGGGGAACTGACCCTTACTGAAATACTTGCAGCAGGACCTTCTTAATGTGTGTCTTTTCCTTCTTTAGCTTTTTTTTTTTTTTTCCCCTCCCTTAAAAAACTTTAAGGTAACTGTTAGGACTGAAGTCCATTTTGTAGTTATCTTTATGGAAAACCAACCAAGGAAGTTGTGCCATCAACAAAGATATTTCTTCTTGTTTTCTCCACAGGGTAAAGGCAGCGCAGAATGAGTTRGGACAGCAGATCCTGGCTGACTTTGAAGAAGCCTTTCCTTCGCAGGGCACCAAGGTAAAGAGCTGGCTTCCCCTCTTCCTCTCCTTGAACAGCAATGCTGAAGTTACCTACAGGCAAAATTACCTGTCTCTTAGCACCTGCTTTTGTCTCATTTTACTTCTACATTTGATCTCACAATGACTTCACTGCCTCTTTTAAGGAGGGAGCTCAATTGTTCATCCAGCAGCAGAAAGCATCAAAAAGAGTGTTGGGAAAGGGTAAAAACTAGATAATCCTGGATGTAGTGTAACCTGCAGTCCCCTTTGGCTGTTTAACCATTTGTTCCTGTTCATTTTGACAGAGACCTGGTGGACCCAGCAATGTCCTACGTGATGCATGTCTAGTTGCCAACGTCCTGGATCCCAGAATCAAACAGGAAATCATCAAGAAATTTATTAAGCAACACCTCTCAGAGTATTTGGTCCTTTTCCAGGAAAACCAAGATGTAAGGGAAATGTAGCAAGCCAGATTTGGACTTTGCCTTTTTTTCTGGTGCTATGTRCATACCTCACACTTCCACAGCTTCCTCTGGTGCTGTGTTTCTAACCTAGGGGCTTGCAGGCAGTGACTTGCTGCTGTGCTACTGGCTGATGAATATGGAGGCAAAGTGGTCTCCTGCCAGAGAGCAAGGCTCTAAATCTAAGCTCCTAAGAATATAAGGAAGGGCTTTCTCCTTCCTTAAAGCTTAGATTCAAGATCAGCTTTGGGCAACATCTTTCCCTTCTGTAGCAAATAAATTTAAGTCAGCTATGTACTTTCTGCCTCGTAAAGGGTTGTAAAATTCTCTGATTGTTGCAACTCCCCCCATCCTGAAATCTTAATAAAGGGCTGGGGGAGGCGTGTATAGTAAGTGGGACAATCTGTCTAGTTCATTTTCAAACTTCTCTTGATGCTAATGGTCATTTTTAATAGTATAATCATTTTAGATTTGTAAAAGAAAATATTTTGAATCATAAATATATTTTTAACCCTTTTAGAATTTTGCTAATTTATGGCAAAGAGGGGAAGGACTAAAATGGTTCAATTAAAATAGCATTTTTTTCCAAGGAAGTTCCTTCAGCTGATCTTTTAGCCCTTTTTTGGGGCTGAAAAACACAAATTTTTCAGGGAGAGGTGATGATCCTGCTCTGCTCCTGTAGCATGGACTATGATTATACAAACGCTGGAGCTTGAGAAACAGTTGAACATGAAAATCCAGGGATTCTTGACTTGTGATCCCATTGCTGACCTTAACTTCGCTGTCTGCAAAGCAAGGAGAACGGTGGGATTGCCTGCAGGATTATTGGATTTAGTTCTCAGTAGGACCTGCATGATTTAGAAGGGCTGCTATCCTCATTTTCAGCAGAACTTACTCTCCCAATTCAAGTACGGCAGGATTTTCAGCCCAGCTTATTTAAGTGTTTTGCAGAATGCCTGTTAGCATTCAAAGTATTACGAGAATGGGGCAGGTTAACCTTGACGGATAGCTCTGTGTCCTCAATGAAGCAATTGCAGGAGAAGCAATTAATTAATTAAGCAGCCGGGCTGAATGTTGATGTTGTTGTGCAGGTGGCCTGGCTGGATAAGATCGACAGGCGCTACGCATGGATCAAGCGGCAGCTCGTGGACTACGAGGAGAAGTACGGGCGCATGTTCCCGCCGGAGTGGTACATGACGGAGCGCATCTCCGTGGAGTTCTGCCACATCACCAGGTGCTCCTCCGTGGGGACCTGCAGCTCCTCCCTGAAAGCAGAAGATTGGCCTCTCTTTTACCACGTTATTCACGTATACAAAGGGCTTAAAAGCCTAACCCTGAATATCTGGGCTGCTTGTTTGTGTTGTAAGGCAGCAATGGCAGTAAAAAGAGCGAAAACCCCAAGGAATACCCCTAAAATTGTGTTTACTGACGAGGGACTGAGACAAAATGGAAATGAATTTTCGTTTTAGCAGAGATAGGAATCAATAATATTAAGGGCTGAGTGTGAGAAGGCAGGATCTGACCCCGGTGTGACTGCCCCAGGATAATCTCTTTGAAGGGCAAATGTAGGGGACGTAGGAAAAGCCAGGGTCCCAATAGCACCCTTATCTGTTCTCCAGGTCCCCAGTGAGGGACCCTGCCAAAGCTTTGATAGCACTGGCTTTTCTAACTGCAGTGGTGCCCGAGGTGTTAGGAATGGGGTCCTGTTACACACAAAGCTCTAAACTGTGGGTTTGGGTTTGAAATGTGGCCTGTAAGGCATCTCTGTGTGAGAGGAGCTTAGGAATTAGCCTGAATTTTGTGCTGAAAGTGTCTCTCGAGGGACTAGACTGAATTACAGCCTTAGGTTTTGGATCTTTCTGTTCTTGCTCTTCATATGCACATAGGTGATTAATGTTTCCATGCAGAAAACCACATTTGTCATTTCCCTTCCAGGACAGAGCTCACTAAGATAATGCGCACGAGAGCGAAGGAGATCGAGGTGAAATTGCTGCTCTTTGCCATTCAGAGGACAACCAACTTCGAAGGACTTCTGGCAAAACGCTTCTCAGGTTGCACTCTGGGTGATGGGACAGTGGTAAGGGGATTTCTGAAGAGCAGTTCTTCTGTTCTCAACTTTTTGCATAGGAGAAAAAAAAGCCTTTTCTCACACCTAGCTGTGGTAATAGGAGACTACAAAGGGTGTCTCCTGTAGCCTTCTCTGCCAGGAAAATTTTGACTTGCCCTGTCAGCACAGCGTGTTAAGTGTGGCTGTGCTCAGGGGGTTATAGTTGGCTGAGGGGATCTTGAGCTTGCAGCGTGTGGTAGGCAGGAGGGTTCGAGGAGGGGAGGTTCTTGTTTCCCTTCTCATGGGCACTGTGTTATTTGCAGCTGAAGCCACTTTGGTATGGGCAACCACAAAGTAATTCTGGCACGRCGAGTGCATTATAGCAGTTGTTCTCTGCATGCTGATGACACATTACAACTAAAAATCCCCTCTCCTGTTCACTCCTCCTCACCACACGGTTACCGCAGGGTCCCAGCTTTCCAGCCCACACTGCCTGGAGGGGGAGGCTTCCTAGCAGGGGCACCCACAGCTTCCAGTGTCTCGTTGAGCAGATTGTAAAGGCAGAGCCAAGAGAAACAGCGCAGGGAATATCTCTGTGCTTTTTCTGCCTGAAATTTCAGCCAAGAGCTGGGCCAGACAAATGCCCTGGGAGAGGAGACTCCACGTGTGGCTCTTGAGCCTCTGCTTTGAGGTTCACGGCTCTGTCCAGCTGGTGTCTTGAAACCTACTTGGATGTGATAATTCAGCCTGCCAGGCAAGCCTGGTGGAGCTGTTAGTAATTTGCTGTGGATCAGTAGGTGCCACTAATTAAAAAGGGAAGTCCTGTGAGTTTTTCCTCCTGGCGGAATGTTGAGATCTCTCAAGAATATGGCTTTATTTTTTCTGACAAATTTCCTATGAAGTTTGCAGCTTTAATTAAATCAACTTCCCTGAATTGTTTTTATCAAGGCAGAAGGCAGAAACAGAAGCGATTGTCATAAAGAAAAAGGGAACATGTAGCTAGAAATAAAGAAAATTCTCCCCCTGTCCTTTCTGATCTGCCTGGAGACTGTGAAGCCCTGGCTGCAGTCATCTGACCTCTTTTAAACACAGAATGAAGCCTATAATTATAAATGGGTATCCAGAGAGTGCACGGTGGGGACAAGCAGTCTGGCGGGAGCAATAATGCAGGATTTATTGCAGCAGCGCAGTTCTCCAGCCTGCAGTCGAAGGCTGTGTGAGCAATCCTCCTGTTAAGCCTCATATTTCTAACAGGGTTTAGGACTGACTCACGTCTGTGCATCCTGAGCAAGATCTTGGTGTTTTACTGTTTCTCCTTAAGCCTTTGGTACCTTTCAGGCTCTGTGTCCAGCAGTGGAGGAAGCAGCAAGGGTGCCTGGGGGCCCTGGTGGTCCTCTCGGTGGAGATGTCGTGTTCTGGAGTGAGGGACTTGAGAGGATGGAGGCTGGACACGAGGCAGAGTGTCCCTCGAGGGGCTGTGCAGGCTGAGTGGGCAAGGGCAGGGTCCAGAGGAGCAGGAGGAGGCAGATTGCAGCCCTGGAGCAGGAGGCAYCACGCTGCAACTTTGATCGAGAGGYACCCCCTGGCCCTCTGCATCCTTCTCCTTGCCTGGAGGAGACACTGCCCTACGCTGCTCAGGAAGGCCAAGCACGTAGCTGTGTGTGAGAAGCTACAAAAGAGGCTGTTTTACAATTAACTTTCTCTTTTTTTAGCAGAAAAAAACAGAAGTGCCACCTCCCTCCACCAACCCGTTTCTGGAGGATGAAGCTGGAACAGAGACAGATGAAATTGTGATTGAGAAAAGTGATACGGACAGAGTAAGTCTTCAAAATTCTTGATTTGTCAACAAGGCAGTGGCTGTGTTCTCTCTATGTACTGAAACTGCTGGAGAGTTAGTGCTGGAGGCCCAATCTTCTGCATTCACAGCTGAAGATGAGAAGGAAAAGGAAGGGTTGCAGGTGAACAGCCTGGGTAGGTAGAGGACTTCCAGGACTCTAGTCCCAAATTCTCCAAGAATTCAGGACACTTGCAAGTATAAGAGGGAGCACAAGAGTGAGGGGGAAGAACTCATGTTAAAAAGAACTTCTTGTAGTGATCCTAGCCGTTAGATTTAATCTGTTTACTTTGGATGGTAATGAAAGGAAACCGGGCCAGCTGCAGACCTCCTTACTGTGACAACAGTAACCTTTTATTATTTCCATCAAACTCGAGGAGGAAATAGCTTAAACATCTGCAGCTTTTGGACGGAATTGCACACTCAAATACAGCTTTACTGCTACTGTTAAAAGATTTAGTATTCTCTCTACCAGACATGCTGGGAGCGGCACGATGCAGACCCAGAAATAGTCCCGTGTTAGGATTTGGCTCTGCCAACCCGGTGARTCGTAAACATAACGAATCTGCAGCCTTGCCTTGGCCCTGCTGTTCTGGAGGCCTTTGTGACTGGAAGGTTTCTGTAATTAGCACTTATTGTTTCCCTCCCAGCCCTGGCAGGAACGAGCAGGCGCCGGCAAACAGGCTGGGACCCGGATGCTGGGTAGTGGCTCTCCTGAAACAGTGAGAACTTGCATTCCTAGTTAGGGAAAAGGTTAACGAAGGCAGGCTCGAAGAGGTGGTCTGGTCTCCGTGAAACTATTTGTTTGCATTAGGTTTGCCTGTTGGTGTTCCTTTTTGTGTCTTTGAGTCCTGGTTACTTCTGAGAAATGCACGCTTTGCCAGCCTGTGCTATTTCTGCAAATGGCATCGTACCACCTTGTTGTCATTAAGAGGACTGCCTTCTTCAGGCTCTCTTGCTTTGCCTTTCTTTGGGTTAATAAAAAAGAAAAGAAATGTGTGCATATTCCTTGGCTGGGAGCTGAACCTGTTTTTTTGTGGAGAGAAGCAAGAATTCCATTCCAGAGCCACTGATGCCATCTTTGTGGGCAGTGAAAAGTGGTTGACCTGCTGCAGACAGGAAGGAAAATTGTCCATCAGTAAAGAAAAACTAGTTGTAGGACAAAGAGGACAAAGAGGAACTTGAAGACCTCGTCCCACCATGATTCTTAAAATAAATTATACATATATATAGATATAAAAAAAAAAAAAAATTTAGCGTGTTGTAGTCCCAGTAGCTTCAGTGAGATGTGCTTGGCCACGTCGTGGAGTGTGGTAATAATAAGTTGGACTTCGTGAATGTATCCCAACTGTAGGAATGCATGAAAAAGTTGTTTTGCAATAGTAAATTAAACCTCGGGCTTTAAAAAATACTGTATAAACTGAGAGCAAACTGGATGGCTCCCAAATGGCATATGTGCTTACTGCTCTAAATTTGATTTTGAAGTAGAACTCTGCATCCCCAGGAATATGTTTCCCAGTGAAAGCAATCCTGTAATGTTGCCTGCATAATTCCAACTCCAGTAATTACATTCTGTTTATCTAAATAAAATTCATCAGATGAAGTCTGTAACTTTAAGTTATCATCCTTAATGTTCTCAAATGTAGGGATTTTTCAGTGCTGCTTCCAAACAACTGCTGTGTTTCATTTTGGAGGTGGCTCTTCCTTTTGGAAGGATGCAGTGAGGTTTCCTTGTTTGCAAATTGCATTGAGCCTTTTCAGTTGAAATCTGCAGCAAAAACATGAAGCAGTCTTTTCTATAAGAATATTTCATAAGTAAAAAAGAAAATCCTTGAAATATTAACAGCTCTGCAAAAGCAAAGGAAGACTGGGACACACAGACTTTATATATTCTCTGGATCGTGTGCCTTTGATTATCTGGCAGCAAATTTCTGGATTGTAGAATTCCTACAGACCTGGATCCCGCTGTGCTGTTTGCTTTAGTGTTTCTTCTAGATCTTACGGGGCGGGTTTGAAATAACAGTCTAAATGTTTCCTTGCAGCCAAAGAAGCCAAAGGTCCCAGACAACCCTTTCCACGGCATTGTTTCCAAGTGCTTTGAGCCTCACCTTTATGTATATATCGAATCCCAGGACAAGTGAGTAACTGGAACTCTCCTTCGGTTTTGTTTGCTTTTCAAAGTGTGTTGCAGTGACTTTGCCTTAGTTGATGCGTTCGAGTTGCAGAAAATGAATTTCTTGAAGGGCTCACGGTTCAGGAAATTCAGAATGAGCAGAGCCTTTGCTCAGACAAAAATACAAGGGCTTGGAGGGCTGTGGATGTGGGTTTTATCTGTAATTGCAAAGGCCTGCAGGAATGGCGCCCACTGCCTTTCTGCGGACGAGGCTTAGTGTTTCTGAAATTGCTTCTGCACTTCCCACTGCAAACATAGGCCCTTCTTTCATCTCGTGTCTTCCACAAATAGTAGGTTTGCTTTTTCTGTAAAATATGCRTGTGCCTTCTTGGCAGAAGAGTTTCAAGAGTTGCTTTGAATTCTTGGAGATCCCCAGATGGAAGCGGCTGCAGATAAGTTACCTGTAAGAAACATTCTGGTCATTCACCAGGTGGGACGTTGTCACGTGGGGTTTTGCATCTCTAGAATCCTCCTTTCTCTTTGACTTGCAGCAAATGCTTCAATGAGCAGAGATGTCAGCTTGCAGCTGGGAAAGGTCTTCAGAGTTTTCATGATGTTTTCAGCGTTCTCATCGTATTTTCTTACACACCTTGATTCCCAGCAGGGTTTAAATCACATCTCTGTGATGACTGCGGTGTCAGGTGAGGAAGGAGATGGTTGGAAACTATTTAATACAGTCTCTTTGTACAGGTTATGGGCCGGAAGCGAGGAAGAAGTGTCTGCTCGTGTAGCTCATCTCTCCGTGCCCTCCTGTGTGCGATGGGCCTTCTGTAGGCAGTGGGCATCCCTTGGGGTTGGCCCAACCCCACATTAGCCATCTTGAAGAAGGCTTCCTGTGTCCCAAAAACTCTATATGCATTAAAAATAGTAATAATAAAGCCTTGCACAATGCTTTGCCAAGCTGGGTTAGGTTCTGCTCTGCAGCATAACAAAGGGAAATGGATTTTTCCTCTTCCTCAGCAAATGGAGCGCTGCCGTGGTTGAGGCTTTCTCTCCTCCTCACTGAGGGCCATTTTAATCTCCATTTGGGTAATTCTACCCCACTCTGCTCCTAGGCCTTTCAGTGGTTTCTTTTTTCCTTTTCCTTTATGAGCCAGAGATGTTTTATATTAGCTTTATAGCCACAGCCTGCAAAGGAGTTCAAAGGAAAACTGCCACAGTATTCCCCGTGCTGCCCTCCTCTGCCAAAATTTGCTTTTCTTTGCCATTTTTTGCTCTTTCTCCTCCTTTGAAATTTTGAGGAATATGTGTCTGATGCCTGAAAAGGAGGAGTTGCTTCTCTAGTTAACTGTTTATTTGGGCTTTGCCTAGAAAAAGGAGGATGATAATTTTGTTCGTCGCTGCTTGAGTCTACGGCAGAAAGCAGCTTGGTCCTTCTCTCCTGAAAAAYTATTTCCATGCTCATATAAAGGAACACAGTGCCAAAATCTCTAGCAGTTTAACAGGAGACACCTGAAAAAAGATGCCACCSTCCATCCCAAACAGCAGGGTAAATACCCGATTCCTCAGCAGGTTTTCTTTCTGACCCTTTTGGGATATTCATGTTTAGCTCTTGTTCATGGTCTGGCTTGTGCTGTGAGCAGCAGAGCAGCAGCTTCTTTAGAGGTAGGTGTTTTTGGGGTGTGSAGCTGTTTTTAAGCATGCTAAAACACTGGGAAAACTGGCATCTCTTTGCAGCGTGCGTTTGCAACCCCAGGAGAGTTTCCAACATGCCCATTCAATGCACACAGTCTTGCAAGCGGTTTGGAGAGCTCAGCTCCATTCCCCTTCCCTGGTGCCAGCTGTTAATGTCACCACACTGATTTAGCACAGTGTAGAATTGTCTGAGTCCTCTCTCGCAATTGCCAAAGATGCAGAAAGAGCACTAAATAGGTTGAGTGAAAGAAAAAGGAGCAGTAGAAGGATTTGAGAACCAGTATGTAATTGCATCCTGGTATGGTTTCATTTTATGTTTTCTTTTGCTTAGATATGGCGAGTTCTTGCTCCCAGCAAATATGCTACTGTTAGGAAATAGCCCCACCAGACAATTTACTCAAGCTTTTTTGCAAAAATCCTGCCAGAGAATTTAACTCAAGCTCCATATTTTGCAAAATATGGAGAAAATGTTATCTTCTGTAGCTCTCCTGCCTCCTTGTTTTGTCTTCCCGTAGCTTTTTCTGCCAGGTTTTTGGCGCTCCCGTTGCTCCGGCCTCTCCGCTTTGTTTTGCTGTAGCTCATTTCTTGTGCCAATTGAAACCAGCGCAGAAGTTTCAATGCCAGCAGCTGGGGGTGCAGCTCTGCACATCGGTGCCATTGGGACACAACGGGCCCTGTTCTCTTTGTCTCCATCCCGTGCTGAGGTAAGAGCAGGGTCCAGGTCGGTGTCCGTATGCGGAGAGCCGCAGTGCGGCTCCCCCAGCGCTCCGGGACGGCTGCATCTGCTTGTGCATCCCAGCTGACGAGACCTTGGATGCATTTCACTTTGCTTCGGAGAAGAGGAGAACATGTGGAATAAGCATAAAGAAACAAGAGCCATTTACATTCCTCGCTGCGTCTTGAGACAGAACCAAGAAGAGAAAAAAACGGGGCTGGTGGATGCTAAGAAAGCCCCGTTTTGTTGCGCAGATGGAGCAGAGCACAGATGCAGAGGTGGAAATGCAGCTGTTTAATTTAGTGGGGCTTTTGCTGAGGGCAAAACCGCGTCCGCTGTGCTTGGGAACCTGCAGGAGGGCTCAGCTTGTGCCCCGGGCGAGCCCTCYTTCCCTCGCCATCTGTTTGGTGAACGCGCAGCCGCCGCGGGAAGCGGAATTCACCCGGCCACAGGCTCAGCCTGCGGGCGCCTCTGCCAGCCTGGAGATTCATGGCAGGGCTTGGGCAGCCCGGTGCTCCCGCTGCTCTTGTCACCCAGCACTGGAGCCGTGTCCAAGGCTGGGATTGGAGCGCTCGGAGCAGCACCCAGTGAGCTTGGGAAAAGGGCTGCGTCTCTTYGGGATAGCCTTGCTTAGTGTTTATAAAGGTCTGGTTTTGCAAGGACAGACTTGTAAATTAGTTTGGCTCAGCAGAGCATTCACAGTAGGATTTCTTCCCTTTGGGTGCCATAATGTGTAGGCTTATCGGGACTGAGCCTTGTCACCTTTTCCCTGGGGACAGCACTGTGGGTTCAGCAGAGAAGTGCAAAGATGATGTTTTTCCTCTTCCACAACATGAGTAGAAAGAGAGGACAGAAACTGAGGGGAAATAATAATAATAATTATTATTATTAATAATAATAATAGTAATAATCTCTAATTGGCAGTGATAAGTGAGAACATGCTCAAGGACCCTGGCCGCTGATAAGGGTGCAGATCCAACCTGGTCCCTTCGGGTGCCTTCTCATGCTCTGCTTTGTCCTGTAACCTGCTGTGGGATTAAAGAAACATAAATTTGAAACACTTCAATGKTTTTTTAAAGAAGGGCTTCCCTTTCCTTCGCCTGCATTGCTGTCATGTCGAGGAAGTCCTTTCCCAGACAGTAATGATAAAACATCAACTGCAAAAGAAAGTCTCTTGTTTAAAGCTGGTAGCTCCCTTCCTCGGGGGAGCTGCAGCCCAGGTCCGTCCTTCTCCCCTTCTCCTTGTGAGCCTTGGCTCCCTGCACGGATAGCAGCAGAGCTTAGCACCGCCGGCAGCTTCAGCGCTGCAGCCCTCGACTGAGCCCGTGGGCAGGGGAGCCGGGAAGCGAAGCCAAAACCGGAGTGGGAGTCTGAAATACGTGAACTTGGCAGCGCCGCGAGGTCACTGGAATATGGAAATGCCTCCGTATTCCTCAAAAGCTCCCTGTCCTGGGGAGGGATGTGTGCATGCAGGGAGGGGGTTATTGCTGTGTTTGGTTCCTCTGGCGCAGGCTGCAGCGCTGAGGTCCAGGTCGGGAGGGCTGAAGGGCTCCTGTTTGGGGCCATATCGGTGGTTCTGGCCTCCCGCCAAGCTAAAAAGCCTCTCTGTCGTGATGAAACGGTGCCGTGACGTTCATGGCTGCCTACAGACCGAGATCTTTGGGCACGGACCAGGTTATAATGGATCGCTGGAGACCGTTGTAGGGCTTTTTGTGCCTTAAGCAGAGCTTAGGTCGGAAGTGCTCTTTGCGCTCATGCTATATAAAGCTCCTCTAAAGGATGTGTGAAGTTGTGCGAAACCAGGTGGTGTCCAAATGGGACCGAGCACCGGCAAACGGCCCCCCGTTCCGAGCACATCCCTGTGAAAAGCCTCTTCCCTACRGGCTGCTCTGAAGGCAGCTGATCCGAGGAGTCCAAATGGGACTTTTGCTGGTGCCAGGAGGGAAACTTGAGCCCCRGCTTTATGCACTTTCATCAGCTGTGCTGAACCCAGGCCTGGCAGGCTCTGCAGGCCTTTATATGTGACTGGAGAACAGATTGAAGCTGCCACTATAACTCTGAGTACAAAAGGTCATTACTCATCAGCCCGGGCTTCGTTAGTGCGCGCCGGTTGTGCCGAGGAGGTGGAGATAAGGAACCAAACTGCTAAAACGGGAATGTGTTTATTGGTGTCACAAGACAGGGCATCTGGTTTGCTGCATTATTCCCTCTCTCTTCCCTCCTTTTCCTCTCCAGCTACTAAAATCGCTCTCCCTCCTTTCCCCCGCGTTAGGAATCTCGGCGAGCTCATTGACAGGTTCGTGGCTGACTTCAAGGCTCAAGGGCCTCCCAAGCCCAACGTGGACGAAGGAGGAGCCGTCCTGCCCAGCTGCGCCGACCTCTTTGTTTACTACAAGAAGTGCATGGTGCAATGCTCGCAGCTCAGCACCGGCGAGCCCATGATAGCCCTCACCACCATATTCCAGAAGTACCTTCGGGAATACGCCTGGAAAATTCTGTCTGGAAACCTGCCCAAGTGAGTACAGCTTCCCAAATGCTGCAGCACAGTCTGAGACGTTCCAGTAAGGAGCAGATGCTTTATAACGCTAATTAGCAAATATAGGCTTGTGAACATTTATGTTTTGCTGTCAAAGAAACCACGTAGCAGCAATATGTCTATGTTTTCTTCAGGATTTTCTCCAAAGTTCAGTTTGTTGCGCTGAGAAAAGGCAAGAGACCAAATGGACAACCATAACACGTTTCTTTTTAATCAAAGGCCCCTGGAAATTAGTTTCATGTCTTGTTTTGATTAACAGATTTCCAGTTTCTTAAAATTCCTTTTGAAATGCCAGCCCAAGTCTCCTCAGAGAGATCCGACTTTCAGAATTGCACGTACCCTGCTGCTAGCGTGACAAATTCATACTGTGATTCTCAGCTGCCTGGTGTTACGAGCTCAAAATTATACATATATATTTAATAATATACAGTGAAGATCATTTATTTTGTGGTGCAGAGTGCTTACCTATAACTATTTCTGCTCTGAAAAGCCATAGGCATATAAATAAAATACCTCAGTGTAAATCCAGAGAAAATAGAGGACGTCATTATGGGCTTACACTAAAATAGGTGAGCGTAAAGRCTGAGGGGGTTCCTGGAAAAGTCACTAACAGATAATCTCTGTGCTATTTGCCATCTTCAGTACGTTTCACTTGTAAATCTGGGAACAGCAGAATGAATTTCTGAGACTAGTGAAATCTTTTGCAGATGGAAGGGGAGAGGGTTACATCCAGAGAAGTGGAAAGATAAATTGAATGTGCATTCTCCATCAGACCTCAGTTGCATTCCTTGTACACATTTTTTTGTGTGCTCCATTTTTTGCCGTCCAAGATAAATATCACTGTCCTATTTTTTTAATGGATTTGGATTATAAAGAGTTGAGAGGTAGGGAATTTCCTGCCTCTAAACTGTCCTGATTTTTTTCTTTGTTGCTCTACAGCAATTAATCACTTGAACACAGGGGAAAGAAGCCACTTCTTCTGTAATTTATTGTGTTGATATCATCAGCTTTTAAAATGGGTTACCAAAATTTCAAATGTATTTTGACATCTATTTAGCATTGAGAAGATAACCACAACAAGCCACATGATAGTCATTGAGATCTTTTATTAGGTTTTGGGTAACTGATGACAGTCAAGGTGAATGTAGCTGGGAAAATTGTATGAAGCTTAGTTCCAATCTAATGTGTTGCAAAAGGATGAATTGTCCTTTACTTGTCTTCCTAGGAGATATTTTCTACCTAGAATAGCTATGGGTTTAATGCAGAAATGATTGCAAGACATCCTCTGGGCACTGAAGCCCTGTAGTAGTTTTGCACTGTGCATGTCTGTGTGTACATGAGAGCCTCACAAGYTTTGCCTTTCCCTTCCAGGACAAGCAGCAGCAGCGGTGGACTCACCATCACCAGCCTGCTGAAAGAAAAGGAAGGCTCTGAAGTGGCAAAATTCACTTTTGAAGAACTCTGTCTCATTTGCAGCATCCTTAGCACGGCCGAGTACTGCTTGGCAACCACGCAGCAGGTGAGTTTTGCTCTGCAGCCCCTCTGAGGTGGCCCTGGCAGCCGCCCCTGGTCTCTCAAAGCATGAAGTGCTCTTCCCTCCTCAGGGGGAGGCTGCTCTGGAGATGGGAAGAGTCTGAAACACTAAAAGTGTCTGTGGCAGTGTCTGCTCTGCGTAGTGTCCTGCTGGTTGTGGAGCTCTACGTAATTAAATCTATTTTTCAAAGCAAGGAAAGTATTAATTTCACTGTTTCTCCCTGGGAAAATTCATATGATTATAATCCTGCTTGGCATCCTTGGTTTTGCATGGCATCTGTTTATGCTTGTTACATAATTTCTCTTAATGGAATTAGAAGCAGAAGAGGGGAAAGAAAAGCTCTGCTTGTGGCTTCTGATCTGTTTTTATAAGAGCAAGGCTAATTCAGGATCAGGAAAATACTCGCACATTGAGTAGTAGAAAGGCAGAATGAGGGATGAAATATTTATGCCAAGAGGCTCTGCAGCTGCAGGGCTGCTTTACGTTCAGGTGCTTTTAGATCTCCCTGGATCTGTAGGTGAGCTGAGGTGTTTGACCACAASCAGGCCATCTCTAGAGCTGCTGATCCTCCTTCTCTGCACCTTGGGCATGTTTTAGCTTATTGGAAAACTTCTTTGTTAGTGGAATTGCTGCCGGGGTCAGGTTAGTACTGTTCTTGTACTAGTTACCTCTATGGTCTTGGAAGCTGACTTGTTAACTTCTTCGAGGACATCTTCATTGGTCACCCTGGGATAGCAGTATGGCCAAGAAGGAGAGATTTCTCTTTTTTCTGTTCACTGAGTTTTGCATATGGTCCGAGTAACTGATTTTTCCAGGATGTATGTTTTCAGGAATGGTCATTTCAGGTAAGAAATCTGATCTTTCTATTGCTTGTTTTGTTTCCTAACAGCTGGAGGAGAAGCTCAAAGAAAAAGTGGATGCAAGTCTAATGGAAAGAATCAACCTGACAGGAGAGATGGACACTTTCAGCATGTATGTCCAACAGATGCTTCATCCCACAATCAGTCAAACCTCCTAGTTTGTCAGCCAGATGTGCTGAAGTAGTACAAGCCCAAAATCCCAGTTGTAGGACCCAGCCAGCAAGTGTCAGGATGTGCAGCCTCGCAGAGGCATTTCCCTGGTGAAGGAGTGGTCATTCCTTGGCTAGTCCAAGAGCAGCAGTAGTAGGGCCTTCAGATGTACTTGCTCCCCGTCGTCCTAGCCAAAGGAGCGAGAGCACTGGAAAGAGGAAAGGAAATAGTGAGTTTCCATTTGAAACATCGTTTGCCTCTTGGCAGCTCTGTGAGGTGTCTGTTACATTTCAAGAAAGGGAGCTATTTCCGTACATTCCTTCCTGCTTTAACTTCCCACTGTTAATCAGCAGCCTTGTCAGTGTGATCAAACCCCATTTCAGATGACATAAAAGATTGACCCAGTCTTATATTTGGGGATTATAATTGAGAGAAGATTATCATTCATTAAAATAACTTCTCATGTAGCCATGCTAAAAATATTCCCCTCTAACATCTTTCCCTCTCCACTGCTGACAGATTAAATATTTTTTTGAGAGAAGGAAATGGAGGCAAAAATAATTAGTTGTTTTGCCTCATGTCAGGCAAAGAAAAAGAAAAGCTTGTAGTGAAGCTAGGGAAGTGATTCAAATCACTAGATCTTACTCTCAGACCTCTACAAGTGAATTCCTGATTGGAAGTTAGGGTTGTTGGGTCCACTAAGCCAAAAAAAACAAGGTAGCCTGGGTGGACGTATTACCATRTGGTCGCATTTTCCTAACATGAACAGGTTGAAGGTCAATTTTGTTTTTTCCTCAAGACCTGCCCATGAAAAGTCTGACCTTTTGCATTGCTGCTCGAGTTCCTTGGTGGCTGCCTCACAAACTGCTGTGTTGCAGGCAGCCAACATGATATGTTGTGGAAATTGTTTTAATGTATAGTTCACGTTTGCAGTTTTGGATAGCTTTAAAGTTAAACCTTCCAACCTCATGTATCTCATAACAAAGACTTTTTAATTGACTTCCAGCCTGTTCCAAAATAGCATTTAGTCCAGTCTTCTGTCAGCGTAAATCATAGCCGTAAACCTCTCTCTGGCGTTTGCTCATTGAACATCAAACAAGTTGTTCCTTCTGGGATTCGATTTCTTGTTAGGCACGGTCATAAAGTAAGTGATAAAATGTTGTTGCTTACACACCCTGGAAAGGCTTTTCCCCTCTCAAAAAGGAGGAGGTTGCAGAACTAATAGCAAGACATACAGAGCGACTGACTGGAGAGGTTTTTTTCTGCCAGAGTTGCTAGCCATTTTCTTTAAGCTCTTCTTGAAGCTCAACCGAAATAAAAATAATATGTGAATCTATGAGTTCAAAGGTCCCTTGAAGGCCTGAAGGACAAAGCTTCCTGGGCTGTCTGATAGAGCCTRTTCTGCTCATTTATCACCCCGACCTCCCTATCTGTACAAGTCTCTACATGTGACAGGAATTGCACGGGATTCACTAATGGCTCTAACGCATCATTAGATGCTGCCTGGGGCAAAAGCTTCCGACGGCTTCTAGCGTGACCTGGAGCCCAGTTTTCTTGGCACATCCCGATGCTTCCCACCTGTGACACAGCTCCTGCCGTGCTGTAACCCCTATAAAGTAGGTGTGTTAATTCTCAAGTGCAGACAGAGGTTCTCCCTCCCACTTGCCTGTGCTTGGTGACCCAGCCTTCAACAGGCTCTGACGTGTGGAAACTAGTCATGCCTTCCTTTAAACTTGCCTTCCATTAAACGGGTTGTGTGTTCGTTGTGGGTTGGGTTGTTGGTTTTGGTGCTGAGCCACAACTCTTCCCTGCAACTGGCTGGCAGCAGATACCCTGTCGCATTCAGCTGTGCCCAAAAGAGCAGTTATTTCAGTCTGGCTCCCTTGGCACTGCTTGAGATGAGGAAATCCACWAAGAAAGTAAATGCTCTGATGCCCACCACAGGTCCTGGCACAAATGGTTGCAGGTGTTTTTGTGCCACTGCAGGTTTCGCATCCTATGACTTGAAGCTGGTGATCCCTCCTTCTGCAATTTGATTTTTGCAAGTTGTCCAAAAATTGTCCAGCATTTTGGACAAATTTRCCTTTGTAAAAGAAAACCACAAAAATTAATTGCTCTAAAGAACTGGTCTTTCATTTAGCATCCCCTTCCAGTCTCTATGTGCTGAAGCACCAAGAGAGGGACAACTCCYTGAGCTGTAGTGATGAATTGCACCCAGGCAGCCAAGCTGTGGGTGGGTGATTCTGCACCTYGGTGAGGAGGTGGATGCCTAAAAATATTTGAAGGAAATATTTTTCACGCTGAACTCCAGAGTAATAATCAGAATTTCGTGAAGGAAACGAGGGGGCGGAAAGATGGTTTGAAGCAGCCGCTGGTCAGATGTTGAATAGGTGCTAAAAATCTCATCTGTGCTAACGTCATTAGAAAGACCAAATTTAAACTCAGTTCTTGCATGACCACAAAGCTGTAAACAGGCACCTGTGGCAGATGTAGATTTTGTGCTCACTTTAAAAACTGGGCTTGCACTGTGCAATGCTCACTTGATTATTGCTTCCTTGCAGAAATAGTCTGTATTGCTGGTATTGGGTTATGTACCTGCGGGGACAACGAGCTGCCGAGGACGGTGTTTCCTGGCTTGTTTTAGCATCAGTTGCACCTGTATGGCCAGCGTTTTATTATAAATCCTGTATAGTAGGATCAAAGTATGACTCTAAGCTCTATTAAACTGTTAAAAAAAAAAAAAAAAAAAAAGAGAGAGAGGGAAAAAAAATCTTTGACTAACATGCCCTTTGGTCTGGTATATGTTTCCAAGACATGAAAACAATGGGTGGCTGCAATCCTAGACATAGTGTAAATAAGGCATCTGCCTTGATCATCTCACATGGGTGACAGACATTCAGAACTCGTTGCAGATGTACTGCTTTTAAATCCTCTGTGCAAGTTTCTGGGAGCAGCAGAACACTGAGTGGCGAGCTGGTTCAGTTTCATTTTAGTGCAGATTGAGTTAAATTTGAAGCAGAAGCCCAGCCGGGCTCTGTCCTGGGGGTTTCTTGTCCTCCTGCTGCAGGGAGGGGTACCCAGCAGATTGGCGGATTGGCTCCCAAATCCTTCCCATGTGTCAGAGCAGAGAGAGGTCAACCATAGAAATGTCACATCTCCATTAAATCCTGTTGTGTCTCTCCCTGAAGAGCAGCGTGCAGAATTTCCTGGCTTCTTCTCCATGCAAGTTTTAATCTGTGTGTATTTTCARGGCCCAGTGCTAGTGTAATCTTCCCCCTTCCACTATCAGACAAGGCAGCTCCTGCACCGTGTTGCTGAGAAACTTGTGCTTGGTTTTTTTTTTTTTGCAGCGTGATCTCCAACAGCATCCAGCTGTTAGTGCAGGACCTGGATGCAGCCTGCGACCCTGCCCTCACTGCTATGAGCAAGGTAGGGATCACATTTCTTTGGGGGAATAGGTAGCTTTAAGATGCATCATGTAGTTCTTGATTGCTCTAATTAAATGATTTCACTCGTGTATCCGAGACTTAGCCACATATTGATTGTTTCTTGCTGCTCAGAGCAGCAATTGCCATGGATAAATACATCCTTCAGTGCCAACGCCTGCAGTTCAGGTTAGAGCTTTCATTCATTTGCAGCACACAGAAAACCAGTGCAATGATTTTTGTGGGTACCCATCTCAGATTTTCTCTCTTCACTCTYACAGTGGGAATCTTCAAGATTGTGGAGAGTTTTGTTGGTGTGAAATTCCCACTACCCCTTCTCATTTGCTCTCCTCTTCCTGTTMTTTGTTCTTTAGCCTAGTCACTTGTGGCTCCAAAATGAAGGTACTCAAAGGGGATTGCAGTGCTGGGATGGGGCCGTGTTGCCCTGGGATCCTCTTGAGGACATGGAGCTGTTCCTGGAGGCGCCCGTGTGCTTGGTGCATCGGGATTTTGCAGCTTTTATGCATTTGAAACGCAGAGCTGGCCTTTCTTGCCAAAGTATTGTGAAAACCCAGCCTGCTTTAGACAGAGGTGAAGACAGCAAAAGTGGCTTGAGCTATTTTTTTTAATTAGAAATATTAAACATAGATCTMCATTTTTGTAGGATCAACATACTGTCTGGCTGCCCTGAATTTTAATAGCTTTCTGCTTTATGATACATTCCAGCTGCAGCCAGCCACCACCCCCAGCTCGTGCTTGCCGTGGAATGCAGCTGCTCACGGAGCTTGTGCCGGTCCCAAATGGAAAGACTCTTTTTTTTTTTTCCCACTGCAGCAACACCATTAGGAAGGGCTCAGCACTTTACGTGTCACTTGTGTGCTGTGACAGCTCCTTAGATCTCYTCCCGAGCCTCCCTCACACAGTGATGCTCGAATCACTTAGCTCTGGCTGTTTATTCTCAAGGACAACACAGCCCCAGAGGGTGGCAGCTGGGACACCGTTTATTTTGGCCTTTGCAAGACCAGTAAAATGCAGCCCCTGTGACGGGACTGATGAGATATAAACAAGCTAAGTGCTATGAAATTAGCTAAATAAATACTTGTCACTTCTGCACATATCCTACTATTCACATCAGACAGAGCTGGTTTGGTGTGATTTCTAACTAGATCTGGGCTTGGTGCAGGAATTTCTTTCGCTTTGCTTTCCCCCTTCCTTTCCTTCAATTCACAGAGTTATTTGAATGCACAGAGAGGATTTGGAAGTGAAAAATTTCAGTCTATATTCAAAGGGTGAGGACTGTATGGCGAATCCATTCCAGTTCTCCTGTAATGGGAACGCGTGTCCGTCTCAAGGTCACTGCTCCCTCAGGCTCTTCCTTTGTTTAGCGTCCTTTCACTTGCCTCTGGTCTCCTCCAAGGTTGAACAATCCCAGGCCTTTGTTTGGAATTTGCTTTCCTGGAAAAATGTTTGGTAACTAGAAAGGTAAGTTAGGAAATACTTAAACCTCTAAAGCCGCTTTGGCTTGAGGCCACTYTTGAGAGATTTAACGTGGGAACAACAGCACCATGGATATTAGCAGTTGGGAATTGTGCTCAGTTTGCAGGTTCTTTACCTTATTTGTTCTGGAATAAATGGTAAGCTACGAGAAGGCTCCGTTTTACCAGATTTGTGTGCAATAATCTCTGCTCAGTAAGCAGTTAACTAGTAAGTGTATCTGGCTACTAGGAGACATAACTTGTATTCTTGGATTCTTTTTCCGGGTGCTTCAGTTTTAGAAATGGGGTCCTAAGTGAGACATGTCCCCACTGGTGCTCACTGCTTGATTTGGATTAAAATGGTGCTCCAATGACAAGACAGAAAGCAGGAATGTTTAGTAACACACGAGAGAAACTAGATGAGCAAGAGGAGCAGTTTCTGGAAGAAGGGGCAGATTTGGAAGCTCCAGCATGTGCTGCAGAGCTGGTCTCAGCCCTTGTGCTCACTTCCTAATTGCCAGCATGAAGAAGCTGCTGATCTGCGTTGGGTATTTTGCGTCCAGTTAAATTTATGGATTGCCCTGGGTAAGGTTTGATTTATCTGCTGAATTAAGCCTCAATTTATCCATGAAGCCCTCTGCTTGTGCACAGAGGGGGCTGGGGATATTTCAGTGACTCATATCACTCGCTGCTTTTTCATGCTTTGCTAAAACCTTCTGGCCCAGCTGCCGTTTGCCATTTCCTTRCAAGTGAGTGGACAACAGCAAGCGCTTGAACGCGGAGCTCTCCTGATGCCTCCGTGCACACAAGGAGGAGCCCGGGAGCACGAGTGCTTGGAGCCTTCACACGCGGCCAACAAAAGCCCAAGGCATCTTTGGAGGCAACAGCCTCCCAAATATCCTATTTTTCTATATCCTACACCCTTCTGTCCCCTGCACATGGTGCATGCTCGAGGGGCAAGGAGACAGCGCTCCCCAATCCCTGGAGCACCCAGTTCTCCTGGTGGCTTCTCTCCTCCTCCTTTTTAAGCAGCTCCCTGCAGCTCCTGAGCCTTTCTGCTGCGGATAAAGCAGCTCCGAAGGGAGCTCCGGGCCACAGGCAGCCGCTCTCCCCGCGTGCCGCCCTTCCCACATCGGCTGCTGAGCGGAGGCCGGAGCTCTCAGGGCTTTGGGCTCGTGTCCAACGAGTGTGTATAAACTGTGTGGATATCCCAAGAAAAACAGAGCGGGGGGGGGGAATAGGAATAAATTTAAAATGACAGGAACAAAGCTTTACCAGAAGAGTTGGACTCATATTTCTCCTGATGACTTTTCAGTATGTGCACTATGTCTTTCACTGCAGCTACTGTTTTTTCTTTCTTTTTTTTGCTTTCCCCTCCTGGTGAATCACACCCAGATGCACACAAAGCACTATTTTTACTGTCCGTGTTCTAAAAATTTGCTTGTAAAGTGTTGCTTTTGGAACGAAGAGCAGCGAACTGGGAAGGCTGCTGGGTTGTTGGCGTCGTGGCACAGCAGGTCAGCGGCCCCTTCCCGCCTGTGCCCGGTGTCCTGGCCCGAGTCGCTGTCAGGATAGGGGTGCATTGGGCACACAGGGTGTTTTGGGCATGAGACGGTTGCCAAAAGTGGTAGRAAGTAGTTGCCTGCTTGTGAGCAATCTTGCAAATCAAAGCAAGACGCAATTAAAGCAGCTACGGAGTGAAACATCCCTTCTAATTACCCACTTAATGAAATGAGCATTTGGAGGGGGGTTGTGTTTTAGGGGATTTTTTAATGAGAACAGCTTTGACAGGACATGTGCAGGCTCTGTCAGGCACTGGGGTTTGTGGAGAACTTGGCTCCTCTTGCCCGTTGAGTCACTGGTGCCACATTCGCTTTGGATGGGATTGAATCAGCCAGGTCGCAGGGGACCAAGTGGCTGTAATTAAATTAAAAACAGGAATAAGAACCGTGACATGCAAAATCCTGAACACGACTGAGGGCAAACAGCTCCTCAGAGGAAGGTGCAGCTCTTCCTGCACATGCCTGATGTTTTCTCCCAATTTTCTTGTTTTGTTCCTGGTGCATCTGCAGTGTGAGGAGCAGCAGCCCTGCCCCAGTGCAGGGAGCACCCTGCAGTGCCCAGCAGGACATTTCTGGATGYTCCTGCTCCTCAGTGACACAACCAGATGTGTGTTTGCCAGAGACATCAAGACCTTGCCCAAGGGCTGCTTTTTCAAATGACTTGTGGTGCTGACTTATTATTTACTTCAAATAAGACTCGGAAAAAGTCAGGGGAGTCGCATATTTGGCTAAGATGGGTTGCTCTGTAGCATTTCTGCTGATATTAGATTTAAAATAAAGTGGAGATGGAGTAGTTCTTTTTTTAATAGATTTTCTTGCCCGTGTATTTGGGATGAGCTGAGGTTTGCATCCTAGCATGTGCACCAGAAGTGTTTTCAGTGTCAGCTACACTGGCGTAGAGTGTTTTGACTTTCAAGTTATTTCTACCTCTTCCATCTGTCATCAGTCTCACCAGCATTAATGGCTTGGCTGCCATACAGGAATCCAGACTTTGCAAGCTTGCAGTTATTTTCTCAAATGCCTGTAATTAGGATTTATATGGGCACTTCATACCAGAAAACTGGGAACGGTCAAATATGAAGGCAGTCTGGGACACCTCGAGAGCTTTTTTGATCCTAATGCTCCCCACTTCTGTAGCATGGTCACCATCTCTCCGTGCTTTGGTGCTGAAAGGGCCTTTTAGGCTTTTTTTCCTTTATATCTTGTCTGCTTTTGCTGGGTACCCRTCGTTCTGGAGGGTTCAGGAGGGTTTTGCTTAGTAAAGTGACAAGAGACATGGCCTTTATAGTGGCTTCTTGATGATTCCCTAGAGATCCATTGACAGGAAGCTCGTACAGGATTTCTCATATATTTTACTTGAATCCTAATGAGTTAAACAGCCTTTTCCTTGTTTTTTCCCGCCTTGTGCAGATGCAGTGGCAGAATGTGGAACATGTCGGTGACCAGAGTCCTTATGTCACCTCGGTGATTCTTCACATCAAACAGAACGTCCCCATCATCCGCGACAACCTGGCCTCCACTAGGAAGTACTTCACTCAGTTCTGTATTAAATTTGCAAAGTAAGTTCCCAGCTCGGCACAGAATTTCTCTAGTTTTTGCTCGCCTGTCCTTGCATGATGGTCTCTTTGGGCATTCTGCATCAGCGGTGCTCGGTCGTTGCGCCAGGACAGGAGGAGCTGGCTGGGCAGCAAACACCAGCAGCTGCTGGCGAGGTTGGAAGATGCTCCCATTCCTTGTCTCAAGCTTCCTGCTGAGGCAGATTTTCACAGACATTTGCATTGCTCCTTCTTGCACGCCTGGCCCATCTTGTAAATATTTTGATGATCGCTGCCTGCTGTTAGCCAAGTACAGAAAGTTTGGGACCTTGAGGGTATTAAAAAGGCTTTGAACATTGGAGTGTGGAGGACTTAGTACAGAGCTGACAGATGACTCTTGTTAGGGAAACCTGCCTCCCTTCTCTGATACGAGGCAATGATGTTTTTGAGCCCAGAGAGCTTAGGTGCATCATTTGCCTCAAAATTTTTTATAGTAACTAGAGGACTAAAAGGAGGGCCCATGTGATAAGTAAATGGTAAGTTCACAGGCTGAAAGCTGCTTTTCTGTGCAGAAGTAGTTCTGCTGCTTTTGGGCTGGCACATGGCCATCCTGGTAGAGTCTGGAAGCGGTGCTATTCCCATCACATGTCACTCTTTAAATACCCTAATACTCTATTTATCTCTGATGATAAGCTAATTATTCTGAAATAAGCTGCACGGCGGGGCAGTTACTGTGTGGATTTGGAGCTGGAGCTTCGTTTCCTACTTGAGCAGCAGAGGATGCAGTTGACTCTCCCGAGAACCATTAGCTTTTGCACAGGGTGGATGATGGCCTGAGAGTTTCGCTCCCTCTTCTTTCTCTGGGTACTCATTAGTTTGCATTAAGAAGCAGTTACCGATAAATCATACTATGCCATTGCCCATAATCACTGTTTGAAATGCTGTCTTGGTGAAAATTTATTGCAGTTAAGCCTCCTCTGTGGTTATGATTGAATTTTATATTGCTAACATGGTGATAAATAAAAAACCATTTACTCAGCTGTTCACAACACACTCTTAATACTTCGGGTCAGTTGCCTCCCTTTTAGCTTTACTGCTAAGCACGTACCAGGTAGATGTGGATGAATTCTCTGGGATTTCTCTGGATGAAATACCCAGCTCTCACGTTAGAGAGAGGCCCCCATCTAAACTGAGCGCCCGCATCACGTCTCCTTCCAYAGAGCACCACAGAAACCTGCAAAACCACCACTCGAAAAGCTTCTTCATACAAGTACCAGCCTGATCTAAAAGGCATTAAGTTAAGACATAGTCTGAAATTCACTGAGCCCTAGATCAGGCTTGGAAGTGACAGTTGGGTTCCTTGAGTGCCCCTGAAGACTGTTTTTGCCAGAACGTGTTTGAAGTTGAACTTCGATATTTGCCAAGCTCTYACCTTTTGAGCGTACCCAGCTTAGTAATTTCTCCAATTCTTAAGTCTCCGTTTGTAAAATAGGGGTAACAGCATTTTCCTTCTCACCAGACCTTTCCTTGTGCTGATTGTGCTGGCAAGAAGCKTCCTGGAAGGCTGCGCTGTGCACGAACGTCCTGGACCTCCAGCCTTGGCTGGACCTCAAGTTCAGGCTGCAACATGCACAATATGGAATTACTGGGATGCAGCAAAGTGAAGGTTCTGGATACAGTCCAGATCCTTCGGCTCTGTGAACAGCTATAATCCTGATGCTGCTTTTCCCCTATGTGCAACAGTTTGCTAGTCCTTGACTTTGCACTGTGATACTTGATAAATGTTTTATAGCGATGCAGTAACACRGAGTGTGTGTGCAGCCTCTCAGCTCACTTGGGGATCACCATGGATTAAAGCAAAGGAAATACCGACAAATATTGATATTTATATGTCAATACTGACATTTAATCCTGTCATTTTATCTCTCTTCTCTGCAGCTCCTTCATTCCCAAGTTCATCAACCATCTATTCAAATGCAAGCCCATCAGCATGGTGGGAGCAGAGCAGGTAAGAGGACGTAATTGCAGAGCCTGCAATATTTGCTAATGGTCCTGTTTGAAATCTGGGCACCAGCGCAGTGTTTCTGAAGGTTTCTGCTGCTTGGTTTATCAAGGAACAGGAGCTATGTGACCAAACTTTGTGTGKTTGTCTCTGGTTTGCTGTAATTTCAGTGAACTTCCAGGGCAAATTAGCAATGTCAGGGGCTAGATGAAGTTCCCTGGAAATGGGGTGAGGGGACAGGTCGGTGTTAGACATCAGCGAATTACATGGGAAAGATGTGAATTGCCTGACCATGGGAAAATCCACGGTGCCTGGGATCCCTCCTAGGTGCCCAGGAATCTACCTCTGATGAGCGAGAGAGGGCCCCGGGCCCTGGCAGCTCTGCCCCTGCTTGTGTGTGATGTGGTTCTGATAACATCCCTCTGATAATATCCATCCCATGCAAACCATGAAACRAGCTCTGCAGAGAACCCATCCGGATAAAAGTGCTTTATATATCACGGATAACCCCTGTGCAGTCAGAGGGTAGCAGTAGTTGGGGAAATTTCACTCCAAGAAGCCTCACACAGACAGTGATTGAGCCGTGATGCCCATCTCACCTTTTAGAGCTTTTAGTGGCTGTTGCTTCAAGCCTATTTAGCTGCTGCTTTTGTAAAATCAACAGTGTGTCAGTAAGCACAAGATATCGAGTGGTTCTTAATGTATCGCACTGAAGCTTTATTTTAAAAGAGATCAGCAATGATTAAGTGTAGAGGACCTGCTGTAATTGCTGGCTGCTGCGAGAGAGAACATGGTGCTAATTGATTTGATCTCAATATCTATCTAATTAGTGATACAGCTACAGGAAATCTRGGTTGTTTCACTTTTTGCTGTTAAGGGAAGAGAACTGGAAAATCCATGCTTTGTGGCTCAGGTAATTACTGCCATAAGTTACTTTATGTCAGTAGAATAATGTTCCATTAAAAACCGGTGCTGATCCGTGCACACGGGTGATCCCGGTGTCTTGAACTGCCCCTGCATGGGTTGGTTGCTCCTGTTCCTGCAGGCCAATTGCTGAGACCTTCTTGGTGTGTAAAGTAGGAAACTTCTGGGCTAATGGAGCTTGGCAGGAGGGACCTGAGCAGGATGTGATTAACTCTTGCAGCTGCTGCTGGACACTCACTCTCTGAAGATGGTTCTCCTGGACCTGCCTTCCATCGGATCCCAGGTGGTGAGGAAGGCTCCGGCCAGCTACACCAAGATCGTGGTGAAGGGCATGACTCGGGCTGAAATGATCCTCAAGGTAACTCGGGACTCTCGATGCACTGCCGGCCGGGCTGCTGGCCGGGGAATGGGAGCGAGTGAATCCCRGGGGTCCCTCTCCTGGACACAGCGCTGCCGTTTCGTGTGCTCCTGCTCATCCGGATTTTCTCCCGGCTGCTCCACAGAACAGGGTTTTTTGCGTTGGTTTTGCTGCAGCTCTGGGTCAACATCACAGTTGAGTTTCCATCCCCACCTCTCAAGATAACAGTTGGTTCAGGTGGGGCTTCCTCACAGAGCTGGGGCACCCTGTGTCCTTGGGAGCCTGTGGAAATCACAACTAACACCCCTGTCTGCCTAGGAGTAACCCTCCTGCTCAGGTTAGTCCAGACCTTTATGCAGACTTGGTTGGGCAGGGGAGCCAAGCTGTGCTTGAGTCACCTGTTTACTGTCTAGTGTAACAGCCAGTGCAAACATGTCTGAGTTACTGTATTCACCGGGGCCCTTTTTCATTTTCCAGACCTGATGCCCGGAAAATGACCCAAAAAGCGAGGTGTTGTCTTCATAAAAAGTARCAAGCAGAGCAATGTCCCCGGCCTCTGCCTCCCCGCGGGCGCCTTGCGGGAAGCAGCAGTTAAGCTGGGTCCCAAGGGAAGCCGGGGGAGCTCTGCAGGTTGTGCCCTGCCAAGTGATGGGATTATCCTCCGCTCACTGACGAGGCTGCTCCGGGTGGGAGCCGGAGCCGGTCGGGACGGCAGGGTCACGGTGGGGCCTCATGGATGCTCACARGGGCAATGGGGATGCATGGGATGCTCTGCATGGGTCTGCTGCCATGCCCAAGGTGCTGCCAGGGGCACTTCCGCACTCAGAATCCAGAAAATAGTTCTGAAACTCCCCGCTTTTGGATTAAAACGTCTGAGGTGCCGATYGGTAACGTTAAAGCAAGTCTCAACTGTTTTTCTGAATTAGCTTAGAAAGRATTTCCAGCTCCTGCTGCGCATACAGGAACTTGTCTTTCCCCGTTGCTTACGTGGGGATCGGAAGAGCAGCAGAGTTAACTTGGTGTCTGATGTGAAAGACGTGTTCCTTATGGAGCTCGTTGCTCCTGAAAGGGATATACAGAACTGAATAATCCTCTTTCCAGCTTTGAGTCTCTATTTACATTTTTTTTTTCTGACTTGATCTTCATTGGCCCTAAGAGGGTTTGAGTTCTGGGGTGGTGGAAGTTGGAGCAGGACGAGCATGCGGATCCCCAGCCTCTATCCCACTCCATGCAGCCACAGCCACTGCTATCCCTAGGGATCTGCCCTTAGGAGAAGCGAGTCCAGCTGCCGCTCCTGAGCTGGTTGTGCATGGACTGGACGCGTCGGATTTGTCTGATCTCTTCTTTTCTCTCCCTTGGCAGGTGGTGATGGCTCCGCATGAGCCCCCGGTCGTGTTTGTGGACAATTACATCAAACTCCTGGCCGACTGCAGCACCGACACTTTCCAGAAGATACTGGACATGAAGGTGAGAGTAGTTCTAGTCTTGCAAAAACTCTGCTAATGTATTAGAGCTGCACTGAAGTTGTCRGTGACTCTTTTTGGTAGGAATACAGAGGGATTTAGAGCAGGGGAAGTATTCTGCAGGCCAAGGGCATCCTCTCCCCTCTGACCACATGGAGTTTGCATGGAAGCAAGCGCCTCACTTTGTGCTCGTGGCTGCACTGGCTCCCGTGGCTGAGTCTCATTCTATTCAGATCAGACACCGGGCACTTGGAGGGTGAGGGAAAGGCTGAGGTTTGTAGTCAGCGAGGTCTGACCTGCTGCTCTCTGTTCTCTCTCCTCGCAGGGCCTGAAGAGGAGCGAGCAGAGCAGCATGTTGGAGCTGTTCCGCCAGCGCCTCCCGGCACCCGCCTCCGGCGCCGAGAACCCCGGCTCCCTGGCGCTGAGCGCCCCCACGCCAGAGCAGGAGTCCTCTCGGATACGGAAACTGGAGAAACTCATCAAAAAAAGGCTCTAAGTGAGCGCAGGAGGAAAAAAATGTTGCTCAGGACTAGCTGTGGTCACTGGGAGCAAAGCTCTTCAGACTTCTTATTTACACTATGCTGCTGAAAAAATCAGTGTCTGGTCACTCCTATGCCTTGTGTAACCATTGGAGACTGTGGCACTGCATCTCCCTCCGGGCCACGGGAGAACCTGACCAAGGTCTTTGCCCTGTCGATAGCTTAGAGTGAGTGAAACCAAGGACAGCACCAGGGCCACGTGATGGGCAAAATGAAGGTACCTGGAAGCCCTCAGCTCTGAGCACGGTCGGGTGGGTTATCCAGTCAGAATATCTGGCTGGGATACACTTGGTGTTGTGTCAGCCTGGCTGAGCGTTGCCACTGCAGCACTAAGGATTTTCTCTGAGAGTTTGGCGTTCGCTGCTCCCTGTTGCAGAGCTTTTCCTCTCTTTCATTATTTATTAAAAAAAAAAAAAAAAAAGAAAAAAAAAGGCAGCTGGGATGTGGACATCTGCAGCTCCCTGGAATCATTAGAGATGTCCAGGAGAGAACCCGAAATTTCACCAGGACCCTGGTGTGTCGCCGCCGGCAGCGTCCGAGTGTCCCCAGGCCCCTCGCTGCCCTGCTGGGACAGATGCTGCCGTTTGGTGTCAGTGGAGCCTGCGGCTGCCAGGCTCTGTTCCCAGCACAGACGTTTACAACAGCCTGGGACATCAAGGATCTTCTCCTCCTCACTCTCCTCCTTCCAGCATCAGCTTGAACCAGTGCAGAGAAGAGGTGAAACGTGTTGGATACTGGATACTGGAAACGTTTGGACTGCCCTCCTCCTCCTGCTGGTATCCGGCTACGTATTCAGCACAGAGCAGGGCTGGCAACCTGAGCTCCCCTGAGCCCCGCTTTGCCTCAGCTTCCAGAGGAACCTCGCAGAGGGATGTGTCACCTCGCCTGGGTTTCTTCCCACCTCCTTTGTGGCTCTTTTGGCACGAGCAGAGGAGGCACCGGGGCTGCAACGGCCCTTGCTCTCCCCAGCCAGGTAGCAGGGCAGCGTTTGTGACCTTGCAGAATTCCTGCTGGGTAAAACCTCACCCTTTTTGCAGGGCCGACACGCGAGCCCAGGGCCACCCACACACAGAGGAAATCAGCAGAGGTGCAATCTGGAGACTCGGTCATTCCAGTGCTGCCCGTGGTGGGGTGCACATGAAGGCGTCTGTGGACACCGTCTGTTCAGGAAACCCTGTCACGGGTCACCAGGACCAGGTAGAAGACACCGCCGGCTGAGCYGGAGCCGCGACGTCCATCGGGGCAGCGGCACGGCGAGGAGGCGGCGGCAAGTCCTTGTTACCTGCTTCTCAGTGACGTTCTCCAAATCCATGAAGTTTCTCCTTCCTCCCCTGATGTCACGAGGAGCAGTGGTCGCGCTCGGGGGGCAGCGAGTGGCCGGAARGGCTGTTTGGAAGCACGGTGGGTTCACGGGCGCCCTTTCCCAAAGGACACTGCGTGTTGCGGTCTCCACATTATCAAGCATGGTAGCCAGGACAGGAGGAACACAGGCTTTGTGGAGATTCATTATTCCCAGGGTGGATAAATAATTTAGATTAATTTTCCTTTGCGATGTCCGTGGATGACTCGCTGAATAAATCGCAAATAGCTGAAGACACATCCAGGCTGTCGCTACGTGTCTCCCCGGAGGACTGCTCCTGTTTCACTTTTTGCATTTAATTGTGAAGAGAAAAAGAAAAACGGATTCCTCACGTCGGCCTTGGGAGCAGCCTTGCAGGCCTCGGTGTTCAGAGTCCCAGGGTTTTTAGAGGGCAGGTTTGCTTTTTTCCACTTTTAAAAGCTTTTGTCCCCCTGGCTGCTTATCAGGGTTGGCACTTAGGCGTGTGTAAATGTCAGGGGCTGGGGGTTGTGTCTGCAGGGGACCAGCAAGGGTGTTTTTCCTCTATAAAAGCCACTTTGTACGTTTTTTGACAGGGATTTTGCTGCCTGTATGGAGTGTCACACAGATGTCAATTAAATGGTTGCCGGTGTCCRTCGTCTGGGTGCTGTTTGTGGAGCTGCCGCGTGGCCGCAGCGGCAGGGCCCGGGCATGGGGGGAATGGGGCTGGAGCTGGTGCCCAGCCGGGAGCACCCGCTGTTTCCCAGAGTTTGGAAATGCTTTTTCCAGCGTTATCCCATAGCTGGGAACCCTTCGGGTTCTGCCGGCCCCGCTCTGGCTCCACGCGGCCCTTGGGCTGCGGGGGAAAGTCCTTTCCGGGCGGATCTGGTGCGATGGAGCAGCGGCCAAAGCAGATAAGGCGGCAGGGCCGGCCGGCGGGAGCGCCCGGTGASCGCCGGGCCGGGGCGGCCCCGGCACGAGTGTGTCGGGGCTCAGCCGGGGCACCCTGTGTATCTGTGTATCGCACTGGTCCTCATRCTGGCTGAAATCTCCCTGTTCCTGCCCAGGCCCCGGGCAGCAGCTCTGCCTCTCGCAGCCTTCGGGGCACACTCATTCCCCAAAGAGGCTCTTTTTCCATCGTTTTCCAAGGCTTTCCCATTCCTCACAGGGACTTCTCCCTCTTGGCCCTGGTTTAACCAGAAGCAGCCCAGCACCTGCCCCGCCATTTCTCTCCTCAGCTCCCAGTTTTTCAATGGGAACCGTTAATGCTCTGTATTTCTCTTGTTGTTTTCTTCTTTCCCTCTGCATTTTGCAGCAAAGACGAACAACCTCCCTGCGGTTCTTCCAAGGAATGTGAATTCCTTGTGGAAGCGCCCTGGCTTCCCGGCGACGCGGAGCCGCGGCCGTCTCCTGCTTTTAATTTGGGGGCAGTTCAGGAATTCGGAGCCGGCGCCGCGGCCTCCCCTCCCCGGAGTGCCCCGCGCCGCATCCCGTGACACGGCACCCTGATTGCATCCGGATTTTCCAAAACAATGCCCCATTTCCCTGCCCGGGGTGCGGTTATAGCAGTGCAAGGGCATTAAATACAAATGCGCGTATATGTGTTTTTCCTGTTGATGGCAACACAAACAAACAGACCTTTTTCCAATGGCCACTTCCTTGTTTTTTTTCTTCCCCCCCCCTTTTTTTTTTTGCCTTTTTTCCCTTGCTTTTTTCCTTTTTTTTCCCCCTCCTTGCTCTTTCCCCTCGCTTTTCCCCCGCGTTTCCCACTCGCTCCCACCGGGGAGTTTGGCGGGGAGGGGTCCAAGGCGGGCCGGGGGCGTGGCCAGGCGGGGTGTGGGCGTGGCCGGCCGCGTCTTGCCCCGCCCCGGGCGCTGCCGGCGCAGCCGGGACGGGACGGACCGATCCGCGCAGCGCCCGGACGGGAGGAGCCGCCGCGGCTCCGGAGCGGCTCCCGGGCGGTTCCGAAGCGGCTCCGAAGCGGCTCCGCAGGGGCCATGGTGGGGCGGCTGAGCCTGCGGGACGTGCCCGAGCTGCCCGACGCCAGGACGCGCGGCGAGGCCGTGCTGGACAGCCCCGACTCCGGGCTGCCCCCCAGCCCCGGGCCGGGCCACGGGCCGTGGCTGCTGCCCGCGGGCAGCCCCGAGCGCCGCTCGCCCGGCGCCCTCGCCGAGCCCCCCGCGGTGAGTAGCGCCCGCCGGGCCGCCCCGCGCGCCCTCGGGGAGCGGCGCGGGCTGCAGCGCGGAGCGGCCGCCGGAGCGGCTGGCGGCGGCGCTTTGGGAACGGGCGCCCCCGCGGGAAGCGGGCAGCGCGTGTGGCCGGGACCCCGGGGGCTGCGCGGTCCCCATGTGTCCCCGCGGGCTSTGCGGTCCTCGTGGGCTGCGCGGTTCCCATGGGCTTCAGTGTCCCTGTGAGCTGCATTCCCAGGGCGGCTCCTCCGAGGTGACTCCCTGGGGCTGGGACACTGCGTCCCCAAACACCTGCCCCATGAGCAAACACAGGCCGGTGGCTCCGCAGGGACAGGGGGGCTCTGCTCCCAACACCCAGACCTCACTGCCCCCTGCACTGCAGGGTGGATAAACACCCTGTCCCAGGAATGCAGCCGGCTCGGGAATCAACGCCGTTAACTTTGCTTTTCCGCAGCCCTCGTCGCTCGCTCCCAGCCCGCTGCTCTCCGGCTGCGCCCCCAGGCTCTGTCCCCTCTCCTTCGGCGAAGGCGTCGAGCTCGACCCGCTGCCACCCAAGGAAATCAGGTGAGCGGTGCCGGCAGGACCGGCCTTATCGGCGCCGCGCGGGCGCACGGCCTTGCGGCGCTGCTGCTCGTGCAGCTGTGCATTCCTGGCTGGCCCCGCGTGCAGCAGCGCTCCRTGCACGGAAAACTTCTTTTTTTTCTGGGAAGGCTTCCTGCACTTTGCTCTCCTGCTCGCCGTTTCCTTGCACGGCTCCCAGGCGCTGCCTTCCAGAGCGGCGGCCTCTGAGAGGCTGTTTTGTTAGAGGAAAGGGGTTTTGCTCCCTTACTGGCTTTAGAGCAAGAAGTCTCTGTCTTACTGACCCTGGCTGCTTGCATGAACTAAGAGTTAATGTTGTGGCCATAGTTTTCTCGGAGCTCTGCATCATTTTGTAACCTGCAAATGGTTCCCCCGAACGAGGCGCTTTGCGGTGACAGGACCAAGCGCACGCCGGGCGTGCAGGACACTAGAGCAGCTCCTGGTCAGGGAGGCTCCGTGTCCTGCCCGGGGCATCTTTGCAGGCTGGAACTGACTGAATTGGCCTCCAAAGAGCATCCAGGAGCGCCAGGAAGGAGCTGGTGTGCGGGTGGAAGGGGAGCAAGCGGCGCCTGCCCGAGGCTGCGGAGCTGGGGTGCTTGGAGCACAGGCCGGCCCTGGCTCCGGGGCCGTCCCTGCAGCGCGGGGTGTCTGCGCCCGGATGCTGCCCGGCGCCGCGCTGCCGGCTGCTCCCGCCCCTGGACGAGTAGCTGTTCTGCTGCTGGAGTGGTTTTTGCGTTATGTGGCTCTTTTTGTGGCTAAGCACCAGGTTCAGAGCTTAGGATCCAACCTAGACACCCAAAGCTCTTTTTTTTTTGCTTAAAAAACATGCGGTAGAATTGAGCCCCGTCTCGCTGTGTCCCTGCAGGTACACGTCCTCGGTGACGTACGCCTCGGAGAAGCACTTCATCGACGACGTCTACCTGCCCGTGGGCCTGAGCGTCTCCTCGTGCAGCCAGACGGTCGTGTGCGTGCCCGACTGCACGTGGCGCAGCTACAAAGCGGAGCTGCGCTTCGAGCCGCGCCACCGGGCCCGCCGCTTCGCCAGCACCACCATCGTGTACCCCAAGCACGCCAAGACTGTCTACACCACCACGCTGGATTACGACGGGCGCAAAGCCCTGCGGCGCTTCCTCGCCAGCGTGGAGCTGGAGCCGCCCGAGGCGCCGGGCGGCTGCTGACGCCCCAGCCCTCCGCCCCGGCGAGGGGACCCCCGTTGTCACCACCTCTTCCTCCTCTTCCTCGGCACTTCATCCCTGCTTTAAGCAGGGCCTGAGACCTGCCCTCTGCGGGAGCACCCCTTAGTAATGAGCTGGTTTTGTCACCTTAAGCGTGGGTTTAGTGCCCTCCCTCGCGGTATAGCAATCGGGTGAAAATCAGGGAAAATTTTATTATTTTATTTTATTTTTTTTTCCCAGAGAAAAAGTTAACTGCTACTCACAGGTAAGAGAATCAGGAATAGGGACTACAGTTGATGCTTGGTATCGCTGTGCAAAAACAAGGGCACTTCACTCTCTTGCAGAAAATCTACCRGGTCATTTGTTTACATATAAATAGAGCTGTCATTTATGTCCATTGAAACCATGGGGCTGTTTCCTCCAACAGAGCAATCTCCAGAAATTTGCTGGAAAAAGCTAGCCCAGAGAAAACTCAGAACTCTGCGTTTAGCAGCGCTGTCCTGTTGCATTCATGCCTGGCTTGGAGGTGTGAGTGGGAAGCAGGAATTCGGAGCAGGGCGGGAGGCAGTGGCTGCTGCAGCTCCGGGTGGCCGGGCAGGGATTGGGTTATTCCCATTATTTGGGAGAACAGAGYGGTGCAGCTCCAGTTCCTGTACTGATTTGTACCACCCTGTTGTCTCGGAGTAATGCACCAACATTTGTGTGCGGGAGCTGCAGCTCCAATGAGGATTATGAGGGTCCAGGGTGTCCCCGCGCCGCTGCAAAGCGCAGCCTTGCCAGCTCCGCGTTGCAGACATCCACGGGCAGCGTCTCCCCAGGAACTAGGGAAGCTTCAGCGGATCCACAGCGTGGRCCGTGTCGGGCCACGAGTGGGGCAGGAAAGGCCGGGATCAGATCTGAGAGCTGTGAATCATTCCCGGGGAAGAGGCCGCCTGTAACCAGGGATGGGCGATTTGTTTATGGGTACCAAGATCCGCAGCCCTCCCTCCGCCTTCCCAATGGAGCTTTCCCGTGCCAAGGTCCACGTCCTCTCTGCCCTCGGCACTGAGCACGTCACGGGGCTGGGGCAGCCTTTGCCTGTCCCTCCGCTTCCAAATAACCCCCGCGAATCCATTGAGCCAGACACAGTTGTGTTTTGTGGTCAAGGGGAAACTTAGGACAGCGCGGAAGTCCAGCTCGGTAGGTGCTGTAGTTTATCCTGGGCTTTGGTGGGAACAGAAGGTGGAGGTTTCTCGCCTTGCCCGGATGGTTTTCCTGCAGGGAAGTGCAGAGAGGATCTGCCTGGGGACAGTGGCTCAAAGTGGGGGCTCGCGGGGCGGCAGCTCGGAGCAACTTGGCAGATACGACCGAGCTGGACGTGACTTTTTTGTGTGTAGTCCAAAACTGCTCCGAGGTGCAGGCCGCCCCCCGGGGCGTTGCAGGGGGCTGGACGTGGCGCGGGGTCCCCAGGGTGGGCTTTGCCGGGATCCCGCGCGGCCGTCGCGGAGCTGCAGCCGGACGGGGCTGAGCTGAGCGCGGCGGAAGGGGCTTTAGGGGGAACTCGGATGAACCGGGGCGCTAAAAACGCAGCAGGGAAGGAAGGCTTGAGCTTCTATGGCTTGGTACTTAGGTTTTTTACTTATTTATTAGCTCAAAACAGGATGTCGTTTATTTTTGGCATTTGCCTCCAAAAAACGGAGCCTAAAAAACCCCCAGGGCAACACACGCTGCCAAATTCAGGTAGTCTTTGCAGCTGATAAGAGCAGCCTGGTTTGCTCATTAAACTCACTGGCCTCAAGCAAGAGTATTTAGGAGATGCTTCTTAAACGCCCCCCATGATCCCCCTTTACACGCGGCCCCACAACRGGTCAGAGAGGCAGGCGGCACCCCYGGGAAAAGGGGGTTCACGTGGAGCGGCTTTCCTTTGGGAAAGCTCTTTGCAGCTGCTCGTGCCTTGTTCCCGAAACACCCGGGGCTGCTCCTGGATGCGGGAAGCACCGGGACCTCGGTGGGCTCCGACGGCGCCGTTCCCAGGAGCTCATCTGCAGGGGACCTGACAGAAGGTGATTTTAAGTTGCCGTCGTTCCTCGTTAAATTATGGCCCTTACATTGTGGCTTTAGGATGAGCCGCCTGATTTACAAAGCCAGCAGATTTAGCTTTGTACCTCTCGAGGGTATTTTAATGGGTAGGGATGCTTTTTAAATTATTGGTGATGCAGCATTTGCAAAGCTCTGATCAGCTCCGTGCAAGTGYTCTGGTGTCTGGGACATTCCCCATCTCATCCTTTTAATTTTTTTCATTTTACTGGTAATAAATGATCTGAAAACTGTAATATAGGGAAGTCTATTTTTTATTCAAAAGTTTTCGGTGTTTGTTATGGTATTTACCTCAAAATAAATACATAATATATCCTGCTGATGTGAGATCCCCTTTTGTTTCTCTTGCATCAGATGTTATTGTTGTTGCGTGTTCRCGGAAGGCATTTCCTATATAAAACTGTAGTTTTATTTAAAAAATATTTAAATATTTTTTAAAAAAAGAAGACAACAAATGTTGTAGCTTTATCAGTTTAGTAAAATACTTGAAAAAGTGCCTTGAAGACAGCTGAAAATCCCCCCCGGGGTGTATTTGAGTCTTTCATCTGCTGCAGTTTTATTTTTGCAGGGAGAGTCTCCAGTATGGACTTCAGCATATCCTACCAATGAAGCAGTTGGCCTTTTTAAATATAACAAATACTTAACCGGACAATCATTTCTTTTCAGTTTTGGATAAAAGGGCAGATGCTCAAATGCTGCATTAGTAAATATAGCATAAAAAATAAGACTGGATCATGCATTAAACTTTATACGAGCAGGATAGGCGATCACAAGCTATCATTTGGGAGGAATGCTGTGTTGTTCTGCTGGCTACTTAATGAGTTATTAAGCCCTTCTGAATTTGCAGGCTTGCTGATTTTGTTCGTATCTCTGGCAAAGTAGAAATGGATCCAATTGAAYGCCAGCTAATTAATTCATAATAGGATTTTTTCACTTACTCTTTATGGTTCATTTGGTTATCTGTTTGCAAAAGCTCCAGATTTGCATGTAATGACATTATTGGAATCTGGGGAGCTTTGGAGCTGTTCTGAAGCTCGCTCCCGTTCCGGCGAAAGTCCGTGGAAGCATCTGAGCATCGTGCAGTGATGAAAGTACTAAATAGCAAAAAAAAGCCACATATATCCGCCAATTACTTCATAAAAGTGCATACCAAGAGCCATTCACATTTTGTACCATTRGAGCAGTCTCTTTTAGGAGGGCTGCAGGAACCTGGAAAGCTTTTGCTCCTTTCGGATGTGGCATCTAACTTGCAAATGCCTCTGTCCTTCTGCCCTTGGCTTTTTATATAATTTTAATATCRTAGCAGCACAGAACCTGATAGATGTTGCTCTGCTATAAGGAGCTGAAGCAGGTGGGTGCAAGGCAGCCTGCTCACTGCCGTGCTTCCAAATCGTATTGGCCAAATGGGCTTCTAGTTAGTGGATGCCCTATAATGCCATCACTGTAGATAAGCCCATTTTTCATCGTAGGTGCCCTGCTTCTCAAGGATGTGCARTCCGAGGGATCTGTGCGGTGATTTTTTTTGGAACACGGTGCAATACTCTGCTTAGCAATTAAGTCACTGGCGAGGAGACACCTTTTGGAGTGAGGCCCTGGAAACCAACACTGCTTCTGGACACGGGAAAAACTTGGAAAACAGTCTCCTTTCTGTGCTAGGAGGGATGGATGGTCCCATGGCTCCTGCCTGTGGAATGGCAAACACTTCAACAGCTTCTGCTGCTGCATCCAGGGGAAAAAAACATTCCCAGCATCCCGAAAGCAGGGGATCCCAGAGTGGCCGCCCTGTGCCTCCTGCTGCCCGGGCTGTGCAGTGCACGTCTCCGCCAACATTATTTGGATTTGCTGGGATGGACCTGCTGTGCCGGGGTCCCATGGACGGCCACTCTGCTCCCCTTCCCCGTGACCCCTTCCCCTCTATCTTAGTGCCTTCCCTGTGGTGCCTTCCCCTGTATCTTGGTGCCTTCCTCTCCATCTTGGCATCTTCCCCATGGCACCTTTGAGGGGCTCTTTGGGCAGCACAGGGAGCCTCTGCATCCCGGGAAATGGGTCTGTTCAAAAAGCGACTGGGAGCGGTGCAGACAAAATTTACATTTATCGTTCATAAATGTAATGTAAATGCAATGCCCCGTGCACTCGCTGGAGCTGCCAAGAGCAAGGCGGGTGCCGGGCCGTGAGCTTTGCAGCACGGAGGGGGCCAGCTGGGGCCCTCCACTCTGCCCAGCCAGGGCGCCGTGMGGGTAGTGACAGCAGGGGGTGTTTTGGGTTGGAATGGGAACATTTTGTTGCTCTTGGTTGGGGGTTTTGCTTTGCTTGGAGGTGACTTTGGCGGGGCACGTGCATCGTCACTCGGACCTGTGTATTTCCGAGGGATGCGGGTTGTGAGTGTGTATTTTTCCCGGGCAGAGGAGGAGGAGGAGGAAGATGAAGGGCAAGACAAGGGGGAGACCCTGATCCGCTCCGCTCCGCTCCGCGCTTTGGCGGCCGCCGGCGCGGGGCAGGTACCGCCCGGCGCCGCCAGGGGGTGCCCGGACCGCGGGGGCGGGGCCAGAGAGGGAGGGGCCATCAGGGGGCGTGGTTTTGAGCAGTGGGAGTGGCTTTTCCTGCGAGGGGGCGTGGCTTTATCCTATGTATTTATAGACGGGGCGTGGTTTTGTGTCGTGGGTGGTCTCATGAGGGGCGTGGTTTGTGTTATGGGCGTGTGTTGCTATGTGGGCGTGGCCCGCGCGGAGGCGTGGTTTGGGCGGTGGGCGTGGCCCGCGCGCGGGGCGCAGGTGCGCTCCGTTTCCGCGGTCGCCGGGGCGGGGCTGCGCTGGGACGGGACCCGCCGCGGGAGGAGGCGGTTTCGGGGCGTTTTTACCCCGTGTCCTAAGAGAGMAGGGCTTTTTGGGGTGGAAAAAAAAGAAAAAGCGGTGGGAAGGGCTCAAAGTGGCGTGTTCCGCCCCAAAAGCGCCCGGCCCGGGCCCTCGCTGCCGCCGAGCCCCTCCGCGTCTTCCTGGTTGCCCGAGGTCGCGCACCACGCAGGTTGGTTTGTCCTCCCGCTCCGGCCGGGGCTCTCCCGGCCAGCGCCGGCCTCTGCTCTCTCTCTCTCTGTCCCTCCTCTCTGCTCCGGCTGGGTTTTTCCAAGAAGTTCCTGGGCTCTGCCGCCTCGTGCGGCGCGGGAGGTGCCGGGGATCCCGCACGGTGGGAGCGAGCGGGYCCCCCTGCTCGGCCGCGCAGCTGCCGACGGGGCTGGGGAGCCTCGTGTGGAGGCTCCCGTTGCAGAGCTGCGCACCTATGGGTGCAGAGCGGCTGCCTCCCTAGCCCGGTTTCCTCCTCTTCAGCACACTTTGTTTGCTCGGGAAAAGCCCAGTTTCTGTCTGCTGGTGCTGGGAGCAGCTCTGGAGCCTCCTTTGGTGTCCGTGTGAACTCGTCCCGCTTGCTCCTGCTGCTCCTCATGGGAACTCGTGTCCCTGTTGGGATGAATACGCAGGGGCGTCCCCAGCTCCCTCCCCGGTGCTGCAGCCGGTCCTGGGGTTCATCCATAGGGACCCCGAGGGGGCCCGGGCTTTGCCTGGCATGAGTTCAGCAGCAAGCAAGGAAGGGAGAACTCACAGGAGTTAACACAAGCAAAYGTTCCAGGTTAACGGATGCTGCTCGGATCAAGGCTCTGTGCGGGACACGCTTGGAGCAAGTTGGGTTCTTCAAAGCTCGTGGTGTTTCGGGGTGCTGTGTTTTCTCCATTGGTTTCATGCATCCATCTCCATTTCCCCACCTCCTCCCTGTCCCCGAGACCTGGCCTGATCTCGGAAGCAGAACGTGGATTTGCTGTCCTGCTTGTGTGACCCCAGGGGGATAAAAACAGCCCCGTGCCTTGAAATYGCCCACAGTGCTAAACCCTGCACCTGCAGCACCGGCCTTGCCGAGCCGGCGCCTCCCCCTGCCCTTATCTCCGACCGCGCTCCCTTCTGCCCGTCATAGCAACAGGAGCAAACAGCCGCTTCAGCACTGCGGTTTCCCGGGATAACGGGGCCAGGACGGGGGGTTTGCACAAGCGGCACGTGCCTGCGTGGGCGCAAGGCCGCGATGCCGCCCGGCGGCACTGGGACACGTGTTTTCTCGGAGCCGCGGCTGGCGGGCGCTCTGCCTCGCTCGCTGTTGTATCTCGTCTGTGCCTGCCAAACCACTTCGAGCGCGTTATCTCTGCCCAGCAGGTAGGGTTTTCGAGCTGGCGAGTGTCTCTCCTGGGGAAGGTAAGCATTAGTGCTTGTGAATTTGCGCTTCAGGGCCCGCGGGACACTCGCTGCGCTGGAGAGGAGGAGGCTGCACGCATCGAGAGCAGCATTGCCGCCGCCGAAGTCGCCCGGCTGCTCCTGTTCCCCGGCTCTTTCCCCTCTTCCGAGCTGCGGGTAGGACTCCGAACTGCATCGCTGAGGTGCTTTGGGAGGTGCTTTTYCCAAAAAAGTGCCCCGATGCTGCTGCTTTCCCTGAAAAGTTCAGGGCAAAGCGCCTGCGGAGCAGGAGCTGCAGCCGGGAGCGGCGCTGCCCGGAGCAGCAACCAGCTCCAGCACACCCATGTTGGGGTGCTGCCGTTATATAAATACCTCCCGGCTACAGAGAACGTTTAATGAACAAAAATGACCTGCTGCTCCTCATGCTGAGCGTCGCGTGGGTTCCTTACCCCCCTGGGAGGTAAAAGGCAGCAAGGGGAGCTCCTCCAAAGGACTCTCTGCCGTGGGACAGAACGGGGCTTCGGGCTGGGGTTGCTTCCATCAGCAGCACTGTTCACCAGCTTGAAATGCCAGGTTGTAGCGGCGCTGTTGAAGAGCCCGTGAGTATTTTTTTTTCCCTAGAGTGCCGTAAAATTGACACCACCATAAGGGTGGTGATCAGGCTTTATTGCAGGGCTTGGGCAGGAGGCTGCGGTGACCAGGCAGACGGGCACGTCCCCTGTCCCGGAGGAGCCGTCCCCTGTCCCGGAGGAGCTGTTCCCCGCTCAGCACTGCCTCCGTTCCCCGCAGGCGTGCGGCCCATGGCCGACACCATCTTCGGCAGCGGCGCCGGCCACTGGGTCTGCCCCAACGACCGGCAGCTGGCCCTGCGCGCCAAGTGAGTGTCCGCGCACCACGCTCCGCTCCCAATGCCGCCAGGGCTCCGGGCGGGAGCTGCCTGGCTTTCCATCCACGTTAGCTTGCTGCTTAACCTCAGGGAAAGGGGATGGGGATGAGCCGGCCATGAGGGTTGCGTTTGGGATAAGTCCAGGCCTGGCCGTGGCCGCCTCCCTGCTCTGTCCCCTCTCCGTCACCCGGAGCATCGTTAAAGCAGCTGCCTCTGGTGCCTGCACTCAGCTGCGCCGGCTTCACCCAGTGACCTCCGAATGCCTCCTGAGCGGGAGCTAATTGAGCTGTGAAAGCTGCTCCCGAGAGAGCCGGGGGAAATGTCAGCTCTTGTGCGCGAGGAGCCGGCTCAGGGCTCGAGCCGAGGCCCGCGGGAGGCCGGAGGCTGCAGGCGGCCCCTCCGTTCTGGAGCCGGCGCGTGCGGTGTCTCTCCTGGGTGTCTTTGCAAGGATCCAGTCCCTAGGCAGCCCAGCCCTAGACAGGCTGTTTTCTCCTTAAGGATACGCTCTATGTGACCCGTGTCCATAGGCTAGGGKGGAAGGGGAGCAAGGATGTGGAGGGTAAAATCCCCTTGGGCCCCTAAGGGGAAATCGAGGGGTAGAGAGAGGGAGAGCAGCCCTTGGCGGGGCTGGGAGCGCGAGGAGGCTCCTGCCTCGGGGCTCGGCCAAACCAGGGAGCCCGGCGCTCGCGGGGCTGCGCGCGGCTCCGGCRCTTCCCCCTGGCCGCTGAGGTGCCGCCCGCGTCCCCGCCGCAGGCTGCACACGGGCTGGTCCGTGCACACCTTCCAGACGGAGAAGCAGAGGAAGATGCAGGCTCTGAGCGCGCAGGAGCGCGAGGCCATCCTGGAAGTCATCCGCAGGGCGGAGAGGCTGGACGTCATTGAGCAGCAGCGCATCGGGTACGGTCGCGTCCRCTCGTCCCCCACAAGGAAAGGTCGGAGTGGGTGGATCAGCCCCCGGGATCAGACACCATGAGCTCCCTTCTCCTCCCCTGCCTGCGTTCCTCATTTGGAGGTGATGAAGGCCAGGGAAGATGGGCCTCCTTATCCTCCCTACCTGGGGTTCAGGCCTTTCCCTGGCTGTCYTTGAGCCGTGGGGCTTGTTGGGTTTGCAGCCACTGGCAAGTCCTTGGCAAAGGCAGCCTGCGTCGAGGCGGCCGCTCCAGCGGCTCTGGAAAAGCCTTGGGAGGAGGCGAGGTGGGGGCCGGCAGCACAAGGCTTCCCCTGCTCCGCAGCAGCCCCGGGGTTCACCTGGAGCATGGAATGAGTTTGTGTTCTGGCTGGCTGGCTTCTCTGGAAGTGACTCTTAGCCTGAATTATTTAATTTATGGGCATCCTCCTCCTCCTTTTCGCTGCTGCTGCAAATCCTCGCTTGCTTTTGCTCCTGCTGGAGGGCTGGCCCCTAAAGTGGGAGCATTTAAAGTGAACTCGGGAGAAGAGACGGGGGTGTCTGTGTGACACGGGGACATCCCGAGGGGCTGATCCCGCATGTGGATGCAGCTGCAGGAAGCTTTCACCCCGCTGTTCCTGCACCCCATTAAACGCTTCTCAGCCCATGGATCTTCCATGGTACTGGAGCCAGGGATGGTAAATGCAGCACTGCGGGTCTGACCTCCTCGCCACGGGCAGCCCCTTGCAAGCAGCCCTCGCCTGCCGCAGCGGGGCYGCTGATGGGACATTAGCGCTAACGAGAAGGGGCAGGCAGGGCCAGCAGGGCCGCTCCGCTCGCTGCCTCTGACGAAGGGCCTGGCTCCTGCGCCGCCTCTGTGAGCGGATGCTCCCGGCAGCAGCCCCGCTCCGTGCGCCCTCCGCATCCTGCATCCTGATTGCTGCTCTTTCCTGCCTTCCCTCTCCCGCCTCTTGCTCCGGGCGCGTCGCACACGCASGCGCTTCCTGTTTTCCAAGCAGGTCATTGAGCCATGCAGAGGGCAGATCCTGGGATTCCCGGGTCAGGACTGGTCTCCTCGGGGTCTGGTGTCTTCCTGCCCCCAGTTAGCTGTATGCACAGGGCTGTGCTCGGAGAATGGGCGCAAGGATGTCGCTGCTTTAGCCCCTCTGCTCTTTCCCGCTGTGCTCTGCTTTGCCCTGATCCAGCCCTGGATGTTCCTGCGGCTCCAGGAGCAGATCGTGGTGCAGCCCCGGGCACACTGAGCTCCTGCAGGGCGCTCTGAGCGAGCCCTTCTCTGCCCTGCGCCCACCAGCCGAGTTGTTGGGTTCCCAAGCTGGTTATCCAGACTGGGAGAGGTCTAGGTGGACTGGGATGCCCCAAGCCCCCCTAGTCCGCTCGTAGGAAGCACTGAGTGCAGAGGGTGGCCTGGAAGTACCTATGGTCTTAGCAAGGTGCCCAAACCCCTGCAGAAGCAGCAGTGATGGGCTGAGCATGGAGCGTTGACCTGCCTTCCCCGAGCCACCACGGCTTGTGTCACCAAGGGGTCTAAGCTCTGCCTTGTGTCCCCGAGGGGGCTCCAGGGGTCTAAGCTCTGCCTTGTGTCCCCGAGGGGGCTCCGGGGGTCTAAGCTCTGCCTTGTGTCCCCGAGGGGGCTCCGGGGGTCTAAGCTCTGCCTTGTGTCCCGAGGGGGCTCCGGGGGTCTAAGCTCTGCCTTGCTGCCTGCAGGCGCCTGGTGGAGCGGCTGGAGAACATGCGCAAGAACGCGATGGGCAACGGGCTCTCACAGTGCCTGCTCTGCGGCGAGCTGCTCGGGCTGCTGGGCAGCACCGCGGTCTTCTGCCAGGACTGCAAAAAGGTGGGTTTGCTCCCCCAAAAAGGTGGGTTTGCTCCCCCAAAAAGGTGGGTTTGCTCCCCCAAAAAGGTGGAGAGCTGCTGCTTGCTGCGAGCTCCATCCTTGGACATCCCAATTACATGCAGCTCGAGGAGGCCAAAAGCTGAACTCCACCTTCAAGCTCCCGAGCAGCGCCGCGTTTCCAGYGCCGGCCCGCCAGCCTGCGCCCCGGTGCCCGCCTCGGCGTGCGGGCGCTGCCGGCGGCACCGCGCGGGGCAGCGCTGTGCAGGGGGTGGCCGTGCCGCGTGGCCTGGCGCAGCGTGCCGGCGCTCCCGCGGCCGGGCAGCCGCGGGTTAAACGGTGCCGCTGCCGAGATGGAGATCTCCAAGGCAACCACCTCACCCTCCCTCGGCCGGGAGCTGTTTTTCCTGCGCTCCCAGCCCTTCCCGGGGGAGACGGGAAGCACCTTTGCCCGCCCCGAGGAAGGGGCAGCCCAGGCGGCAGCACCAGGGTCCCGGCAAGTGCAAAGTCTGGTTGAGCCACGGTGCAAACCTCCCTTGGAGAGCGTGGGCCAGCGGTGCAGCCCGGCCCTCTCTGCTGCCTAGCAAGGAGCCCTTTTTTCCTTTTTCTTTCTTTTTTTCCTTTTTCTTTTTTTTTTCCATTTTTTGGAGTTATTCCTCCTTTCTCCCGGAGTCTGGGGCAGCTCACAAAGGCGCAGATCCAAGCGGGTGCAAGGTGAGGAGGTGCTTCCCAGCAGGTGTTCTGCACCCGCTCTCCGCTCGGCGCCGCGCAAGCCGCCAGCCAGGCGCGTTGGGGTCCCCGGGCTCGTCCCCTTCTCTTCCCTGCCACCCTGTGAGCCGAGGGAGCAGCYGCGTGCCCGCAGCCTCCTCCCTTGCCTCCTGCCAGCCTATCCATCACTGCTGCGTGCAGTGAGCAATGACTTGCTAGGGAATTATGGATTTTTTTTTTCAAAGTTCATATTTTTTCTTGCTGGTGTTGCTCTATTACTGCCTCATTGGAAAGCCATTGTAGCTCGCTTAGTTCAATAACAGGAATTGTTGCAAGGATGCATCTGAAATGGAGCTATGAACTTGCCTTCAGTAAGTGGGGTTTTTTTCCCTCATGGAATAGAGGTTCTGCAGCTCTTGCAGCCAGAGGGATTTTCTAAGTGCCGTTTTCTGTTTTAGCATCTATTGGTCAAAATGAAGAACATTTTTAGTATTAGTTTTAGTATCTTAGGAGGGTGTGTGAAAATATAGACCTGTTAACAGCATTGGCAGTTCAACAAGGCATAATGTGCAATTTAGCATGCAGAGGGTATCGCTGTTGTGTGTAAAAGGTGAAATATAAAGAAGAAAACGCTCTTTCCTGTGTTTAACGAGGAACAGCATTGCATTTAGTGTCCTTGATTTTTATGTTTTCTCTGGGAGCAYTGCTCACTTTTCCAGCTAATCTGCAGAGAAGGGGAGGAGGAAAAGCCCCGGGTTGCATTGAGCGTTCAAAATTTATGGCTAGAAACAAAAACATCGTGGAAACTTCCGCTAGAGGGAGTGTTAGAATGCGCTATCCGTGCGGGAATGGGAATCCTGGAGGGGCAACATGCCCGGGTTGGTCCCTGGTGCTGGTCTCTCCCTAAGTTTCCCCTAAGGGGAGTTTAAACTGGCCCATGTCCCAGCAAGGTGCTGCTCTCCAGGCCTCTCCCAGGAGTGGCTTTTCCTATGGGAGGATCAGGAATTCATCCCGTTTCCCAGTCAGGCTGCAAGCCAAGCCCAATGCACATCCATTATATAACAGGGGGTGATTTGGGGCTGTAAATGGCTTGCAGGGCCAGCAAGGATGTGTGCGGCAGGGAATGCCGGGCGGATCCCGCAGCAGCTCCCAAGCACTGCCTGGAATTACAGGGAAGCCGGGGGGTTTGAGGCTGCACGGGCAAAGGAAGGGAGAGGAGGCTTCCCGTCTTGCGCAAACACGCGGTAATTTAAAAACCCATTAATGCAGGTCTTGATATTTGCTTCAGTTTGTSTTTTGAGCTCTAACAAACTGGTGCTCCTTTTCTGCTTGGTTGCTTGTCAGGAATGAAATATAATTCTCGGGGAATATGCCTGCTGTTCCCGCGGTTCGGTTTGCCCTGCCTGGCTCTCCTCTCGCCCTGGACGGGCGCTCTGCTGCAGATCTGTGTGCATCTTGCATCCCCATAGAGCAGAAGCAGCTTCCTGGGATCATCGTTTCTCCAGAGCAAATAAGAGAATTGYGCCATGTTTAGGTTTTTAAGGAAAGCAAAGAAAAACTGTTGAGTCAGATGCTCCTCAGCCTTCTTCCTACTGAGGGCAATGGGGAAGAGAGATGTCAACACCACCTTTTCTTTTTATTTCTCTCCTTATTTCAGAAAGTTTGCACCAAATGTGGAATAGAAACTGTTGGAAGCCAGAAACGTCCTCTGTGGTTGTGCAAGATCTGCAGTGAGCAGAGAGAGGTACCGTCCCCATCCCCATGTCTGGGCAGTGGGAGGGAGCTGCGGATGGGGCCGGTCCCTGGGCCATGCCTTTATTTTAACTCCGGCTTTAAAAAGGCCCTTACCTTTAGCTGCTGAGTCCCAGCTCCAAGGCAAACGCTTGTTCCTTGGTGCAGCTGGGGAAGCTCTAGCTGCAGTACTTGTCCCTCTAAAAATAACCGGCATCGCAGCATCTRAGCCTGTCCCCCCACAAATCCCCAAACTCAACGGACTTCCAGCACCAGTCTACATTTCTGTAAGCTTCATCTTTGTCTCTCCATTGCAAAAGAAACCGCACAGCCCGTGTCTGTTAGCAGCATTCCCCAAGCCCAGGGCTCGCCGCTGTGCAGTGAAGCTGCTCAGCGGCTGCGCTGGGATTTGCACTTGTTCCCATCAGGGTTTTTTTGCAGGGATTTTGCTCGTGGTCCCCAAGCATCATCCCAGTGCAGCAGCTATTCCTGCCTGCTGCAGCCAGCCCTGGGGCTCTGCTGCATCCATGCAAGTGTTTGGGATTTTTGAGCATAGCCAGAGCGTTTCTGCAGCTGTCGGAGATGGTGAAATAGTTGTGGATACCTGAGCACTGCTCGGGTCTTAAACGAAAGAGGATTGTGTGGAGGAGAGAAGGTGGGAAGTTCATGTCCAAGGCAAGATAGGAGTCCGTGAATGCTGTGTGTCTGCTCCTAGTTTTTGAGCAGCGGTGTCTCTGGGGCTGCAGGAGCCCTCCACCGCCCTGGGTATTGYGGAATCATCCAGGGTGGATGGAACAATCCATGCTGGATTCCAGATGGAGGCCCCGAAACAGAGAGGGAGGCAGCTCAGGATAGTCTCTGGGTTCCACAAGGCAATGAGTGCAGAATTAAATTGACTTTATCTATTTTTTTCTTGTTCTGTATGTATTTTTTTCCCTTCCCTGCAGTATTTGCATTGTAATTGCTTTCATTTTTTTCTTTTTCYCTTCCAATTTCTAATAAAAAATAATGAGGAGCCCCGGTTGCTAGACAGAGCAGAACATTAACCTGTGCAGGAGGGYGCACACGAGGGTGCCGAACCTTCAGCGCCTCCGCGTGCCGCGAATCCCGCGGTCYGGCCAAAGCGCCTCCCTCCTGAAAACGGATGGAGCCTCCCTTCCGAAACCAGCCAAAAAGCAGCTTCTCTTTCCTCCCGCCCCGAAGCTCCATCCTTATTTGATTGTTTTGCTTCCCTTTGGGGTCAGTTGGGGGCTGCGGTGTCCCCAGCGTGTGGCGGGGCCGGCGGGGTGCCGCGGGGGGATGGACGCGACCGAGCCGGCCGCGTTCCCGCGCGCTCCGCTCGGATGGCGGGAGAGCGGAGGGCGCTGGCAGAGCCCCCGGCCGCATCAGCCCCCCGATGCCGGATTAAACGCCTGGAAAGCCCGTCCGTGCTCTTGCTGCGATCGGCTCCGCCGGTTGGGTCTGGGCAGGGGCGGGACGAGGCTTTCGGGCCGGCGGCCGCTGCACACGGAGCCCCCGCAGCTGGTTTGGGGGTCGCGGTCTCCGCAGAGCGGGCGCAAGAGGCAGGTTTCCTTGCAGCCCTTGTGCTCGTGACCACTTCCACGGTGCCGTCGGCTGCTGCGCCCGGGATCTGTCCTGCGGTGCCATCTGCTCTGGCCTCAACCCATTTGGCCGCGCTCGTTGCTGAAGGTTATAGCTGCCAGCAGCGAGTGCAGATGGATGTCTGCTCTTTGGGACCACGTACTCTCATTTTTTATTTTATTTTATTTTTTTTTCTCATCGATATCGGGATCCCCTGCCCGGATCCCAACCCAGGATCCAGCTCACAGGATGGGGTGTCACACCGGTGCCGCTCTGCATCCGTGCCCTTCTCGGTGCCACGCGGCCGGACAGGGCCCTCCTGGGGCGCACGGCAGCCGAGCATGATCCAGGCTGGCCAGTTCCCATCCGTGAGCCCTGGCAGAGCGCCGGGGCCCCGGCCAGGCCCCGCTCCGCATGGTGCAACCCTAACCACTCGGAAACCCCATTCTGCCCATTCGGAAACCCCAGCGGATTAAACTGGTGTTGGCTGGAGCGAGAGGCATCATCTGCCTGGGCTGAGACYGGGGACCCGTCGTCCCCGTAGGCACCACCTGAGCAGGGGTCCCTGTGGCCCCCAGGGCAGGGTGAGGGGCTCGGGTCGATGCCTCGCAAGGGCTGTGGCTTGTGCAGCGGCGCTCCTCTCCGTCTCTCCCCGTTGTTCTCCACCTCTCCAGGCTCGCAATAAGCCAYGCGAGTTCAGCGACGTGTTGCGTTTGTCTGCCCCTTCTTGCAGCGTAGGTGGGACCTGCGTTGGCATCGCTGTCCTTAATCACGAGTCTCCCTAGGTTAAGTGAAGCCCGAGGCAGCAAGACACTGAGGTTTCTTCGGCGGGAATCGAGTGCCGGATTCGGTTCTGCTCCTTTGGGGACGCTCCCGTTGCCCATCCCCTGCGTCACGAGCGCGGCTCTGCTCCCTGTGGTAACGTAGAGCCGAGCTGCTTTCCAGCAGCACGGGCCTGATTGCAGATACCTCTTGTCCTCGCTGTTTATAGAAGCATCTCTTGGAAGAGAGAAGGAAAAAAAAAAGAAAAGGAAACCCACAACCTTTTGTTCTTGCAGAGCTCTGTGCGCATTTGCAGCAGCTTCTCTACCGGTGGASCTGAAGTGAGTGCAGGTTGAGTTTTATGCAGGAAAGCGCATGTTTTAGGGGACAAGAAACTCCCTTTTTTCCCCATCCTGCTGCCTGGGCTGCATTTCTTTTCCCGGCTCTACTTTCCCTCTTCATCACCCCTTCAAGTGCCCGACGTGGAGAGCCGGGGGCTGCTCCGGCCCTGGGAAACGGGACCCACGGGATCCCCTCCGCCCGGCCCGGCCGTTGAGCGGCCTCGCTGGGGCTCCTCACACCCGCCACCTGCCTCCCTTGCCACGTTATGCACATACATATATTTATACCCATAATTAGTGATGCTGTCATTGTAATTAAAATCCGCTTGGAAGTTTTCATGCGCATTTACATTTGAATTGACATATGCAAAGCTATAGCGATAATGGAAATAGTTTAAGCAGGGTGGGGGGAGATTTAATTAAAAAAAAAAAAAAAAAAAAAAAGCTAAAAGTGAAATGCCCAAGAGCTCATGAGCTCTCAGGCACCTGCTGAAGTTTCATTTGCCCCCTCTTTTCTCCTTTCCCCTTAATTCCTCTTCATCTGCTAAACAGCGTTTCATGGCCAGCTGCGTTTCCTGGTTTATTAGAATAAACCATGGAAGGGAAGATGATTCCTGCTCTGGAAAAGCCGCTCGGTCTCCTCCCCTTTGCCCAGGGGCCTTCCCTTTCCAGGGATGTGCTCGGGCTGCGTGGAGCTGGGGGTGCTCCCGCCTGGCCGGGCACCGCTTCCCTGGCGGGAGCGTTTATTGTGGATGGTGTTGGATGGAAGCGGAGCGCCGTGCACCTGCTTGCAATTCAAAGCACTCCTCAATAGCCTCGCGGGTGATTGTGGGGGGTGCTAGCGAGTGGTTTGGCTCAAAAATAGTGTCCTCTGGAATAGAGGCATGGGGAAAAGAAAAGGAGGCCTGATTGAGCGGGGAGTGATGAGCGGCCGAGGGCTGGCCGGGCCGCGGGGCCCTCGCTCCGCTCCTCCGCGCTCCGCATGGCAATTCCCCTGCCTTTTAATTTGCTCCCTCCTCAAGTGCCGAATGTGGGAGCTGACAGCAGCTTGCTGTAAATAACGTAATTGGAAATCTCTGCGTTACGGAGAAGCGGCTGAATGCGGATACCGAAGCCGGGGAGCGCGCGCCCGTCTCCGTGCCGGCAGGTCGGCGCGTGCCGGAGCCCGTCGGGGCCGCTCCGCAGGGGGGGTTTGCAGGGACCCTTCCCCTTCGGCTGCCCTGGGAACCTCTCGGCTTTTGAGTCGTTAGATCCCACTTGGAGGCTGCTGCTGACCATCCGGATACGGCCTCGTCCTGCCGTTATAATGAGGGCTTGATGCAACTTTAATAGGAATCTTGTCGGGATTATGAGATTGCATTTAGCTCGCTGGACTTGTCATGGTCGTGGCTCTTAAATTGGCTGGAAATAATAAACAGAGGAGTGTGCTGCTGAAGTAATTGGTCTCCGCGGTGCCTTGCACTGCCTTGGGGTGGAACGTGCAAGGGGAGGCAGAAGGGCAGCGACTCTGATACCCCCTCCTTGCAAAGAGCCATCTCCACAGCAAACAGCAGCTCCCCGGGCRCTGCTCTAGGTTTATGCTGGAATAAAAATCAGGGGAGAACTTTCCTGTTGGGCCCCTCCTGCAGTCGAGCAAGCGGGAGCCGCAGTTGGCAGCACGGATTAGGATTTAGGATCTGTTGCACGGATTTAGGATCCGTTGCACGTTGCACGGATACTAAACCGGACCTGTGCCCACACACGGAGCAGGAYGGGAGCCGCGGGCCCCCCGATGCCGCCACCCCGGGCGGCGGGAAGCAGATGCCCAAGTTATCACGGGGAGAGCATCTCACGGCAGCTGTTTTAGAGCTGGTCCTGAGACAAATCTCAGCGCTGCTGTAATGAGCCCAAATTCTATTAGAAGCACCAATTTAAAGGGAATATGCATGCACAGAATCAATTTGACGGTAGCCCTGCTGCATCAGTGGTAGGTGTATTGTATGGCGTAACTCTTTCCATAGCGGAGCTCGCCTGCGTCCAGCCCTCCCTTCCAGCCCTCCTGGCTGCGGCCGAGGSCGCTGGAGGCCTGAAGCTAATGGGTCTCCTCGGTGCTCCAAATTAAATTGGAGCAAAATCTGCAATTAAATGTTGCAGATGTTGCAAGGGCTGTTTGRAGAAGCCGGCCCTCCCGAGGGCTCCCTGCTCCCCGGCTGGACGGCACGGTGGGGTGCAAGTCCTGCCGTGGATTTCCAGACCCAAAGTCTGGAAATTTAGGCCCAACCACGTAGGCACTGGATGATGAACTGACCTGCGGAGCAATCCCGGGGAGGGATCTCCAGGAAGATGGAGCTGGGGGTGATCTTGGTCCTCCTCTGTGGAGCTCCTTGCATCTGCTCTCACTGTCCTCTGCTTTGGTTAAGCCCCACAGGGGGTTTGCACCCCGTCCAGGGTGCAAATTTTTGCTGTAATTGAGGGTAGCTGCCTTTGTACCCCTCATGTCATGGTGATGCTGTAGCTGGAGCTTGGATATAGCTCGGAATATAAATACTTGCAATAGAATTGCTTATGATCCCTCTCACGCTGAAGTGCAAGGTTTCTACTACTCCCTTCTGTTTTTATTGTATTAACTTTTCTTTTTTCCTTTCCCCAGCTGTCTCATTAGCGCATTATTAGGCTCCTGGAAGGCACAAAGAAATTGTGTTTTTGGAGACTATTCCTCCTTGTCTGAGCTACCATCCCGTCCCCTTCCTCCAGCTCGCAGCAGGCTTTGCGTTAAGTGTATTTAACAGCACTCCTTCCTCACACGCGGCGTTAAAACTGAATTAGAGAGCAGAGGGCGGGCAGGGTGGCGGAGCTGGGGTCGCTTTGTGCTGCCCGTTCTCGTTGGCGGAGCGGGATCCTTCCTGCTCCGGGGTTTTCAGAGATACTTGTGAAATGTCCCAGCATAGCTGGAATTGCTGTGCGTCTTGCAGGGCTGTTGCTCACCCCCGAGGGTCGCCTGGTTGATGTGGTTTTGGTGTGTGAAAGCGGAGAGGRGCAGCGGGCGCCAGCGGAGCCGTCCCCGACGCCGCGGTGTCTCTGTCGCCCGCAGGTTTGGAAGCGCTCGGGCGCCTGGTTCTACAAGGGGCTGCCCAAGTACCTGGTGCCGGCGCGGAGCAGCGAGCGGCCGAGCGGGGCGGCCGGGCCCCGCGGCGCCCGGGACGTCCCCTGCGCCAGCGGCCAAGGTTGGTGCCGGGCTCCCGGCCCCGGGCGCGCGGATGGCAACGAAGGTCCCCCCCCAGCTTCCCTCCGTTCCCCCTCCTTGCTTCCCTCCGTTCCCCCTCCTCGCTTCCCTCCGATCCCCCCTCGCTTCCCTCCGATCCCCCCTCGCTTCCCTCCGATCCCCCCTTTCTTCCCTCCATTCCCTGCAGTCCCCTGAGCCCTGGAGCCTGAGGAGCGGGTGGCTGCAGCGCCCGTGTCCCTGCCCTTGGCACAGGGATCGGAGGGAAGCGGGGATGGGAGGAGCCGCATCCTGAGCGCGGCCCGCTCCGCTTGTGCTGTTTGCTGCCCACCGAACCCTGTGGAGTCCGGCCCGTGCTCCGGTGCTGCCCGTTTCCCACAATAAACAAGCGGTCGCCATGGGAACCCTGCTCTTCGGCAAGGCACCGGCGGCACCGGAGCGGGTGCCGGGGACGCTCCGGGTGCCCGGGTGCAGGTTGCCCTGGACGGGGGTGCTGAGCAGCCCCCCTGCACCCAAGGGCTCCGACCATGTGGGGCTGCCTCGGGCTTGGGTTGTCCTGGAAGATGCCAAAGGAATTTAGTGGGAATGAGCCCACGGACCCACAAGCGCAGCATGGTCACCTCCACCCATCCGGCTCATCCAAGGGATCGTGGTCCAGCCCTCGGTGCCCTGATCCGGCCCYGTGGGAATTCTACCGATCCTGCCTGCTCAGTCTCAGCGAGTTTGTTTTTTTGAGCTGTTTTCCATCAGCTGGAGATGGAGAGGGATAAATCTGAGGCGTTCTCTGCAGGTGCAGCCATCCAGCGACTCTTATTGATATATCAGGAACCGCTGGAAGGGCGGATTTACGGCCTCTGGGCTCTGGAAAGTGCCAGCAGAAGGTCGGGGAGCTTTGGGAGAAAAATTACCTTAAAGGGAGATGTTGGTGCATTGGCTAAAATCCACTTTTACTGGCAGCAGAGGAAATGGGAGCGGGCAGGGCTGCTGYGAGCTCCTTGCTGCCATCAATATCCTTCTCCTCGCGCCTGGACCTCTCCGAACTGCTGAGTGGCAGAAGGGGAGACGGATAAAAGTCACCTCCATTGATTCATTGGAGCCTCTTCCAAATAAATCCTCCCTCCCAGCATTTTTAAAGTATGCATGGAGGAAGGAGCAGTTATAAAGCGATGCGTTTTATGACTCCGTGAGGCCAAAAAAAAGAGGTGACTGAGTGGGCCAGCATTGCCTCTATGGAGGCAGGAATATCCCTGCAGAGCCAACATTGAGATTTTGGATTTTTGCAGGAAAAAGCTTGGAACATATGGTTGTTATTAATAGTATTTATTTATTATCCCCCATGTTTTCCAGGAAGCTTCGGGAAGGCAGTGCGGTGCGTAGGAAAGYCGAGCTCGGGCCAAGCCTTTGCCTAGAAGGCAGACGCGCAGCCAGGGCAACCTCAGTGGCTTTGCAATAACACCAGCAGCAGCTTTAATATCCTCAGGGATGCCGGCTCCAGAAAAGCACTAGTTTAGGGTGTTTTTATTGTATTTATTCTTTAATAACATACTTGGGGTGGTGCAGAGTTGGAAGCAGCAGTGTCTGCAGAGATCGTTGGTGCCCTTGGCCGTGTGGGTGGGTTTGTAGCTCTGCAGGGCGCTGCACACGTTGCAGTGGGGCTGCAAAAACCCTTCCTGGCTTGTCCTTTTTCTCCCCAAAAGACCGTGGGTTGCAGCGTTACCTGCTCCATGACCCGCAGGATCCGGTATCTTGCTTCCCTGCAGGAATTGTGAGAAGGGGGAGAGGAGCTGGCAGTTCCCGCTCTGCTGCAAATTGTTTAAAAAAAGCAAAAAACCCCAAAGTCCATTGCACATGAGCGGGAGCAGCCGCGCGGGCTCGGCCGCCGCTGCGGCTGGGGCGGCTCCATCCGCGTGCCGGGGGTTGCGAGCGGTGCCCATAACCATCCCTCTCCCGCCCGCCGTGTCCTCCGCAGCCGGTGGCAGCGACAGCGACAGCGACTCGGAGCGCAGCTCGTGCAGCCTGGAGGAGAAGCCCGCGGGCAGCGGCGCCCGGCACGCGGCACCCGGTGAGGGATATCCCTGTTAACCATATGGGGATGAGGATCAATGGGGCTGGGTCCTGTGCCCCTGGGTTGCCGCGTTGAGGCCCCCATCCCGAATTGAAGCCCCTGGTTCCCCAGTGACGTCTCCGCTGTGTCCCGCAGCGCCGGCCGCCGGCCGCTCGCCCGTCCTCTCCGGGAGCCACTGCAGCCTGGCCAGCGAGGCCGGGAGCCGCCCGGCAGCCGAGGGCCGCGACGGCGACGGCGGAGCGCCCGGTGAGTCCTGGGTCTGGATCCCCAGCGAGCCCCTTAGCCCCTCCTGTGCTGCCGGCTCCACGCTCCCTCTTCCCGGCTCCACTCCCAGCTCCCGGCATGAGTAATCGGGCTGCCTGCGCACACCCCCGCCAGCGGGAGCAGCCCGGCTCATTCCCGCCGAGAAGGCAGCAGCCGCATCCCGGCTTCTCCTGAAGCACAGCGGCTGCTTTGCAGGAGGGAATCGCAGTTTTCCAAGGGCTCAACTGCAGYGCAAATACAAGAGGCGCTTCCCGCCATGCCGAGAGCCCCGGGGCAGTTCGGGAGCTGCGGCCACGCGGCCTCATCTGCGGCAGCCGGAGATGCGAGCGGCGTGCGCTGCTCCGGAGCTATTCCCTAACCCCTGACATTATCACTTAGCGCCCATGCGGGGAGTCGAAGGGAGCGGGTTTATTCCCCCAGCACCGGGTTTATTCCCACTTCCCGGCTCCGGCGCTGCAGCGGGGGCTCCATGTGCTTGCTACGGAGCCATCGCTGAATCTTGCTAAGGAGACAGCTGGGCCGGGCTGGCTGACCGGAGAGGATCCGTGCGGATCCGTGCTCGCCCTGCGTGCCAGTTGCGCCGGATCGGGACGGGTGCATGCCGGGCYGGCGGGGCAAGGAGCCCCTTGCAGCGCTAGGCTGTGGCCACGGGGATGCCCACATTTTCTCTGGAGGATGTTTTTGGGGAAGAGGAGCAAGTTTGAGCGCAGAGAAGCGTCTCGGCCTCGCTCGGGCCTTTCCTGGCCCCAGGGATCCCCTCCCTCTCCTCCGGCTGTTTCGCTGCTGCAACCAAAAAAGAGCAAAATGCTCCTTGTTCTTAATTACGGCATTTTTACTTAGGAAAGGGAGCAGTAAACAGCATTAAACAAGGAAATGGGCAGCGCTAGGGCTGTTTTCATTATCTCGCGGAGAGTTTCCAGTGTTCCCACTGGCTGCTCTGTGCGGGAATCCCTCTGCCAGGGCCTGCTCTTCCCAGGCTGGCCTGGGCGCCTGTCGGGGCTCGTGGGGCTGTGAGCCTCGACCTCGGGACAAGGGGACAAACCGCACCGGGCCTTTGGGGTGGCTTCGGGCGCCTCAATGTCCTTCTGGGAGCCAGGGGTGCTGCGGGGCGCCCGCCCTCCTGCTGCACCCGTCGCTCCAACGTGTCCTTGGATAATGACTGCCTTGGGGTCAGGATTGGCATTTTGGATGCGCTGCACCTGCTAATAGGAAGCTCTGCAGCAGCTTATGGCTTCTTTCCTTCTTTCCTTCTTTCCTTCTTTCCTTCTTTCCTTCTTTCCTTCTTTCCMTCTTTCTCTCTTTCCTTCTTTCCCTCTTTCTATTTCTTTCTCTTTCCTTTTTCTCTTTCTTTCTTTTTTCTCTTTCTTTCTTCTCTTTCTTAGGAATTAAAATGTTTTCATCTCTAGGCAGCGGCACCCGAGCATTTTCAGCTCTTTCAAGGCAGCCTTGAAGTGCAGCGCGTGCAGGCACGAGCGCTTACAAAAGAGATTTCTTTGGCTCTTTCTGCCCTCCTTTATGGAGTTTTACATTGAAGGRTTTGTTTTTTATTCCCCCTTGAAAACAGCCCCGTGACAAATCCTCCCTGCGTGAGGCTCCCACTTCCCTCCTGGAGCGCRGAGCGGGCTCCGGGAGCTTCCCGCTGCCCAGCCGAGGCCTTGCACGGAGGCCGGAAGGCAGGAGCCAACTGACCTTTGGAGRCGAAGGGGAGCGGGGAGGCAGGAGCAGAGACCCCGCGCTCTCGTGACGGCTCCGTCTTCCCTCATCCCCCTGCCTTTTGTCACTCTAATAAAGTTTAATGGGCCCTGACTGATGACGGAGCCTCCAGTAGCGCTGCGCAGACGTCCTCTTGGGGATTATTTTCAGGCAGCTCTTGGAACGATGCGGGTAGGTGAAAGCGCTGAGCAGTGACCCGCTCCCCGCGCCCGTGTCCCCGCAGGCGCCCGCTCCGCTCCCCGCCGCTGACGCCCCCGCCCGGCCCCGCTCCCGCTCCCGCTCCTGCTCCAGCTCCAGCTCCCGCCGCAGCAGCCGGCCCCGCTGCCTCCGCGGGAAGGATGGTCCTGGAGTGCGGGGACCCCGTGCGTCACCCCCGGAGCACCGGGCACAGCGGCAGCTCCAAGGGAGGAGCGAAGCGGATCCCCCGCCTCGGTACCGGCCGAGCCCATCCCTGCAGCAGGGCCCGGGAAGCTCCCGCCGGCTCTTCCGCCCTCACTTATTTCTGCCCTTCGGGAGACCCGAGGGAGCCTGGCGCCTGGTGCGGGCACTTGGATGCGGGTCCTGCTCAACACTGCCCTCCTTTTGCTGTCTCTCTCTTTGCTGTTTTATAGCTTTGATTACAGTTTTATGCTAAACCCTGATACGTTCCTTTGCGGTTGGGCTGTGGTGGATGAGGAGAGCGGGGCCGCTCTGAAGTCCCCYCTGAGGCTCTGCTTTTGTTACGGTTTCTGTTGGGTTTTTGTTGCTCTCCCCTCCTGCCCCGGCCGATGGCTCCGGGCAGCAATAAAGCTCTGGCTCCCTCCGCGCTCTCGTCCTTCCTCCATCCGCCCTGGGCAGACCAGGGCCACCTCTGCACCTGCCCCGGGCCAGACTCGGCCACTCGCTGCCCTTGTGCCCACCACGTGGGCCTCGTACCCACCATGGTCCCCGTTCACTCTGGAGTCTAGTGATGGCTCCGCTCCCACCCGCGGGCAAGCGGAAAGTCGGCCCGTTTCCATGGCGACGGGGCAAGGCCCTCCAAGCCGATGGGAAAGCTCGCGGCGGGAGGGAGCTGAGCAGGTGGAAGCAGCAGTTTGCAGCAGCAGCCGCGGGTCCCGCTACTGCCAAGGGCTGCAGCGGGGACGGGGCAGAGGAAAGTGGGGTCCCCCCATTGGGGTTTGTCCTGGAGCTCCGAGAGGAGCCGATAAAGCAAAGCCGGGCCCGGCCAGCATGGCGTGGGATGTGGAGTCACTGGCACTCGGGGACACGTTGTGGCACCTGGGGACGCTTTGTGGCACCTGGGGACACGTCACAGCGCACTCAGGGCTGCGCTCGCATAAGCCTCTTAGCACGACAGAGCCCTTGGCAGCAGGACRCATCCACTGGTGCCGCCCCATCCTGCAGAGGCAGGCGGGTCCCCTCACCTGCCCCTCATCCCCYTGCTCGGAGCAGCGCCGGGGGCTCCTCTGCGCGGAGCGAGCGGCTTTGCAGGACGTGGCCGGGCGCAGGGCGGCCGCGCAGCCCCCCCGGCATGGGGCGGGCGCTGGGAATTAAGAGCTTTACCTGGGAAGTGGCTTTGCGGAGCCGGCCCCGCTGGCTATTTCTGCCCCGTCCCCTGCTGCAGGTCACGGTGCTGCTGCAGCTCCCTGTGCKGATGCAGCCCCCCAAGGGGCTACAGGCAGCAGGCTGAAGCATCAAACAGGAGATTTTTTACATTTTTTTCCTTGCATTTTGCACGATGGGGCGGTTCAAGGACCCTTCCCCACTACTTCCCACAGCTCCAGGCTCAGCCGGAGTGCAGCCAGTCGCTCCGGAAGGAGGCTGCAAACCTGGCTGCTTTTGGCCAGGGTTGCAAGGGCAGTAATGATGTTAGGCTTTCATGTTTAACTCGATTAAATTAATTTATTTATTTGCCCTTTCTCAGCAGCGATGTTTCTGGGCGCTGGGCCCAGCTCCCCCACGCTCTGTGTGGGGTCCTGCTGCACCCTGGTGCCTGCATCGCCCACGGGACCCGTGCAGCCCCCATGGGTGCAGCCTGTGCCCCGTGCAGCCCACGCGGGGCTGCAGCCCCTGCCCCTTGCAGTCCACGTCCCGCAGCGCCCCTGCCCCGTGCAGCCCACTCAGGGCTGCAGCCCCTGCCCCACAGAGCCCCTGCCCCACGAGTCCGTGCATGGGGGCAGCCCCTGCCCCACAGACCCCGCTCAGCCCCGCGCTGGACTCGCCCCCCAGCGACCACCCCACGCGTGAGCAGCGGGACGGGGCCGCCCCCCCGGCGCCCCCGTCCCCGTCCCGCGGGCGGCCGCTCGGTGCCCGGCGGGGGAGGCGGCCCTTGAGGGGGGGTCTCTGTCCGCGTCCCCGCTCGGGCGGGCAGGGCCCGGTGGCCGCGGCGCCGCCGCCTGGTGACATCAGCCCAGATCCCACCCCCTGCTCTTAGCGGAGCCGCCGCCGCGCCCGCTGCTCAGTGCGCGGCTGCCGGCAGCGGCGGCGCCGGGCGGCCCGGGCGGAGCGGCCGCGGGGCGCCGGGCCCTCCTAAGCGCCCCCCCCGTTCCCGTCCCGGGGCCCCCCGGCCGCCCGCGGGGGGCCCGGCGCCCGCATGACCCTCCGCAGAGGGGAGAAGCCGCCCATCAGCATCCAGGAGCACATGGCCATCGACGTGTGCCCCGGCCCCATCAAGCCCATCAAGCAGATCTCCGACTACTTCCCCCGCTTCCCCCGCGGGCTCCCGGCCGCCGGGCCCCGCAGCGGCGGCCCGCGCCCCCCCCGCCGCCCCCCCGGCCGAGCCGCCGCGGCGCCCCCGCCGCGACCACCGCGACGACGACGAGGAGGAGGATGAGGAGGAGGACGAGGACGAGGCGCCGCGGCCCCTGGGAGCGTCCGGAGCGACACCAGCGCCGGCGCCCGCCAAGTGCCCCGAGGAGCCCGTCGACCCCGAGGGCTACGAGTCCGACGACTGCAGTGAGTCTGAGCGGGGGGTCCCGCGCCCGGGTGGTGCGGGGCGTGGAATGGGATTGCATGGCGTGGAATGGGATGGGATGGCATGGATGGGATGGCATGGCATGGATGGGGTAGCATGGTGTGGAATGGGATGGCATGGCACGGATGGAATGGCATGGCACGGATGGGATGGCGTGGCGCGGGGTTGCAGGGTGCTGCGTGGGTTACACCGTGCTGTGCGGCGTGGCCTGGGGGCTGCTGGGCGTTGCAGGATGCTGCGCGGTGCTGCGTGGCCCGGCATGATCCTGCACAGCCCGGCACGGCCGGGCGCTGGCGCAGGGCAGCCTGTCCCCAGGCCGCTGTCCCCAGCACGGGGAGCCGGTGGCGGGGGACACGTCCCCRCTGCGGCCCGGCCGGATGCAGCACCTGAGCCGGGAAGTGTCCCCAGAGCCACCAGTTGCTTGGGCGGGAGCTGCCCAGCCGCCCCCACCCCACGCTGCCCCCCACCGACCACATTAACCCCATGCCGGCCGCGTCCTCCTTCCCACCCAGCCCAGGAGTCCGTGGGGGTCCCAGGGGTCCCGGGACCGGGTCCTGTGCGGGACCCAGGGCAGCAAAGGCTGCAGTGCCGGGGCAGCCGGTTAAGCCGGGCCCCAACGGGACTTCAGCCAGATTCGGGTTATTGCGGCTCTAATTAGGCGTCCGCCTGAGCTCGGGCAGCGGCAGAGGGGCTGGGGCAGTGTCTGTCCATCCGCCCACATGGGGGGTCCTTGGGTGCCCCATGGAGCACCCCGGGCTGCTTTGCTGGCACCGTGACCCCCTGTGCTGGCTGTGGGGTGGGAGTCCCTCTCTCCAGCCCTGCTCCTGCTCGGCTCCCAAGGCCACTTCCCTAATCCCGCGCCCCTAATCCCACTCCCCTCCCAGGAAGCTGCTGGGTTCAGGACCCCTCCACCCTTCACAGGGAGCCTCCAGCCCTGGCTTCCCACCCCCTTCCCTGCTCATTCCCACAGTTTCCGCTCCCCTTTTGCCGCCCAGCTCCTCGTGGTGCCTCTCATGCGGGTCCCCGGGGGCCGGGGTGACAGCAGCTCCTCACGCAGTGACRCACGAGCGAGTGGTTAGCGCTTGAAGAAACTCCATTGAGCTGGGCAGCCCCTGGCTCCAGAGGGAGGCAGGATCCAGCTTCTCCTCCTCACACCAGTTGGGTTGCAGGGAAGAGAGAGAGGGCCTCCAGGAGCGGCAATATTGGGCCAGTAACTGGCATTTTGGAGCAGGTTCCACACCTCCAACAGCAGCCCCCTTGGGCACGTGTGGCTCTGCCAAGGGAGTCTCTTGTTCCACTTGGAGGAAGCCAAAGGCACGGAGCGGCGCCGAGGCCGCCGCGGCTGCAGGAGCGGGAGCCATGACAAAGGGGGAACGYGCGCGAGGCGACGGGGATATTTACTGCTGCAAAAGCAGCTCCTTAGCATATGCTGCCGCCGCTATTTATAACCTTTGAATCGTCTTTCAATCCAGATGAGAAAAAGATTTTTTCCCCTTTTTTTTTCAATTTTTTAATTTCTTTTTGCTGGGGAAACTGAGCAAACTGCCACTGGTTTGGGCCAAACAGGAGCCAGGTTTCGGAAACAGCCTGTGGTGCCTAAGTTGCTGGAAAAGCCGTGCCAGGACCCAGCGAATTGCCCAGCCCCATCCCAAGTTTGCCAGGGAGCGGCCGGGTCTCCGCACAGGAGCACCCAGCACCCAGGGCGGTTTGGGAATATTTTAGGCTGTAGACCGCGGTGCTGCCCAGCACCAACGGGCACCACGGGGCCAAACTGAGCTTGCTGAGAGCCTCGTAGCTGCCTGGGGGCTGCACCCGACTGTGAAACACGTCCGAATCCACGAGCAAGAGCCTCTCCGGCCGCTGCTCCAGAGCGCTGCCCCACGGGGGGCTCTTTTCCCCCAGGAAGCCACAAAATGACAATTCCAAAAGATTTTAAATGGGAAGATCTGYGGCTGCAAGAGAGAAGCGGCGCCGGGACGGGGGCCGCCCTGTCCCGGCGCACTGAAAACAGCCCGTGCGAAGGTTGCTGAGCCGGCGCTCCCGGTGCGGGAGAGCTAATCCCGACACTCCCCGCAGCCTTTCTGCTGCGCCGCTCTGATCTCCCTGGCACAAAATCCGCGAGCGGATTAGCCGGGCAGCAGCAATGCCGATAAGCAGGGGGACTTAAGGCTTTTGGACTCCTATTTAATTAGGTCTATAGTGCTTTTTTCTTGCCTTTTTTCCTCCCTTGCCGGCGCTTCCCGGTGTCTTTGGGCTAGCAAAGGGCCCTGTGGGCTACGGGAGAGCTGAGCACGTCYTTGGCACTCGGTGCAGCCGGAGCTGCTGGGGCCGAGCGCAGATTTGCCGCGTCCCCCGGCCGGACCATGGGCCCATCCACGGCTCATTCCTGCCTCCAATAATTTTGCAACCCRCTGAATTAAACACAAGGCCCAAAGGCTCCTCCTTCCCATGCAGGAAAGTGACGGGGACCCCTGCTTGGATCCCCAGCCTTTCCGTGCACCATGGAAAGGCGGCTATTTCTGTGCTGCTCTTTGCAGCCGGGTGAGGCCAGGGCAGCGCTCGGGTGATCCCGGCGCCGGCTCCAGGCCTAATTGCTGCCTCTGTCCCCTCCCAGCGCTCGCTGCCTAATTAAAAGCCCCGTTTGGCTGCGAGGATGGGCAGGAGGGGGCCGGGCGCCCYGCGATGCTCCACAGCCGGACGCTTCTCCGCCTCCGCTCCCTGTGTTTTTGGCCCAGCACCGGGGCAGCATTTCCCTGCCAAGCCTTTAATTTGCTTCACAAATGGCCAAATGCAGCACAAGCCGCTCCTCTGCCCGCTCCCGGGGATACAAATAGGAGATGAGGCTGGTGCCAGGGCTGGAGCGGGCGGGAGGCGGCTGATGGAGGGGCAGGTGGCACCAGCCRAGCAGCCAGCAGGGCACAGCCCCCTGCACCCCATTTTAACCAAGATCTGGAGGTTTTTGAGCAGCTTTGCTGTGCTTTTCTCTGTGCCTCCTGCCGGGGCTCTGTGGGGGTGGTCGRGCCTGGGCTCCGCCGGTGCCAGCCCCTCTCGTGTCCCGCAGCGGCGCTGGGCACGCTCGACTTCAGCCTGCTCTACGACCAGGAGAACAACGCGCTGCACTGCACCATCAGCAAGGCCAAGGTAGGCACCCTGCCCACAGCACTGGCCCTCCCATTCCCATTCCCATTCCCATTCCCATTCCCATTCCCATTCCCATTCCCATTCCCATTCCCATTCCCACCCGCAGGAATGGGTTCCCATGGATGGGCCCGGCCACCCTCTCCTGCTCTCCCTCCCTCCCCTCTCCCGTGGCTCCGTGCCTGCTGCCCGGCAGTGTGGTAGGGAGGAGCTGCTTCCCAGCTCCCGCCAGGCCGGCTCCGGGAGCGCTTGGCTTCAGCAGCCACCTCCATCCCTAATCCGATTGCGGGGAATTCATGGGCGAGACATGGAGCTGCCTGGGACCCACAGCATCCCGCAGCACCGGGAGCCTTTCCCAGCCCGCGCTCCATCCCTAGCGGACGCTGGCCCTTCCGCGGGGCCGGGAGCGGCTCCGGTGCCGCCGTCCCGGCCCTCGCCGCCTCTCACTCCCCCGCAGGGCCTGAAGCCGATGGACCACAACGGGCTGGCCGACCCCTACGTGAAGCTGCATCTGCTGCCCGGCGCCAGCAAGGTGAGCGCGGCTGCGAGGGAAGCGCTTTTAGCTCCGTCATTTGCACAAAGCAGGGGGTCTCGGACACCCCCCCGTTCCAACCGCTGTCCCCCCGTGTCGGCAGGCGAACAAGCTGCGGACCAAGACGCTGCGCAACACGCTGAACCCCACCTGGAACGAGACGCTCACCTACTACGGCATCACCGACGAGGACATGATCCGCAAGACGCTGCGGTGGGGCCCCCGCGGGGCTCCCCACGCCGCCCCGGGGCCGATTCGGGGCGTTTGGGCCTCGGCGGGGGCGCGYGCGGGCGCGCGGCGCTGCCGGCTCCACGGGCAGCCGTTTCCCACGGAAAGCATTAGTCATTCCCAGAGCGCTGCGTGCAGCCGGGCTGCACGGCCGCTGCTGTGCGAGCCGTAGCGGTGGGAAATTTTCATTTATTTCTGCTTTTATTGATTTTGATGCTTGCCTTTGAAGTTCTGAGGCTCTGCAGCGGCGCTTGGGGTGTTCCCCATGGCTTCCTCTCCRTCTCCAGTGTCTCCCTAGGGGAGCCTGCAGCCCCCTGGGCTTTCCTGAATTGCTGCAGGAGAGGGAAGGGAGCGGGAGCCAGGGCTCGGGTGCCCGTTGCAGGTTCATGCCTGGGAATGATGTTGGGGATGCCCGGGCTGCCCCTCTTTGCAGCGGGGCCGGGGTGAGCCCTCCCGGCCCCGGCTCCATCCCCCTGTGCAGCAGACCGGTGCCGGGTTGTGCCGAGCGGCACCGGCTGCTCCTTGTCTGCAGCGGCGGCTGCTCCTTTTTTTTTTTTTTCTCTCCCTCCCTTTCTTGCTGTTGTTCTGAAAAGGAAGGAGGGAGCGAGGAGGAGGGAAAACAGGAAATATTGTGACTGCCTTTTAGATCCTCCTGGAGGATTTCGCTGTTCTGTCTTTTGGGTTTTAAGYGGGTCTCTAGCAGTGCCCGCATCCTGCACAGCCTCTCGGGACACACCAGCCCTCCCTTTCCTGATGGGATTGGTGGCAGCGGGAGCAGGGCAGGAGCTGGGGCAGAATCACATCCCTTGTGTGGGGACCACGGGGGTCCCTTGTCCCTTGTCCCTTCTGTGCCGTGCTGTGTGTGGTGGACTCACGTGGCCCYGGCTCCTTGCAGGATCTCGGTGTGCGACGAGGACAAGTTCCGGCACAACGAGTTCATCGGCGAGACCCGCATCCCCCTCAAGAAGCTGAAGCCCAACCAGACCAAGAGCTTCAGCATCTGCCTGGAGAAGCAGCTGCCGGTGAGYGCGGGGGYGCCGGGGTCCCGCGGGGYGGCCCCGGCCCCGCTGAGCACCGTCCCCTCCGCAGATGGACAAGACRGAAGACAAGTCGCTGGAGGAGCGGGGCCGCATCCTCATCTCGCTCAAGTACAGCTCGCAGAAGCAGGGGCTGCTCGTGGGCATCGTCCGCTGCGCCCACCTGGCCGCCATGGATGCCAACGGCTACTCCGACCCCTACGTCAAGACGTGAGCCTTCCTCCCCGTCCTGTCCTCCTCTTCCTCATCCTCCCCATCCTCATCCTCTCTGAGCACCCCCAGCCCTGACTGCTGCAGCAGCCCCCATGTGCTGCACTGCTCATAGGTGCCCCTATGTGAGGTTTAAAGTCGTTTGCTTCCACTTTCCCTCTCCTGAAATGCCCCTAGGTTGGTTTGTTTTTAATCCCCACTTTGGGTTTTAATATCCCCCCAGGGGTTTTGCTGGTCCCATGCTGGGCTTTACTCTCTCTGTGTTGGGTTTTGCTGCGGCTGCTCTTTGGACCCACAGTGCCTTTGGCCCCCTCATACTGAGCTCCCTGCATGGTCTCCTGGCAGGTACCTGAAGCCGGATGAGGACAAGAAATCCAAGCATAAGACAGCGGTGAAGAAGAAGACGCTAAACCCCGAATTCAATGAGGTGGGTGTCCTCGTGCAGGGGGGTGTCCTTGTGCAGGKGGTTGTCCTTGTGCACGGGGAAGGTGACCTCAGGGACAGTGCTCCGTGGTCCTGCCGGTGCGGATGTGGCTGCAGGTGCCATCCCAACGTGCTGTGTCTCCCCTGGCAGGAGTTTTGCTACGAGATCAAGCACGGAGACCTGGCCAAGAAGACCTTGGAAGTGACCGTGTGGGATTACGACATTGGGAAATCCAACGACTTCATAGGTAAGTGGGAGGGACCGTCAGGGCCAAATGGTCCCTGCTGCCGCACACAACCTGCCCATCGCTGTGTCCCTGCTCCGGCCGCATGCCTTTCCATGCCCATGTGCCCGTGCAGGTGGCGTCGTGCTGGGCATCAACGCCAAGGGCGAGCGCCTCAAGCACTGGTTCGACTGCCTGAAGAACAAGGACAAGAAGATCGAGCGCTGGCACACGCTGACCAACGAGCTGCCGGGCGCCGTGCTCAGCGACTGAGGTGGCCCCGGGGCTTTGCCAAGGCTCTTGGCGCCTGGTTGTCCACACACACACACACACACACACACACACACACACACACACACACTCATATATATATATCCAGGAGCACGCACGGATGCATACATGTGGGCACACACCCATGCATACTCATGCACACACACACACGTGGGTGCACACCCATGCATGCACACGTGTTGACATGCACCCATGCACCCGCGCGGCTGCGCAGCCATGCGTGCACACACGTGCACACACACACACACTTGTGCACGCACAGTGCAGCTGCGCGTACATGCATGCACTCACACTCGCACGCCCCACAAGCCTGCATGCACCGGAACGCCGCCGTACTCCTGACTCTTGGCTGTCCTGAAGTGCCGCCTTGCTGCCTTGCGATGATTCAGTGGCAAAACGAGAGCCCCGTGTGTGTCTGTGTCCTGCTGCCAGCGAGAGCCCCGGGTGGCAGCGCTGTGGTCGGGCCCGGCGCGGCTCCCCGGCCCCGTCCTGCTGTGCCAACCCGCCGGAATGGGGCCGCCCGCGGCTGCTCCCACTGCCAGCCGCGACCTTCCCCGCTTGGTCCCCCTTTGTCTGTGCGTGTGCGTGTCCATGGGGCCTTCGGGGAGCACCTGCATCCCCTGGAAGCGACTTTGTCTTTTTTTTTTTTTTTCCTTTTTTCGAATGTTTTTCCATTTTTTTCCAATGTTTTTGCAATGTTACAATAGTGCGACACTTCGTTTGATATGGGGGGGAGGGCAAAACAAAATCCCGTTCATAGGGTCTTTTTTAATGACTTACTCTTTGTACCGCGTCCTACAGCTATGCATGGGTCCGGCTGGGCCGCCACGGCGCCCAGTCCCTCCCGGGGGACATTCCCGGGGGTCCCTGGCTACCCGGCACGCAGGGGCGGGCGGATTCGCCCCCGTTCTACCCAAATCCCTTCTCTTTGGCCCCGCGGCCGCACTCCGTGCTCGACAGCCGCCCCGCGCTCCCTGTGACGGCTGCCGGAATCGTCCTCTCGCCTCCTCCTCCTCCCTGGGTTTTGTATTCGCAGTATTACCGAGCTGTGTCCTTTTTGTCACGTTTGTTAATATTTATAATRAGAACCCCAAATAAAAAACAAAAGGGAGAATAAAAACAAAAGCCGKGAAGTGGCTGCGGAGGTGCTGGCGTCCGGCTGCGTCTCACAACGCGGGAAACCGCCCTCAGCAAAGTTTAATATTAGCCTTTGTGCTAAAAACAGGCGCCTTTTCAGGCGCCGCTAGCAAAGGGCATTTGGAAAAGCAGGGGCAGGGACCCTTCCCAGGCTCTGCTTTGTTGCTGCACCTACACATTGTATACATATCCAAACATGTGTGTATACATATACATATACACACACATAAAACACATATGCATACACATACACTTGCACTACACATTATACATATAGACATACAATATATGTGTATATATACTGTATATATTTATAGTGCGTGTGTAAATATATATATATATATATATATGTGTGTACACATACATACAGGCACACAAGCAGGCCACTGCTATATGCATAGATGCTGGTATGTTCATATATAATTTATATTTTTGTGTGCATGGGGGTGCGCATGCGTACGTGTGCATGTACATACATATATGTATGTTCATGCTCTTCAGCCAAGTCTGTATATGTATACGTGTGTGTGCACACACTCCTTGGTTAAGGGCACTGCKGGGAAGCAGCCTCCTCATGCAGCGCCGTGATCTGCAGCCCTGTCTCGCTGAGAAGGTCGCAGTGCGGCCTYGAAAACAGCACCAAGGTGACAGGGCTGACCCGTGGGAGCGGGTTGGTGGCACCAGTGGCAGTCGGTAGGCGTCACCGGTGGTAGTGGGTTGGTGCCACCCGCCTCACAGGTCGGCAGGGCTCTGCCTGAGCAGCAGACACTGGGATCCGCCAGAAACCATCTCCCCTCCTGCTCCCCAACTGGTGAAAAATGCCATGACTAGCACAAAAATCACCACGGCGAGAAAGAAACGATGCAAAAACATCTATTCTTTATCTAAAGTAACAAGAAAAGTCCATAAATTCATTGATTGCCCCCCAAAAAGGCTAAGAACAGGCTGTAAAAGGCCCTAAGACAGAGGTCTAACAGAGCCTCTACAATCACCGAGAGCAGAAGATGCCGGGGCCTTGGGGACGGGGCATCCAGGTGACAGGGCCACCGACGCCTTCGCTCCACTCTCAGAATAGGCTGTTTACCTGCACCAGCTGCAGGAGCACAGTGCGGGTTATGCAAGAAGGAGAACACTTGTAAAGGCAGGAGCCAGGGAATAAATGCACACACAAACCTTGTAAGATTTTTTTTTTTTCAAATTCTTCTATCTTTAAACCCACTGTCAGCAGCTTACCTGCCTTCACAGTCAATTATCTCCCCCTTTTAGCTACTGAACACTTCAATCGCTCTACGCTTGAGGCTGAGCTGCAGGAAGAGAAGGTTTCAAGGCTCGCACTGAGCTCTGCAGTTCTGTTTCTGTGGCCAATTGCCCATAAAGACGACGGCAAAACTCGCTCCAGCACCTCCGTCCACACTTTGGACCCCCTTTTCTTTTGCAATGAGCGGGATGAAGCGCTAGGAACYGCTCGCCTTGCTGCACTGCTGCTACCCAGGCAGCTGTAAAGACCACTGGACTGGCATGGATTAGTGGGGGATTTTAGTGCCCAAAGTTTTCTTCCCTATGCATTTGAGATCCACTGTGTCATTAACTAAAAGCTGTGAAAAACCTGTATGACAGGTACAGGGGCTGAGAACAGGGCTGAAGAGAAGCAGCAGCTTTGTTAGCACTTGTTGGCACTTCATAAGCTCAGTGTTAGGTTGCGAGAGGCCTCCAAAAATATATCTATATTAAAAAAAAAAGTGCACAGAGCTGCACTGTGGTGCTAGAGGGAGAAATGGGGGCCCTGCCTCACATCCCTCCTGCTCTGCATCTCCCCTTCCCTCTGCCCAAAATGCAGTGCAGGCACCAGTGCCTCAGTGAGGAGAGCTGCTCTGGGTAGGACTTGAGAGATGGGAAAATGGTTCAAGTGCTCACCATTTGGCTCCATAGATTATAAAACAGAGACAGAAATCCAAGAAGCTGAGATGCCACATGTTGCAAAACAGGGTGATATATAACTAGGCACGTGCTGAAGTATGCGAGCCTCCTCCAGCCCCCATGCTGCTGCACTGCAACRGGTTTAATTACTCTTTTTAGTTAAATCAGTGAGCCTACAAACCATGGCGATACTCACAGGGAGTTGCTGAAGCGAGGAGGAATGACCTTCATGTATTTGTCATGTATGAGTAACACGGCACGGAGGACAAAATCACACAACTGTGCGATTGCCTTTTTGCGGGCGTTCGTCGTTACCGTCTGTTCYGACCTGGCACGTCACAACCTCGTGCCTTGGCGATGGAAACTCGTTTGGTGGCAGCAGCTCTTACCCGTGAACTCAGGTCCTCTGCCTGAGGACACAACTTGCACCCCAGGGAAGGAGCCCTGCCCAGGCCACGAGCCCTGGGGAGAAAATACTAATTTCACTTACCCAGGCRGAACAGGGCAATGCACAAGTGCAAGGGCTGGTTCCCAGCTACTCACAGTGCCATTAAGTCGGGTTACAGAACTCAAGCTGTAACCTCCTCACTGCGGGTGCATCTGTTTTATCACAACTGAAGAAAACCCTGTTCTGTCAGTATGGAAGGACATTTATCTGCTCTTGAGATCTTTTGAGGAAAGCTCCCCCGGATCTGCCAGAGTTGGTGGCATCTTTGTTGGAGGAGCTTTGTATCAGTATCTGGCCATATATACAGTTTAATGGAAGGGATAAAACAAAGTAAAAAAAAGAAAAAAAAAAAAAAAAGAAAGAAAAAGAAACCCATACATGGCAAGATGGTAATCTCAAAACCTTTACCAGTACTGTTCAACCAAATGAGCTCATTTAGCACTTACAGATGCGCAGAATTTCTGTACATGAACAACAACATGCAGCACATGCCTACGCCACACGAAGGCAGCTCGGCTYCCCATGTTTGGTACCAAGGCACATCAGGAGAATCTTCAAGCTTCCTGTTCCAAAGTATCAGCCAGAAAAAGGGTTAAAACATGAAGCTGCTGTGCCCATCAGAAAGCCTCATCCAGAGTTATATCTTCAGATTAAGCCTAATAAAAGCACAGTTTGATTAAGCACACAGGCATCTTAATAAAACTAACCAGATTCTCTTTCTTTTGTCTGATATTTGTAGTGAATGTACTACTTAACTTGCAATCTTTGAATAACACCAGCATTTTCTCATTAACTTTTTGTACAGCAATTAGTCCCGTTAATCAGTCAAATCAGTTCAACTTCAGATTACAAAAGCACTCAGAAAAGAAAAAAACAAGAAATTACCTTGTTAAATTTAATGAGCAAGGAAAAAACATACACCATGTGGGCTGTAATACAGTATTCCACACCCCAGCACTGTGAAACTAAACAAGAACCTGAAGAGGAACAGCAGCCTGCAATCATTTTGTCCATWATACTGAAGACTGTGTAATGCAATAGAGCAAGAAATTCTTTTGCTTAGGAAAGCGTGCACCCACAGGAAAAAAAACATCCGGATTGCAAGGATGTTACGTTCAGAGAACAATTTAGTTTTGCAGTATTATGGATACTGTCTTTGATATGCTATGATAGCACAAAAATAAGAACTGCTTTACAAAGCAAAACATTGGACTCTTCTCTGTATTTGCTGCTGCAGTTAAAGAAGATCTGAGTATTACAACTGTTTGTGTGGCCAAAGGTTGCAGTTCAGCCTGTCAACTGCCCAAGTTGCAGTAAGCTGGTGATATATTAGAATTTATTCTCTGTCCATTTTCATCATGTAGGAGGGTTGCTCTGATCCAATACAATTACCCTGTAGGGGAAAAAACAAACAAACAAATGAGAGTTACATGGTTGGTTTCTTCTCATATCAACGCACGCGAGCTGAAGAGAATGGGATTTCACAGTGYCCTCCTGCCTCCCGGGCACAGAAACCAAGAGAGAACACACAAATATTCCCGTTTCTGCCAAAAGCCCAATTTAGCTCAAAGGAGCTCACCTGAACGCAGAAGGCCACGCTAGCTGAYGCCGTAAGCGGAATTTCTGATCCTCATGATGTGGGTCTACAAAAACATGTAAATTCAACAGGGAACCGAGAAGAAAAYAGAACCACGCAACACTTCAAAGAGAAAGCTCTGATTCTGGCTGTACATTAGCAGCATGAAGAATTATGTTTCCTTTGCTAATCCATTAAGTTGCATTTGTAATCAGAAACCAGCCTCAGTTCTGTTGCTCTATAAGGGGTATTACCCAAGACCCCCTTTGTGATGAGAAAATATTCTCTCTCTTCAAAGCTGAAGCCCAATCTTAATTCTCTAGAAGTATGATAGCAAAGGGGGCCATATCTGTTAATGCTGTGCAACCGCAATCCTCAAAATAGAAAGCGACTATCTTAATTTCTTCTTTTTTCTTTCCAGACAAAACACAAGCTCTTATGTATTTTTACAAAGCAGTTTTTAAGTGACAAATATTGATAAAAACGGAAACCTTTTACTTGAGCTGTCAAACACCAGTCAGGTTTTTTCTTTTTTTTTTTTTTTTTTTTTTTTTTTAAATCAGGTAGAGCACAGGAATCTTTATTTGTTATCTTGTTTCCTTCTATTATCCTTGAATCTTGCCACAACTCAGCTCCCCTATGGGCCAAAGATTTTCTCACTGATCATCCAAATTGGAAACTCTGGTCAGAAAGAGATGATCTTTCTCCTTTTTAACGAGTTGATCAGTAGGACTAAAATGCCAACTTATTTTTCATTTTTGTATCGATTCTTCAATTTTAGATGCTAATTTGTTCTTCCTGTCTTGACTAGCTTCCTGTCCAGAGTAGCCTCTTCTCTTAAAAGCAAGGGAAGAAATAGTACCCGAATGGCAAAGGAATCAGGRAAAAAACCAAAACTATTAAGAATCCTACTCTGTGCAAGCTCAATAAGTTCACTGCTAACAATATAACAAAAGAACTGCAGCCCAGCTAAGCATCTAGTAGCTTTATAGATGAATAGGACCTTCTGGACTCCTGGCAGAGCTTTCTGGCTCTCTGCTTTCTCCTCTTGTTCTGCATTCTTTTACTCCATTCTTTATTCCACCATCGCCTGGATCATTCCGTTTTGCAGYCCTTGAATAACAGAAATTTGTATTTCATCACAATCTTCTGTATTTGTCTTTAGAGAGACTGAATACAGAGCACTGAAACATAAGTCTCTGGAGATGGGAAATACCTTATTTTTATTTTTGCCCAGACCTATAATGGGCAACTTCACATACATGTGCACATACACATACCAAGACAATAGAAGTGCTTTACATTTGTATGCAGATTCCAATGATTCCTTGTGCACCAGTATTAAGTGAATATAATTTGACTGACCGTGAAACAGGCTTTTGATTGCATCTTTCCTGAACACGGCTCTGTACATATTGCAGGAATCTGCCTGTCCTACCAGTAAGATCCTCGTTATCATGACATTTGCCTTCTATGTTCAAAAAATATCTTATGCCAAACAGAAGACAATTTTGTGTTCCCTAGTAAGGCATCTCGTACTGACATAGTGTGGAGCTGTTCAGAGTTAATAGGTTCTGATCTTTGGTTCTCTTTAAAGGAGGAGGAGGGAGGAAAAAAAAAAAAGAAAGATATTTGGGACTTACACTTTTTTCCTTAAAAAGYGATGACTATATTATTTCTGTCGTTTTCTTCACTGCTTACTACCTACGTTGTTATGACAGAGTATGATTGCTCAAATTCTTCTCTAAAATCTTTTCTAAAGAGCTTTCATGATTCTGTTCTCTGAATATATGTTCTTCTTTCTTATTATCTCAAAAAATCCACCACTCTCACAAATTATCTCTAATTTCTGTAAAGATGATGCACTACCTTCCAAGTCGATTGGAAATGTTTGCTTTCCACCTACAGGAAATCATTTTAGCATACTATTATTTTCCCTCTCTATTTAGGACTAGGAGCTCAGTCTGATGCCTCCTGGGGAATTCCTGCTTTACTGCCTGCAGAGTGGCAGTCCATTTTCTAAAAATTCCCACACAGGTCTGTGCACAGAACATAAGATAAACTCAAAAACAAAGTATCAATTATCRACTAACCTAGAAGTGTGCACTTGAGGCCCTTCTTGTTTCTCCCCAGCTTCAGGAACCACGTGATGCATTCTTTCTAAAATATCATCCAGAGTAGAATGAGCCCTGTTGAATAAAAGATTTAAAATGCATGCTGACAAGTTTAATATTAGATATTTTGGAAGAAAGCACATGCACAATTAGAGTCCTTAACAGAGCTGACATTATAAACATGGAAACTTGACAAAATATACTGCAGCTATTATTCTAAAATTTTATAATTCATAGCCAAATACTCCTCGGAAACATCATCTTTATCATCCTCGTCGTTTTCATACCTTTCTGTTTCCTCCATTAGATTTAATGTCTCTTCAGTCCAGAAGCTATGATCTCTCTTCTCATTCTTCTTTGTTTCCTTTTTTGCCTCTCCATCATCTATCTTAATTTGATCGGAAACTATTAACACAGGAAAAGATTTTTTATTTTTATTTATACTAAAGAAAATGTGGGTTTATTTACTGCATTTGGGAAACTTTCAGTCTCTTGGAAAATTTCTCAGTTCTTCTTTCATCGATCATCTGATTTTCCACCAATTACATAAATTCGCACTAAGTTAGAAGTGGTCAACAGCAAGACCTAGAGAAATATTTTACTGTACCACATTTTTAGATTCACAGGAGTGAACATTTTGTTTCCTACTAAAATGTAGAAACTAATCTTTAATCTCTCCCCTTACGAACTTAGATCTTGGAGAAAAATCAAAAGAAAACCTGTGGATGCTAGTTTGTCACCCTATTTAGCAAAATCCAACAATATTCCCTCTCCCCACCGCCTGGACTTATCTCAGTAAATTCTGCTCCCTACAGCATGGGAATATATTCAGCCACCTTCTGCTAAGCTATGATAAGCAGGAAGCAGTAGGCTGTCACAAAAATGGAGTCTGAAATAGCTGTACTTTATGCAAATACAACAAAACCTCAGTGATTGAACAGCAAGCAAGAGAGGCTGCCGCATTCCTTAACACCTAAAAACAAGATACTCTTATGAATAAAGTCAAAGTAGCTTCTATCCTTTGGGTAACAACTTTAAATGGAAAAGATCTAACAAAGCTGCAGGATAACACAAACAAGTGCCAATATCATTCTCAAGAGACTATTCTATTTAGCTTTTGTACAAACTAACTCATGCTCTTCCACTTCACTTTCTTACTCACTGGAAACAGAGACAGGGCAGAGCCTCTGAAAAAAGATGCATTTTTTTGCTCCTCTAACATCACAYGCTGTCCATCCAAATGTCCCTCAAAAGCTTGTCACACAACTAAACATACAACTACCAGCATTAAAGTAATTCTGCAATAACGCAAAAGGTGTTTTTGCTTTATAACCTCTCAGGACTCCTGTCAACTAACCTTTTACTGGCACGCCACGGTCACGCAATGCCTCCTCTTCGAAATCTTGAGTGCTGCCATCTTGCTGCTTTAAATATTCTGAGAAAAAACAGCATGTTTCCTTACTGATCTAGATATTCTTTTAAAGTTGACTCCATACTATTTAAGGTACCATCTTTCTTTATCTATCCAAACCTAGGTGATCCTGACCACATTTCATTCACCAGATGACAGTCTCCACGTTCCTTGTTTTGGTGAATGAGGAAATAAAGAGACGAGAACATAGACCTGCATGCCCCTTTTCAAAACCAGCCCAAGACCTATATACACTTAATTATTCAAAAACATGGTGCTTGCTTAGGATGAGTTTTAGCTGAATAACCAAGGTAAATTTTTCTGAAACACACACTAGTAAACGTAATGAGTTTCACACTGCGTTCTGGTCTGACGATCTATGCAATTACAACAAGAAATGTAAATCACAAACTAAGCTCTGCAAAAAATACCTGACTAAAGCAGTTATCCAACCTGTTTTTTTTGTAAATAGATACGGAAAATTTTAGTCTACATYTAAAAACTAATTGCTGTGTGAAATGCAGGAACTTCAAAAATTAACTGATTATTGGGAGCCAGTTTAAGCTGTTGATGCCTGACTTTCTGATCACCGACCTGACTCTGACTAAACTGGAAGCTCTTACGTATTTTAGCAGTGAATGACTTGGGAGAAATCCTGACTGTACTGAAGGACAACCCTTGGCTTTAAACACGGCTGGCAAGCCTYGTCCCATTCAGGTAAAGTGCCTCTTACCAATTTCATCCAGCAGTTCTTGGGCTGGTGGAGGCAGCTCATCAATGAAGTAGTTAGATGCCTGTGAGAGCGCTGAGAGAGAAAATATCTAGTTAATTAACAGTGATTAATCCTTAATAACTGTAACATAAGTTTTGATTATGACAGCTTCTTACTGACATATTTAATTTATCAACCTTTCTGAACCTGGCTCATTCACATTTTACCAAATGTCCTTAAATAATTTCAAAACAGAAAACTAACCTACAGCTAAGACTTGCACATAAAGGTCTCAATCCTGAAATGCAAGTTTCAAGCCAGTAAAATTTATTTTTCACGTGAAGGCTGAGCAGACCTCAGCGTTCTCAGGTTTTAGGTTTTGTCTTTGCACCTGTATATAACAGTTTCTATTAATATACAATTATTGTACTGCTATTTCTACTTATAAAAGGAGATATCTGGGTGAAAAAATCAAGCTGTAAAAACTCTTTTAAAAGCTGAATGTTCACGTACAGACTTACCTGGTTGCTTCCTGGTGCTTCTCTCGGATGAAGCAATTACTGACAATCTCCTCTGTGCAAGACCATAGAGAATGAAACAATGTAAACCAAACTTTTTCAATCCTCTCCCTTAACATATTAAGTCCAAAACAGCAAGTCCTTAAGAAAAGAGCAAACAGCTTACTAATTTTTAATTCAAAAAGCTCTGTTTTCAGAAAATGAAAATAGAAGGAGCATCCAGATAAGTCAGACATTTCAAAAATACTGATAACTTTTCATGAGACTTTTTGCTTGAGGTACTGTTAGTGACATAACTTTAATCATTAAACAGTCTATGTGGAAAACTGGACCCGACACCCCAGAAGAGACAATTCTGACATCTCTTAAGATCCCACTTTCTGCTTTGAATCTTTAATATTAAAGTCAAGCACGCCCATGAAAGGCAAGAGATTCCCCCATAAATCAAGAATTCGTAATCAAAAGCAAATTTTGCTCACTGCTCTCCAAAGGAATCTGTTGCTTCACATATTTAATCTAAGATGAAATTTAGACAAGAAAGTGAAATAATCAAATATCTCCACAGCGCCAGTCAAGGCAGCAGAGTGTTTTTAATGGGCTTAACGAATGCCAGCAGTCTGCTGTGCAAGGTCAAAGACACTAAGCTGACCTGTCGACAGTGAATGTGGTTACTACTGTTCTGGATGAACAAACTCTAATTTCATCTTTAAATGACAGCCCCTCAATGAATAACAATAAGAAAGGCATAAAGGCAACTGTTTTATACATAAACAGCCTGGAAAGGCAGTTAAGATAACGTTGAGGCTCCAGAATATCTTCAGTTCCAAAAAGGTTATTGGAAATCGCTAGAGTGACCTTGGAAATAGTCGGCTCAAGAGAGGATTTTTTTGATGCAGCACAGTTGATAACATTATGCCAAGTCTGTGCATGTAATAAAAGGGACAAACTTAATCCCTTAATACAAGGGCTTTCTGAACATTTGCATGCATCCAACCCACCTTTATTACCAGGAGGCTTCCATCTGTAATTTTCTTCCTCAAGGAGTCACTGATTTACATGCTCACTTACCTTCCCCAACTAGAATTTTAAGAATTCCTCAGCTCCACACTGAAATTTACATATTTGATACGTGATATATGAACACAGGCATTTACTTTCAGTCAGATTTAACTCTCGCATCCACACAGTCAAAAAGCTATAGTTCACAAGCAGGTTGGACTGCTTCAGAAAAGCAACCTGCTGCTGATTCACCAGAAGACCATCTCCCCAAGCACCTTCTGTCCCCTCACCTCCCACCCCACCAATAAAAACAGAACTCTTCTTCTCAGTCAACTTGCTGACGCTTAATACCTTGCAGTTGCAAGACTACTATATCATGTGCAAGGCAACTGGCAGTTCATTATGGGCAATGGAAGCCAACACCAAAAGAATAACCAACATACTCATAATATTTCTGGGTTTTGTCTTGTACTTATTTTAGGGGAATATATTTTTTTAAGATTTTAAAAGTGTGGCTAGCATAAACGATTATTTTCTAGACTTACAGACWTCTTCAATCCAGAGGAGCAAGTTTCTGAAGAACTAGAGGTAATTTGAGTGYTCCTTCCTCCTTCACAGGCTGTAGTCAATTTGCTGGACACTGAAGAGGAAATCTCTTGAGAAACCCAAGAGGACGTATCCATTGCCATTTCATGATAGTGTCTGTATCTCTCACTGGCTACTAGAAGCTCTTCCTCTAAAATTAAAAAAGATGGCTAAGATTATATATATATATTTATATTTATTTTAGTAACTTAGTCACAACTGAATAGATGCAGAAGAAGCTTTGAATAACAGCTAATATAAACAGGAAACTAAAGAAATTTTATAACTGATCTCTTAGCAGATTTCTGCCTTGGGTTTCCATCTCTGACACTAATGGCTAAAGACTTCACCAATTAAAAACTTTTTACTATTCTACTGCACAAAGTGAATYGAAGTGCAAAGCACAAGGTAATTCATTACCCCTAAACAACACTTAAMAATTTCAAAAATTTTGACATCACTTTAGCCGCACTAAAAACGTACTAGGTATTTGTCTTGCTTTAAAATGTGAAACCCCTACATTTATCACTCCATATCAGCTTCAAATTCTAAGACAGCTTCTGATTTATGAAGGTTACTACAAGGTTAATTGTCAAGTAACTATTTTTCTGAGACTTTTCAGATACTGGCTTTTTTAGCTGTCTATAATAAATTCCCCTTTAGTTCTGTATGTCAGATTCCTTTTGACTAAACAGAGTTTTAGCTACAGCAATGCAACTATCATGGCCACAACAAAGACTTCAACAGTATATTGCTTCTTAGGATCACTTATTCCACGTCAGAAAGGTGAAGTCAGTTATTGGTTCTATTTCCCCTCCCCTCCGCAGCTACCTGAGCTCAGGGGAGTGCTGACGCTTGTCGGTGCATGACTTGCTCTGGGTGTCTTACAGTTCAGAGCTTTAGAGTAGCTCTCTTGCTCACAGGAAATACTTGACAAATCTTGAATATCTGTGAGTGATCTAAGGAATTGAAAGATACCTTGACAGTTAGAATATCTACTTCTTACACTTCTGAAATACAAAATTCTGCTCTTTTCAGGAACTTTAAATTTCACTTTGTTCAGTCTTGCCTAGCTTTTCAGCAGGAAGTTAGACATTCCTTTTGACAGCTTCTCATAGAATTTTTGGAAGGCTAAAGAACAGCATATTCAATGATCTTGCAGAGACAGAAAAAGTTAATTAACAGCTCTCCGTTCCGTTACGGAGCTTCCTCCTTTTAATAATTCTCTTATAAGAAGAAACTCAGTAAATTGCCTCCAAAGAGGACAAGGGCTTCWAATGGGAACCAGCAGGTACAGCACTATTTCCAAAGCCAAAGGAAGATCTCAAGACTTAATTAAAATTGAAGAGCTTTTAAATTAAGATTTACTAAATCTTAGGAGTCTTTTAAAGAATTAGGCAGCTAAAAGTAAAATGGCTAGATATCTACATTGGCAGTGATGTCTACTCAAAYTACAAATATTTTTTGAGCAGGTGCAGAAATACTAAGAAAAATAACATCTACTGCAGATATACCCTTATTTATACTTTTCTCATGTACTGATCATGTACTGTTATCAAATTAGTAAAATCCCAACTATCTGTAAAAAGAAACCAACTTTACTAGTAAAGTCAAACTTATTTTGCTAATTGTTCCTAAGAATCACAATCATCAGCCTATTTTTGTAATATTTATGTAACTAAACACTAGCAAGCTTTTAAAAATAATTTCTTCTATTTTGTACAGAAGAAACAAGGAATACTCACACTTAAACATGACGTTATACACTCAAATCATACTGAATGATTGCTTATGAGTATGAAAATATTTCAAACARGTAAGGTGTATGACTGCTCTTCTCTGTAAGTCTCTCTTCTTATGAAAAACATTATTTCAATACTTTAAACAGCACCCTGCCCTCTCAGTTTTGGTCTGTCACACATTCTCATTTTACATCAAAAGAAAACTTCTAGAATGATAACAAGCCAACTTGCTGCAGTTTCAGTAGGAAACAGTCTGTGGCCTTACACATCTTTCTCTCCGCATTCCTTCTGTGGCTCCTGTAGTATCACTTCTYGTGCTGCCTCCATGCTGCAATGAAGAAGGAGGGTGTCGGGGGAGGAAATATTAATTTCTCTTCTTGAAAAACTATGAAAATTAGGTTTTAAAGAGAAAAAAATACTAACTACATTCAAAGGACTACTTTTTCTCTGGGACTGACAAAATCCTAAAAACTTTTGCTTAAGGTCTTAGAAGGCAGGGAAAGGAAAGCTAGATAAAAAAGGTTGTTTTAAGCACATTACAGACTTGTAACCAGTACAGAGAATATGGGGGAAATTAGAAATATTACCCTTTACTATAAGATCAACTATTTACACTTGCTCCCTACCTTTGGTACTAGCAAGTCGGTCTCTCTAGAGTGACAGTAAGTACAGTTCTCACTCCCACTCTAGAGAAATGGAGCAACCGCTAATTCCAGGTAAAAAAGATGAGCGAAGGGGAGCTCTCAAGCAGCATGAAAACCACTGCTCAAAGGCTCTGTCTCTCTAAAGGAACAGAGAAATTTGGGGGTGATCCTGGTGACATCTCTAGGGACTGGGACAATATAAGATTCACAGAAATACTGGACATAATTCTCATGTTTGCCAGATAACRAGACTGCAAGGAGCCAAGCGTGGGGTAATATCATCTCTAGGCACACTGAGTAATCAGCCTTCCYGTGGCATGGAAAAGGCAGGATCTTCATGCCATTTGAGCTCTAATACCAAAGCAAACATCAAAATCTAAAACCAGTGACAGAAGTCCTAATTTGAATTATCTTTGCTCTGTTTAAGACTGTTGTATATCAGACTGTCGTATATTCAGGAAAAGGAACTGTAATATACATGACTTATTTTTTCCTATTTATCTCCCTCATTAGGCAGACAAAAAAATACTAAGCACAGTAGAAGACAAAGCCCCATGAGACTGGTGAAAGTCCTTTTAATATTTTCTTGCCAAGAAAATAGCATGCATAGTTCAACATTAAAAAACACCACTGGCATCCTATTTGAATATTAGATATATGAGCAGAATTAATAAAGAGAGCATATTTATAACCTAATTTATGCTTGAACTAGCAATGAAAATAATAGTCTTTCTACCTGGCTACAGGCATATGGCTAAGCTGATTCACTCCTAATGTGTTACTGCCAGAATTCTGTGCTGCTGTGCTGCAGAATAATATTTTTCCTCCTGAATACAAATAACAAATGTTCCCTGTTATTGGGTTTTGCAAGTACAAAAGAAAATGGCACAACTCATTGAACAGGAAATTACAACTTTATTGTATTTTTTAGTTCTTGTGACCTTTGTTGTTGTCAAGAGACAAACGCATTTTTAAAGACGTGTTTTCATAAACATACCGCAGCTGCCAGAGAGTCAACCACTGGAGCATTCGGGAACACTGCATTATTTACAAATTTGAGCTAAGACAAATAATAAATAGAAGAGATGAACAAGGCTGATCCTTGCATCATTTTGCACATACGTTGTCAGCTTTTACAATTCTGAAACTCAAGAGACTTCAAACAATACGACTATTAATATATAAAAACAAATCTGGTTGTTTCCAGCACCATAGCAACTTACATGAAAATGTTAAACAAAGGTTGCAAGCAGGGTCTTAGCTGAAACACAGCAAGTATATCATCACTGCGCTCAAACTGAGCGCCGTGCCCAAACCTCATCTTCCAAAATCCTGTGTGCACTGAAGTCTCATTAATATAATGGAGAATAAGAGACCAAGCAACCCTAAAGAATCTAGCTTCAGCCTTCTAAGAGGAAGGCTGCCGACGAAAATTTAAGTGCAACAAAAGATTTGTTCTTACTGACTCAAAAATTCTCTCAAAAGAAAGAGCACATTTAATAACAATACCTGATCCAGCATCACCAGGTTGCTGTGTCTGTGCATAGACTTCTTGATTATCTTCTAATTTACCGTCAGGAACTGAGGTCTGAAGGGGGAAAAGGGAAGCAAATTCAATTTGTCATAGGCAAGCTGTGAAGTGTAGAACAATTCCTATAGGATGATGTTCAAAGTTATCAGAAAGGAGGCATCAACAGATTTTAAAGAGCTGGCCACTGTGAGCTGCATCAATAAACAGCATGAATTGGTTTTAATAATCCATACAACTAGTTTCTGGTCTTCCTTAGAATATGAATACAGGTTGTTTTATGACTATAGCATCCTACACTGGACAGAACGAGAAAGAAAAGGCTGAGATTACCAGCAGCCTTCAACTTCCCTCAGCCTACTTCCGAAGTCCTTCACATAAATTTCATTCCCAGGCTGTGATTTTTACCTCTAGTTCTGAGTTTTCTTGAACAGTGGGAGGAAGGAAATAATCAGGATCAGGAGTCAAAAATTCTTCAGACACATCAGGAGATGAATCAGGGGAACGATGCAATTCCTTTGATGGCCCCTGTAAAAGATGCTATTATTTAAGAAGCTTTCTCTGCTCCCTAACAAAGAAGATGTATTTTAGTTAATAATGTTAAACATTACATCAAGCTGAAACAGTATTTAATTTGATCACTTTGTTTCAGTCCTAGTTCCTGCTAAGATTACCCTCGTGGTTAACAGAATCGAGGAGAACGGGGTTGTGGAAGGATTGCTGATCAGACTGCAACTGAAAAGTCAGCACTAGCTACTGTCTTCATAGTTCATTATGCAGAGACTAAGCTAAACTGCTTCACAGAAAACTAGCAGAAATCAGATTTCTTGAATTGCTATACATACGCTGGAGAGATTCTCGGCTTGTTGAGGAATGACTGGATTCTTTTGATGGGCCGTTCCAGAATCTGCTTGCTCATCTTTTGATGGTGACTGGCAACTTCTCCCTAGTATGTCACAACGGATGTAATTATTACGCTAAGAATATTGCAGACTGAGTGGTCAGGACCATTGATGGAATACCAATGAGAATAAAGACAGTAAAGCTACATGACCTAACAGGAACATGCTGTAATAAAGGCAGTAAAACACTCATTAATTTAGACASGTGAAGCTTTCCTTGTTCCTTTATCCACAACTATTATGAGGGCACTTATCTGCTACAGTGCTACAGAAAGAGTATCTTTTCAGTTCGACTGAAAGGAAAAAAATAAAGGAATAATTATATTCTTCAATGACTAACCCATTAATTTGCTTTGGGGTAAGGAAACACTTTTCTGGAAGAAAAGGTGGCCCATTACTGCAACACAATGATAGAAACCAAAATCGAGGGGGAGGTTGAGAGTGCAAATGTTCTTTTTTCTGCAGCCTTACCTCCAAAACTTTTGAATGCAGATTCCAAATCACTCTCCTCAGATTCAGATCTCCCCTCACCACTCAGATGCCAGACACATTCACCTGCCTTCCACCTGCCATCATTTTGCAAGTCTTGACTTTTTTGGACTCTGACAGTGACGTGTTGAAAGGCTTCCTTTACACTCTCACATTCACTTTCAGACGTATATTCACTGAGTGGATATGGAGAGATGAGTTCTAGTTGCCCTGAAGCCACTCTTCTGGCCATGTGTTTTACTTCAGCTACACAAAAGGAAAGAAGTTACCTCTCCACACAACAGAATTCAAACTGTCAAAACTATTTCATGGTGTTCACAGACTTGGAAATGGAAAGGTTATGGCTGATAGGTTTTTTTTTGTTGTTGTTTGTTTGTTTTTTAATCAACAGAAGAGCTAGATGCTTCTCTTAATGGAAGTTTATAATCTGCATAAGATGATGTGGTCAGGTCTTTATAGAAACAATTGCATTTGTAGGTTTTTTTTTTTTTTTTTTAAATACTTTTTCATGCTGTACTGCCACCCAGTGGTCACTGCTACACTACCCTCTCTGAACTACATGTTGTCCCTCCCTTACATCCTCAGAACAGGGTTGAAATCGTGATTATAAAGACTCCACACTCTGAATGAGCAAGACAGGATCCTACTCATGTTGTTTTCCTCCAGGAAATGCCTTATAGAGCTACAGCAGTTAAGGCATTTGGATCCTTAAGTAACAAGAACGTATGAAGTTTTAATACATCATCCTGCAAGCAACACTCCCTAACTATAGTGTTGAATTAACCAGTTTACTTACTCCTCCATTCTGCTTGCATCATTCTCTCCTCACTTATTTTGGTACTGTAAGTTTCAGCTGTTGATTTGGGACAGCACCTACAATGTTGTTAGGAAACAATTCACAAGTATATTGTGTTAAGTATTTGCAAGTCAGTAAAACACCAAGTTGTTTCAGTGTTAATTAAATGGCTCAGAGCATGGTTTAGCAAGACTATTTGCCACTCCCAGCGCCTAACATAGGGCCAGCCCTACAGCTATTAAAGTTCAAGTATTTCCACTTAGAATTGGATGAGGCTGCACATACAGAACGGATCCACCCTAACCAGTATCAGTATTATTTTAAACTTCCTTATCAGATTGCTCTTCTTCAGCATTGTCTCAGTTCAGGACCAACCTGCTTGATACCACCCTTTCAAAACCATGCACACTTCCATATATATTTGCACATGTCTGCTGATATACATACACATAAATATACATCTCTATATTAAAATAATTTAAACATTTAAAAATGATTTTAATACAGTGAGATATCATTGATCAAAGCAGTTTCCACCTCTGCCAATTCTAGTGCTTGGGTGGCGAGCAGAGATGTCTGGCAGAAAAGCATTTGTAGCCTGTCAGATCACGGCGCCTTCCCAGTAGCTGCCTTGTCGCAGCAGTTACCCTGTCAGCTCTGCGGCTGACAATGAGTCACAGCAGGGTCCTAATTGGACGAGTGGCTTTTTTGGCTTGCTGAGAATACATTCAATGTCATCTGTAACTCTGGATGTGTCCACTTTTGACAGTGGCTGTGGCGAGATGAGTCTGCTGGAATTACTCTTTTTGTGAATGTGAGAACTTACCACCTTTCTTCTTCAGTTCCACTTGCTGCAGGACGTGAATCACCCCCTTTCTGAGGCTGCAAGTTGAACTTTTTTTTGCATCGCCGAGTTACGCGTGGGAGTAGTTGCTGAAATGAGTCCAAGAAGCTGTGATTCAGCACACGTCAGGCACTCTTGTGGCAATTATTACTGGAGCTATGAGGCACACTAAGAACCTGACCGCGCAAACTGTATTCCCAAGGCTTTACTTCAGTGGCAGCACTCGTGGGAAAGGATGAYAGTTCCAGATCTTAACCCTGTAAAAACCCTGCTATAGGTATCTAGTAGGTTCATATATGTGCAATACAACTGTCACAACATGAGTTTACACAGGGAATGAATGAATCTAGACAATTCAAGATTATTCCCACAGCAAATATGTGCATAATTTTCTTTCTTTACCATTCTCTTTGGGCTAATCATGTTAACTACTTATATTCAAATAAAGAAAATGATCAAGAAGTTATTATGAAGCAATAGCTCTGGCTTCATAGCCAAGGATACCAGCTATAAAGCCAGGACTAAGCCTGGTCCTAACACCTTTTTTTCTGATTCCTTTTTCTCCCCATAGTCCCGTCTCCTTTTTAGCCTAAGACTTTTCTCCTTGCTAAGGCACTGTGCTAATTTCAGCTAAGGTCTAAAATTATTTTCTAAGGATCCAAGAAGAACAAGACTTATCAATGTACTGTGAATCAAAAAAACTGCAGATGGAGAAGAGAGAGCAAGGTCTTCTTATGTGGCTTTTTTTTTTTTTTTTTTTTTTTTAGGATAAATTGAAGCAATATGCATGTAATGATGTGTTCCGTGAATGGAAAATTGTGCACATTAGTGCGATTATCTGGACACAAAAATCCAAGGCCATTTTTTAAGTATAATTTGAACCGTTTCATGCCACGGACTATCAGTACAACAAGCAGGCATGAAGCTACTTTACTAGTTAGAGCAATCCATGACCATAAATAAAGCTGTAATGTATATATGAAAAGCAAAACAAAGCACCAGTATTTTGAAGAAACAAAAGTAGTGACACTACAGCTCCACTGAGCTGACCATTCTCTTTTCCATGAATGATGTGTCTGGCATACACATATTTTAAAAGGTAGAAGAGCTATAGATTCTGCCCTTGCTTCTGGACGGCATCCAGAATCATGTCTATTCACTACTACAATCTTACTAAAGAACCTGGCAGTGATAAATGCACAGTTGCCCTGCTCAATACTTTACCTTGTGATCTAGGTCCATTCGATCATCCAGGCTTAYGCCTGTGCTGAAGCTGAGTCTGTCTTCATTTCCAGTCTTATTCCTCTGATGAAAGCCCTTTTCCTGCTCATTCTGGATTGCCCATGTTCTCTCAGCTGCCTTTGGAATAGCCTGGAAATGATCCTCACCACGAATTTCTTGTGACTGACAYGTAATCAGTGGTGGAATATAGTTATTTGAAGGTGGACCTATAGCCTTCCATAAAAAAGCATTAACTTTGGAAAATGAGCTATTTGTATTTTGAGGAATGTCATCAGACAACCTGTTCCAGGATGTATCTAGAGATATCTGCTTGGAAGTCTCAATCATTTGGTTTTTCTGGAGCAGCTTCTTTTGTTTCTCAGCAGTCTCTAATATGTTCAGTTTCTCCTCTGTTCTGCACAGGGATCCTGACGCCTGCTGTAACATGCTCTGAGCAATCTTTAGATTGAGGACACATTTGCTGATGTGCTGCCCAATCTGGGATGAACTCATACTCATTCTTTTCCCTGCATCTCCTCCCACTTGCAATCGCTTGCACAGCTCAGACACTTCACTTAATCTTTCCTCCTCTTCTGCAATGTGCTCTGTACCTGACTCTGAAAAGCCACCTTCCTCATAAACTGGCTTTTCCTCATAGTGCCTTCTGGGGGATGCAWATATGTCTCTGAGCGTAGCCTTACCTTCCTTCTGCTGCTCTTTTTTATCCTTCAGATTATGACCTACCACAGTGCCTTCTTCCAGAAAGTCTTCATGCAATTCTGGGTAATTGGCAAAGATTTCATTAATTTCAAAGCTACAGAGGCTCTCATCCACATCACTGACACTGCAGGTCACCTGCAGCTCAGAAGCTACATCGTGATGGCCTTTCTCCTGTGCAGCTGGCTGTAGACTGGTTGGTATCTCAGCATCTACTAATGCCTCACACTCCTCACGAAAACCCGAGTRTCTTTGGGCAGCAGAATTGCCTTAAAAACAAAACAAAAACAAACAAGAAAAAAAGGTCCATCATCTCAGATTGCTTTCACTCATTTAGATCTCCATACAATTCAGTTATTTCGTGAGCAACATTTCATTCCCTCTATTGAAGACAACRTGCCTGCTCTTCAATTACTAATTACAGATATGGTCTCAAGTTTATATTAATAATTATGCTGCTAGCTAGAATCCAAATCTCGTGGCCTTCTGTTTTCAAAATGTCACAAAAATCTGTAAGCACTTGCACTTTAATTAAGATTAGACCCTCTTGCACTAAGGACCTGCTAAGTGAAGGAACATGACACCTCGCTGCAATGAAACGTACCCATCTCTGTTATCTCTTCTCCTTCCAATCCCAGTGTTCTTTTCTGGTAGTTAAAAGCTGACGCCAAACAGATGTTTATGTCAGCCAGGACAGCAGACCTTTGCGCTTTTGGTATTTCATCAGCATGACCAGTCTGTGACTCAGTCAAGTCCTGTAATACGAGAAATGCTATAAAATACAATTACATTTGACAAAACAGTGCCTCCAGCTTCTATTTTAAGGCAATTTGTCTCCATGGTCACAGAAGGACACTCCCAAGTTCAGATTTGAAACAAGAATTAATTCTTCCACCTAGATTTAAGCAGAACAGCCTAAATTGGAAGAGATGCTAATTCTGATTAACCAAATGCCATTTAAAAAGCACAAAAGGCTACAGTCCTGCAAGTTACCCTTAAGTCATTCTTCATCAAATACTGAATATCCTGGAGGTTCATGGAACGGTTCTTCTGCTTAGGTTCTAGMCCTGACTTTACAATATCATAATAGGGTTTTGGAAGTCTGACATCCGCTTCTAAATACTGTCCTGAACTCATGAGCTGTTTAATAACTGAGTCTTCACGACCATTCCAGGGAAGAGTTTCTGCAAGACATGTAACAGACCTTACTATTACAAAAAGAAAAGGCAGAGATATTCATTGGACTGCTCTAGGGATAGTAGTTTAAAACTACAGTTATACCTGTCAAGGCCTCCTGCATTACTGCACAGAAGCTATAAATATCTGATTTGACTGTGACAGCTTTTTCAAGGATTACTTCAGGAGAGCACCATTTATGTAGCTGGACTGGAACAGGAATACGAGTTAGATCACTGTGTTCTCCTCCATCTCTGCTGTACATATAAAGAAAACAGATATTGGGATACACATAAGACTCTGCTAGAAGTTATGTCTTTGGGAATTAAGCCTCTGAGTTTGTCACATTTTCTTTTTGTTTGAATTATTCCCATTCTCTCCACATTTATCAAAACGATGAATCTAGAAGGTCCAAAGCAGACCTACAAATACCCCCAGTATTTTCACATTAGTAAATACTGTATTTTGTCACTACGCAGCAGAGACCTCTGCTGGTGAAAGTAATATCTTTCAAAAATTTACACTCAAATCAAACAACATTTAGTAACATTTTTACTACCAAGCCTTTAAGATCTGGCCAGTGTGCTCAGAGCAGATGCAAAAGACAAGAACRTGCCCCCTAGTCTGTCAAATATTTTGCAGTGTATATTTATGTCTAGAAGCCGGCTTCCTCCCTCTCTATAAACTATTTTTTTTAATTATTGCTCATTTCACACTGAGCCATATATGTCAAAAACATGGTAGCCATAAATAACACTCAAGATTAATAAACTGATTTTGCAAGGATCTTACAAAAGACTTAAAATTAACATATGAATTAAGWCTATTAAGTCTGCTATCTTTGTCCCTTTTGCGGAAACAGTGAGGCAATTCTTTACCTCTCTATCATGTATTCCAAGTTGCATAACTTTGCCTCWCCACAAGAGACAATCTGAATAGCATAGGAGGTAACTGAACGGTGGATAAAGCCACGGGAGTGTAAAAAACGCAAAGTGTCATTAATTTGGAGTAGCAGATGTAAAATTGTCTCCATACGCAGCACAGGGAATTCCAAACGCTGAAAAAAAAAGGACAAAATTTCAAAGTTGGCATTGGAGATCATAAATTTTGATACAGTCAAAAAAATTGTACAGAGGAGACAAAGCAAGCAAATATTCAGCATACTGTAGTAAACAGTACMCTTGCTGAGTAATGCATATGTAATCAGGGTCAAATCAAAGAGTAATATCTTAAACAATAATTAAGAAAATAAATATTGAATAACTTAAAAAACATTCTGGAGTAGAATCAACTCATTGGAGAGATGTCAGGAAATTCTACTAACTTAGATGTCTGTATTCAACCCCTTAAAGAAGAAAAATTCCAGAAAAAAAGATTCCAGTTACCCGTTCATGGAGAATGCTGTAGAGAGAACCAAAGTTAACCCTCTCATAAACTAAGCGGGTTTTTTCCAAGTCACTAGACAGACAAACAGCCATCAACTGCAGCAAATGAGGATGACGAAGTTTACTGCAAAGGGAGAAGAAAAAGACTGTCAGGCAAACCCAGGGTTAAAGGACTGTCCTAGCCTTCTAGGGCTTTTTAGCAACATAACRTGAATGCATCCAACTTATTGTTAAAATACACAACATTATACAATGAAAYAGTTGGCTACAGGCACTTGGGAAGGAGTGCTTACTGCTGCTACTACAAGAACCTATAGATATGCAATCCAGGGAATGGACAATGCAGTATCCATACAGATGCAGAAGGGAATCTCATCTTTCCCCATAAGAGCCATTGCAGAGGGAAAGGAGAGAGGAAGAGACAGAGAAATGGAAGACAGTGTGTATTTCTCATTTAGAAAGAAACTGCAACCTTTCTCCTGAGGTTGTTCGCACTTCCTCACATCCCTGGAGAGACCCAAGCCCCAGGGGCACTTGTGGCAACTACAGATTCTTTCTTACCTGCTATATTCCTGCTCTGCAATGAGAAGATCTGCAAAGCGCAGTTTACTGCAGTTCTGATGGGGCTCAAAGCTGAGTTCCTTCACTGTAACTCTGCTGCCTCCCCACATTGAACTATAAGAAGAGTTTCCACAAGACACTTTTTACCTTTTTTTCCAGTTACAGGATCATTTTAAAATAATTCTGTAATTCCCACAGCTCAGATGCTGTTTCCTACCATTAGTAAGCAAGCAGTTATTTTGATGACCGAGCCAATAGGCATTTAGTCTTTCAATTAACAGTTCATTCTCATCCTGTTAAAGACGGTGTGTAGCAGGACAGGCTTCCTGTTCGAAGACACTACCTTCCCATGACCCAAGGCAAACAGTAACTCTCCAGGCCACTGTGACACAAGTCAGATCTTCGGGAGAATTAAATGACTGATGGGGAGGAGGGGAGGAGGGGGGGAGGGCTCAGGTTGCCCTTGCACTGTAGTTTTGAACAAATGGGCCATGAACACACATATCCAGAGGCTTGAGAGAAGCTAAATATCCTTTTGAGTCCCACTCACTTTGTCATGATCATGTATGGTCCAACATGGTAGGAAAATGTTGGTTCATCATCTGCCTGGACCACTTCTTTTTCCCCAATAATAGGGAGAGAGGCCAAGTATCCAAGATGTTTGCTGCCCGTAAGATAAAACTGAAACAAAACCAACGCATAATCAAGAAGGAATATGCAACASCTCCCAAGATCACATTCACCACAGACTCCCCGCAAACTTTAACACAATCACTGCAACGCAAGATTTAACTTTCATATTTTGGCAATGTTAAGATATCAATGTTTTAACTCTCTTGATGGTGAAATAAGGACAGCTCACACAGCCACAAGTAACACAGGTGAAATTTCACAGGAGAGTTTTTACCGTCCCAAAATGGCTCCCTCTGATAGGGCTCATTCATTGCTGAAGGCCTGAATATCTGGGCTTTTATTTTTCCTCCCCCCCTACCCSCCCCCCGGACCATTTCAGTAGGAATAAAGATGTACTAATAATTAAAAATAAAACAGGGTAATTGGTATGAAAAAAACATGACATTAGTACAGTTTTTCATATGAAAACTATTATCTATAGCATCTTACCTTCCCAAAACCAAAGCTGTAAATATTCCTGCCTGAATTAGCTCCACTTTTCAGAAATCTGCTAATAGGACTCTCAACATTCCTGAATATCAAGAACAAACATTGTACCAAAAAAAAAAAAAAAAAAAAAAAAAAAAAAAAAAAAAAAAAAAAAAAAAGAGAGAGAGAGAGAGAGAGAGAGAGACAAAAACATGTTAATATATTAAAATAAGGAACTTAAATTCCTTACAGTTCAGTTCCTCAGTACTTTAAATTAAATTCTTACCCTTGAACAAGAGCACCAAACCTGGACGGACTACAGATCAGTGCTTTCGATGAGTCAACCTTCCTGAGTAGATCGGAGGGAAAATTTTGAATGGCAGCTTGCATGTGTGATGTACAGCGCTGTATAAATTCCAACATCTATGGGGGGGGGGGAGGAAAACATTAACTCAGAACTGTAGGTTATTGTAAGAAATAAGCAGCAATTAAGGAATAAAAGTAACTTATTACTTGCAATATTTAATAGTAATTTCAGCCAATAGATACAATAGATACATAGAAAAACTTGGGAAAAAATCAATTTCATGAAAATGCAAAACAGCTAACTTCAAACAAAAAATGACTAATGCTTCAAAGACATGACAATTCACCCACTGAAAATTTTAACATTTTAGAAGACTATTATGACAACATTAAAGAGGAACATTATAATATCACAGTTTTAAACTGGTGTTTTACCATGCTACCATGATAACAAAAATGGCATTTTTATTTCTTGACAGTGATCACTTACAGCCCGAGGTACACAGAACCTATGAGAAGCTTTAAAATCTCTGATGGGTTTATTCCTCAGTTAGACATGTGTGCAAACAAGCTGCATACATCAGGGACTGAAAACCAAGGCCTGTTATTCTCCTCCTAGCACATTTCAGCATAGTAGACAAAAAGGTTACAGACCCAGACAGGCCCCTGCACCTTAGTAAAACTTCAGTTAATTGATCTGAACGAAAGGTATTCTTCAGAACACAGTGGTGTTAACATTAGAATAAATATTTAACATTTTTATAGTTAACATTAGAATAAATATTTAATATTTTTTCCACACACAAAACCTCAGTCATTTCTCCTGGAGATGCTGAAGTTTCTTCACAAGATGAATACGTGAACACATACCTAGCACATACACAATGTATATGTACCTGAGCACTACTTTCTTTTCCAGCTGACATTGCCCAGTATTGTGGATTTCTTCCGTCTTTGTCATGCACTCTCAGATCACCTCCTCCATCCAGCAGCTTGCTAAGAATCCACTGATTTCCTGAGAAGGCAGCTGCATGGACCGGGGTGCTTCCGTCATAGCAGCGACTGCAGAAGATGAACAGAGAAATGTTTCAGGCTACCCCTAGCACACTCACCTAGCATTGCCACTGGAGAAAAAAAAATCTGACCTAGAATGTGCTTGTACTCCCAAAAAACATTTATACGCTGAGGTAAGGAAAATTAAGCACCTATTTACCTCTGAGGATCTTGAGGCAAAATAGTAACAAGCATCTTAGGCAATTCTTTGCAGGGAAAAAAAAAAGTGCACTGCACTGACAAAAGCATCAAACGATGATACCAGTTTCAATTTAAGAATAGGAATGCATGCTTTCTACTTAACTGATTAGGGTCTGAGCCATAATCCAACAGCACATCCACTATTTTACCAAGACCTAACAATGCAGCAGTGAAGAGAGAGGTTTGGCCCAAGGAATTTCCTGCGTCGACAGAAACGCCTGCAAAGAGAGAGAAGAGTAGGAAAATCTTTGAGATTCTCATTTTCCTATAGAAGAAAAAAAAGGGAGGGGAGGGTGAAAGGGGTGTAGTGGATAATTAAGGCTAAAAATGAACACTATTTTGCTTTGGAAATACAAAAATAAAAGCACCTGTTTGCAAAGAAAACCATAGAGATAGCACAAGCAGAACAGATAGAAAATAAACCTACAATGCTGATAACAACAATGATCATGAACTTCTCTGTTTTTCAAACTTATAAAAATTA